GGGGGGCAGGGGGGGTAGCTGCCCCCTGGGATTTGAGGTGCAAAAAAAATAATTGCAAAGTTGACTGTACTTATGGCAAAATGAAGCCACAATTTCTGACTTCTGATTGAGCAATAAATAACAGTTAAAATGCACCAGAATGCAGTATAATACATACAGTTTTTAAAAATTTTCCGCACCGTGGGAGGGGGACACCTGCTCCCACACCTTCCACCCTCGGGGGCTTCGACCCCTCGTGTCCGCTTACTGCCCCCCTGGCATTTTGCTCAGGCTACGGCCCTGCTAACACCAAATAAAAACATCCCAAGTGGAGCTTTACGAATACGATGTTTTTTTTTTAAGGAAAAGCTGTTTATAAAATGTAAAATTGGTTTGGTCCTTTCTATTTTGACATCCTACTGTACTGTCTTGATCTTGACTTGTTCACAAACCGTCAGCAAGATGTCAAAATATGAAGGATCCAAACAATGAACATTTATCATTAGGCCTACCACTATTTACAGATGCGATTTATTTATTTTCACAGCCGTTTTCGGTGAGACAGAACGAGTGCAGTTTAATGTAATATGTCTAAACGTACCTTTATAAGCTTTGGATCATACAAAATGCATTTTAGATACGTAAAGAAATAGATCGTCTGCTTCCTAAAGCATTTTTCAATTATTTTGATTGATTCGTTTTATAAGGTAAAATACAGATCGGACAAATAGCCATCTTTGGGCTATAACAGGCATATCTCTACCGAGGATCCAAACTGATGAATATTTTTACTAAGATAAGTAGGTCTATCAGTCCCGACAGAAATTGTACTTTTTTAAAAAATGATCGAAGTTGATAACATACTAAAATAGGGTCTTCGATGTACATTTTTTTCATACCAGTATAAGAACAGTTCGATTCTAGATCTAAAATGGTCAGTTTGGAAAGTCAGTTTCTGATGTTTAGAATGGACAGTTTCAGGCAGTGATGTAGCCTACGCAATGGAGCCTGTGCTGGACGAATAAAAAAACGCACATCACTGATTCTCAATATATATGTAACACTTTTTTATTTTATTAAAAGTAGTGGAATAATTGCTTGTCCCAGTGAAACCCTACTAGCATCAGTCTACCAACTTAAATCACAGAAAAAATGATCTAACGCATAAAAAAACGAACTAAATTTTAAACCTTGGTTACTGTCGTTCGCAGCAATTTCACATTCTATAATTGATCTAGTTATTTTCCCAAAGTAGGCAGTTTGCAACTTATCACGAAGCAAGTATGATGTTTAACGGCCCCAGAAATGTCTAGAAAGTTTATTTCAAATGACACAAATAAATAGCTTGCGGCTACTTTCGCGCTGTCCCCTGACTTTTAGAAATTGAAAAAAAAGCCTTCGTGACGACTTTTGCCGCAGGTCGATATTTTTAGTTGATTTTTTTAAAAATATTTTAGCTATTAATAAAATCTTCAATTTATTTACTTCCACGTTAAGTAAGACGATATGGTGACAGGCCACAGTTAAATGTTTGACAAGAAACACGCCAAAACAGCGTTTCCTTAGAAAGTAATTTGCAAAACCTTCACTAAAAGCCACTGTGAAAAAAAAAACATACTTTCAGTTGAGAAAAAAAATGTTCCAGTTAAATAAACACACATCCCGTAATGCCCTTTAGTGTTAGCAAACGTGCAAATATTATCCAAAAAGGTTGTTAATTTCAAAACTTTTGTTACTTAAACCTTCGTCACTGAATACAAAAACTGTTGCATACTAGCAAGGCATGAGTCGGAAAATGTTTGCATGATTACACAAAAAGCACTTTCTTTAACCAGAGTTTTAGAAAATCAGTGGCGGATTTAGGGGGGGGGGGGTCCTGACCCCCCACCCCCACCCCTTCGGTTTCTGAAAAATATATCACACCAGTATTCAGCTCTTGAAATAAAAAAATTGACTTGCTGAATCATAGTTCTAAACAGTACCAAAGGGCACAGTTTACCCTCCAAAATACCAAAAAAATTTCGGGGCCCTTGAGCAGGCCCCATCTCGCGTGCGAGGCCTGTCGTTCCGGACCCCCCTTCAAATAATCCTGGATCCGCCCCTGAAACCCATCAATTTAGGAAATTTATCCTTAATAAGAATATAAAAATGTATCGGCTAAAATATTTGTTTTCATAGTTTTTTGTCTATTGAGAGTAAGGGGACAGAAGTACGGGAATGATTAGACCTTCGATTACCCATTTTTCTCAATCCCCGTTATTTAGATTGACATCACTAAATAGGCTTCATCTTTAAGTAGCAAAACCACCTATTCTACGCACATCACACCATTGAAATCGAAAATTAATTAACGACACGTTTCAACAACTGTTATTTCTTTAAGTCCAATACTTAATTTCTCAGATCATTGGCCTTACCTCCATTTTCAGCGGGGGGCACCAACTGTAACTCTCTGCCGTCTATCCATGGCCTGGCCACCATATCCCACGATGTCCCCGCCTTGTTTTCTTGCTGCATATCTCTAGCGGGTATTGAACGTTTAGCCTAAGTATCACTTACATTAAATTCCATGTGTTTAAAAATGAAAACTCCACGCCAGTCAGAAAAATATCCTTCGTATAAGCTGTGTAATTTCATATTAAGGTTATTTCATCATTTTCGCTTTCTGCTTTTTTTACTTGTCACCCCAACCCCTGAACCCGTTGAGGCAGATTGTTTAACTCAATCTTCAGCTAAAAGTATACTTTTTTATTTTGGTTATTAGAGACTCAGTCTTCTGATGAAATGTACAATGTCCTCTTCATTACATGGTTGTATGATTTTTGTTAATCCTTTTTAAAATAAAAGACCATTTGGGTAGGCCTAATTACAGGAGATTTAGATTATCAAAATATATCCATATTTCTGTATCCAACTTATAAGGAAAGAAATTGAAAGATGGAAAAAGAAATTGTAGACGACCAGGCCTGTACCCAGCCATTTCAAAGGAGGGGTGTCATTTCCTGCAAAAGTTGACCTTTTAGCATGAAATCCCCGTATACGTAGGCCTGGGTTACCCTGAGCAACCTTCTTCGTACGACCTCCCCCCTTTCCGGCTACAGACCTGTTTATTTTGGTAATTAAACAACATAAAAGATCACAGGAGCTGACGGAGGTTAATCCCCCCCCCCACCCACCCACACACACACACACACAACAAACACGAAAGTTTTTTTTAAAATCATGCNCGGAGGTTAATCCCCCCCCCCCACCCACCCACACACACACACACACAACAAACACGAAAGTTTTTTTTAAAATCATGCCAGTTCTGAACAGTGAAAAGTGGGACTATGGATCCCTGCATGCCATCTTCTTTCAAGCAATTATAAGAATTAGTTAAAATATTTAAGCAAATGTAAAAAGTAACTAAAGCATTAAATCTCACCAAGCATTTTCCTTTCGTTATCCTTTCTCCTTGCAAAATTAAAGCTACCAAAAACTCCAAATAAATGTTTATAGCAAAAATGTATTATCACTTTATCTTTATTTCCATCATCTGTGAAACAAGATATGAAATGGAAGTTTCTTCTATATTGTGGATAAGTGTTCCAGTGTACGCGGACAAGGTCGTTCACTAATGGCCTGGGGCAGGTTAGTAAACTTCAGGTTGATATCATGTCAACAAGATGCAAGGACACTGTCAATAATAGGGGAGAAGTAAAAAACTATTATATCATTGATTATTATCTCCGAAATAAATGCGTGTTTTTCCCCTCTCTAAACAAAAAAGTTAAGGTATGAAAACGCTGAATGCACTTCAAACGTAGATATATATATATACAATACAATAAGAGCGGGCAATTGTGAACATGTGATCACATTACAGCGGGATGGACTTATTGCGTTGCACTCCAGAGGAGAAAAAGGACGCGAAGTGAGAGTGATTTTCTTCGGCCAACCGCCTTCAAATCTCATGTGATCCTACGCCAATGCATCGCACTTGAGGATAGTTTCTTTACTAGCACAAAACACCCAATGTTTCGTCTTTTTCCCATGGTGTGCTTCTGTGAATTCGACTCTTCAATCCATGCGGACTCGTCGCTCTGGGAAATGTACATGTACAAAAAACACAGCTCTCAGCCCGGACGTCTAATAACCGCCGCATAGAAATTATTGGTAAACGGACAGAAATCCAAGCTACTGGAGATGGGTTAGTGCCACCATGTCATAGTCTTTTCATTTCTGCCATATTCCTCCTCTGCCCATGTTTGCCTTTAGAGGCTAGAACCAAAACCGTCATACGTCCTATTTAGATCACACTCATCGAGTTTTGTTGTCGTAGTTCTCTTCTAAGGCTGATTTGCATTTTCTCGTTTTTGTATTGTATTGCATTTGTAATGTACTGTGTCAATAACAAACTAAAAAAAATCTCATCTCATTTTCCTTTCCTTTTTGAGGGGGTGGAGGAGGGAGGGTACGTAAATTGAAAAAGTTCTAATCTCATTCTAATTTCTTTTTACAGGACATAGAAGATGATGAGTGCCTACCATCGAATATTGACTTCTCTTCGGATCAAGAATTTAAGGTTAGTAAATTTCATTTTTTTGGAGGGGATTGGTAAATTGACTTAAAATCTAATCTAGTTTTATTTCTTTTTTACAGAACATTGAAGACAATGAGCGACTCTACCCAGACATAGACTTCACACATCGATAGAAGTTAAGGTTAGTAATCTTTTTATTTGGGGGAGGGGGGGAGGATGGGGGAGAGGTAAATTAAAAAAGATCTTACCTCATTCCTATTTCTTTTACAGGACATAGAAGATGATGANCGATATTTTTTAGATGTAAAGGCAGAACAAAACGACCTCAATGCGCACATTTTACAAGAAAGTCCTTCAGCTGAGAACCTTATCATGGGCGCAGCCATTTTTGTTTACAAATGCCTTATTCAAGACTTTAGTTTCGTATCTGAAACTAACTTGGAATAAAGTGCTAGCTCTATCGTTGAGGATTTGGTGTCCAACAATGTACGCCACATTGTGGAGGATGTTTTCCCATCATCCAAAGATAAGAAAGGGACACCACAAAAGTTAAGAATACAGGTGACCATCAGAAATTTTGTTTATGAAGTTCTAAGTCCAGATGGCCAGGTTGGTATGAGGAATATTAAGTTATTATCAAGTCAACTTGAGATCAAAATCCAAGATGGCCGCTGCAGGTTTAGTTGTTTGGTGCAATGTTTGCATATTTCTTTTGGCTTTGCTATCTGAAAGGACTTGTTCTACACAAGATAAAGAATTTTCTCCCGGTGCTACGGAGTCTGACGCCCTCAAGTTACGAAATGAAGGATACACAAGTATTAAAACTCCTTCATATTCTAATGAGGACGAGTGGACGTATGCAAATTCAGGAGAGCAAGTTGATCCTAAGAAGATGCTAATGGAAGGAATTAACCTGCAATGGGAGGCACGGAAACTTATTTCTGCCTTTAGGAACTTAACCAACGAGGAAATGGGAGTAACATACCTGCAAGTGAGTGAATAGTTTTATTATATGATACATATCATATGACATTTCACTTATTTTGATGTAGTGACTAGTCGGCCGTGATGAGTGTATCGTTTCTAAGTATCATCACTGTATGGTGCTTATTTCAAGTTATTATTTATGCAATTTTTGTATTTAGACTGATAATAGTTTTCAGTTGATTTCAACAGTTAAGGACAGATGTAAGGACTTGAATCCTAACTCTGACAAGTAAAGATGTTTGGGATATAATGGGGTGTAGTGGACACATAAGATTTACATGCTTCAAGGCTCTTGTCAACTGTTAATGGGTGTGGTGTGAAAACTGACTTATGATTATATCATTCATGGCCAAGTGTCATTTTCCTGGAAAAAAGAGCATAATTTCTGATAAATAACAAAATAAAATCCATCATTATAGCCAAATATTGGAATTTATATTTTTTTCACCATTTATTACTAACTGGTAAAAACGCCTTGTATTCTTTTGATAAAATATGACATTCTATTAAGTCAGTAAATTGATTCCATTTTTTCAGGGAATTTATGACTCACTGTCCTATGATACCACTGCAATAAGAGAAGAAGAAGTCATTAAAAAGGTGAATCAAATCATTTATATCAATATTTATTTTTGTATTAAGTGTACACAGAAAATAATCCAGAAAATGTGTCTTATTTTCGTTTTGCTTACCAGTTGAATGTAAGATTAGAATATAAAAATGCTGTATTGTATCCATGTACACCCCATAAACAAATATTTCCTTGATATGTTTAGTGCTTGAGTTTGCATACCTTTAATGGAAACATGGTTTTTGATCTGAAAAAGCAAGGCACTTCATATGCTTTTATTAAAGAAACTATTATTGTTTGGAGGATTTTATTGCCTTGGATGTGTTTTGCTAAATTTTTTTTTCACTTTCAGCTTTCTAAGAAGTTAAAAACCAAGTTCCAGAATTATTTAGACATCCTGGATGCTGTCAAGAAGAGAGTAGAAAACCTGTACAATTTCCATTTGCTACGCCCTATCACACAGGCTTTTGACTGTTGTAATTTGACTGATTATGGCTCAAGGTAAGTGGTTCATTTGACACGAAAATGTTAAAATTGGTAATAAGTGATGCCTTAATTGTGTTTCTCCCCATTTTCCCACTTGTTAATTTCAATCGTACGTTTTGCTGCATTCTTGAAATATATTTAATGAACTGTTTTTCTTTTTTTCAGCCCAGAGAACCCATTTTATACAAACATGTCTAAGCTAGTCACATGTGATTTTCTCCCGCCCCACTTGTCAAAAGATGCTTTCAATCCAGGAAGAAATCTCACAGAAGGTATTTTGACAGGACATGGTTGTTACCATAAACTTAGTTACATCCAGTGGAGGCTGACATAAGCAAACATGGTTTTTAACTTTGTACTAGGAAGAAAGATATCATTGGATAATTCAAGTTTTGAAAGTTAAGATTACTGATATTGAGTTTTTTTCTAGCGAGGGAAAAATGTAGCTGTCATATAAAGTTATAAACATTTCATCTATTGTATAACCTTAGTGTAATAAATAATAAACAATAATATTGTTGACACAGTATAACTTGTCCCTTCACTCTTACTTCGTTGTTTCAGTTTTCAAAGGAAATCAGAATGGCAACCCCCAACTAAAATGGCAGCTTATGTGGCAGTATTTTATCTCAGCCCAAGGTGTTCACAATGAGTTTCCTGCACATGGAGTAAGGGAAAACTGTCCTAAGTTCTATGATGCTAGACACAGGTAAAATGGCTTATTGGCTTATGATGATCAATAGAGTAAAGTGACTAGTAGGATTATTCTGGTTAACACGGTTTAAAAAACTCCTTCATTGGCAGAGGTAATGACTGGTGGGTTTATGATGATTGAAACCAGTTCAGTGACTGTTTTACTTCCACCCTTTGGTCTTACACAAACTTGCAAACATCATCAATGTAAAATTAAAATAAATAATGAACTTTAAAATAATTCTTAGTTGTCATTGATCTAGACCAAAATTTACATTAGACTGACCATTTGAAAAGTTAGTTAAAGCAAATTATACAAGTGCTTGTTCTGTGTTATTCCACAACAGAGCAGTAAAGCTGACTTTCTAGATAGCCCATCATGTTCTGATTCTACTGTTCCAGGGACGTATATGTGAACACCTTACAACCCCAGACTAAGAATGTGGTGTTGGTTCTGGATCAGGGGAACTCCCTTAGTTCTAACCAGCTGAAGACAGTGAAAGCAGTGGCTAAACACCTGCTAGGGTCCCTGTCAGAGCATGACCGAGTAAGCAGAAAAAATTTTAGATAACATGTTGCAGTGTGTTTAGATATTATTTTATTTTAAAAGGATTATCTGAGTATGCTGTCAACTGATTGATTTATTTGAATAGTATTACATCAGTGCATAGTTAAAGGTACATACGAACCGAGCATCGGTGGAGTGTGGATTCCCAGTAACACATGGAAACCACTTCTACTAGTTTCTTATACAACTCAAATAAATTCGACATGCCAAGGGATAAACTGAATAGAGCACTCGATCAGCCATAAAAGAGCTTTAGACTGCTCCTTTTTATGTACAGACACAGATGTGTCTGTACATATAGCCATCATCTGCGTCTGTCGTCGCCGCCGTCGCCTTCGCCGTGCACTTTTACCGATAACANCAATGTAAAATTAAAATAAATAATGAACTTTAAAATAATTCTTAGTTGTCATTGATCTAGACCAAAATTTACATTAGACTGACCATTTGAAAAGTTAGTTAAAGCAAATTATACTAGTGCTTGTTCTGTGTTATTCCACAACAGAGCAGTAAAGCTGACTTTCTAGATAGCCCATCATGTTCTGATTCTACTGTTCCAGGGACGTATATGTGAACACCTTACAACCCCAGACTAAGAATGTGGTGTTGGTTCTGGATCAGGGGAACTCCCTTAGTTCTAACCAGCTGAAGACAGTGAAAGCAGTGGCTAAACACCTGCTAGGGTCCCTGTCAGAGCATGACCGAGTAAGCAGAAAAAATTTTAGATAACATGTTGCAGTGTGTTTAGATATTATTTTATTTTAAAAGGATTATCTGAGTATGCTGTCAACTGATTGATTTATTTGAATAGTATTACATCAGTGCATAGTTAATTACAAAACATTAAGCAGAAAAATCAACACAAGCTTAGAATTGGCATACCTTTCTAAAAATTTTTTTTTTTGGGGGGGGGGGCGATTCAGCTGGATTGTATTAATCTTGTAAGTTAGATAGAAGGAACATTCACTTAATACCATGTTTACAACATTGTTTTCTAGGTTGGGCTGATAGGAGTATCTAATACAATCGGACATCCTCGGGATGATGAAGATCCGTGTGTGTCCAACAAACTGGTGCCTTTCACACTTGAAGTAAAATACTACTTTGAAAAGTTTATCACTGAAGCTGTTAAACAAGATGGTAAGAATATTTATAAAATCCATTGACCGTATAAAATGTATTGAACTAGCAATGAAGGATCTTCTGGAGGAGCTATAACATAAGTAGAAAATTTTAACTTATTTTATGTTTGTGGGCAGTCACTTGTAAACTGAGCATCCACTAATGTTATAATTTTAGCTCCAACTAACCACTCCCTGGGGCTGGAGACAGCGTTCAGAATGATCAGAAGTACACTGCAAGAGCATGAAAATCAAACTATAAAGGGTGAGTTTACTTTTGATTTTCAGCTTCATATAAACAAACACACATTTAGTGCTTTTATATATAATAGAATCAGTGAGGTGTGTTTCTGTGTGTGTAAGCAAGTTATACACAGTCTCAGCATTTTTGTTCTCAACACCCCCATTGCATGAGGGTGGTTTTTAAATTAGAAAGAAATAATTGTAGGTGAATTGATTCTAGAAGAAAGGCTTCTTGATATTTATTTAAGAGATAAAACCACTTGTATATTTCAGAAGATGCAATGATAATGTATATCAGCAGAGGTCTGCTGACATCATTAACTGATGCCAAAGATGTGATGGAGGTGATAGCAGTGGAAAATGGGAAACTAGGCAATAAGGTGGTCATTAACACATATGCCGTCATTGGTGGTAAGTCTCACATTAAAACTAGTATTGCTTACATATGTATACACTCTAATTTTGCCATTATCTGTTAAAAGATCTAAAAAAGTCAAGATTTCTGACATGAAAAGGCAGGATATATTGCGCCTTCTGTGGTTTCCAGATGGCAAACCAGTGATGTTTGAGAAAAGCTTCTTGGAAAATGTGGCTAACCAGAATTTTGAGAAGTACGATGTCCAGAGTAGGCATCCACTGCCAGTTAGGGTAAGTGATTCATGTAGGCATATTCTGTCAGTTAGGGTGAGTTATTCATGTAGGGGCACCCTGCAAGATAGGGGGAGTAGTTCTTATAGGCATTCTCTGCTATTTTGGAGAAAATAGCCATCCTATTAATGTGCCACAAAATTGATTAATTTAAGCAATGCCAAGTCAGGTTTGAGAGTAACACATGCAATATATTTTTATTCTATTTACATTCTTTGCATATTACAATTGACAAATGCTTCCTCTGTGTTTATAGAACACATGCCAATACACAGTGTTAATACAACAACTTTTAAAAAAAATTTGCTTTCTATTTTCAGCCTGGGCAAAGCCTCTCTGTGAACACCACTGACTCCCTGAGCACCTCAGTGGGTACCTTCTTCCAGGCCTTTAACAGGTCAATAGAGGACAGGCCACGGTTCTCACTGCCCTATGCTGACCAGACAGGGGCAGGTAGGTGTGCTTCTGGGTTATCATCAGATACCTGTCACACTTTGAGGAAAAGGAACATTATCCTATTTAGTTCTGTTTTAGGATATGTGTTTCATTAAACCATGAACTACGTTTGGATGATTGTATCAGAATGGGAATTACTTGGTGAATATTTTAAAGCCCCTTTTGTTGTGTTGTGTCTATTGCTCTAAGTCATTTTTATGATTAGAATATTCTGTGTACATATGGTATTATTCTACTCTGTTTTAGGCCTTGTCATGAGCATTAGTCAGCCATGTCTACACCAGGGGAAGGTGTTGGGTGTGGCAGGGGTGGATCTTCACTTTGGAGAGATGGTGGAAGACATCACATACTTTCAGCAAGAAGTATTTGCCTATGCATTTCTCCTGGATCAGCATGGTGAGTAGAGTTAAGGCTAAGACTATTTTACTTTGCCCTAGAGACACTGAGATACCAGTTCATGGTATGTTATCGAATCAGAATCAGAATATGATACAAGTAGGTTCAAATATTTAAACTGATAGTCTTGATTAAAAATTCTAAAAACTAATTGCCATTACCCCTAGCCCTAATTATTTGTTGCTACAAGTAAATTATGATCCGTTTCATATTATGCTGTATACTTAAGTGATACAGTCTGTACTGGTATAATTCGAGAGATTGGACCTTAGTGTACATCATCAAAGACTATTTTGTATTGTATACTGCTCAACCTGAAAAGGATATATGAGTATATCAAGCAGTATACAATACAGAAACACAGACAGGAAACTTCCAATTGCCAATTTCATAGTTCTAAAGGATCATATTTATACAGTGTGAGAAATACCAGCACCATGTACATCACTTGTTCCAGGTTACATGGTGATGCATCCATCCCTGTCCCGTCCCATCTTCACCAAGTACCAGCCTATGCACACAGATGTCAGCCACTTTGAAAACTATGAGGGCTTTGAGAGGGTGAAGCATATGATTTTAAGGTAAAAAGAATTGCATTTTGTGTGAAGCATAGTGTAGAAGAGCTAGATATTATGGTCTTTTATACAGGTATGGAAACTGCATGTTTCAATTGTATTGTTTTTTGTCAGTCTGTTTAGTTTAGACTCAATAATTTTAATTCTAACCCACCACTTCCACCCCTTATACAAATATTATGATTGTAATATTGTTGATGAGGATAATAATTACCCTATTTTTACTCACTTGAATTGACAATATTTTGTCCAACAGATAACAATTGCATTCCAATATATTACACATCAGTTGTTTACCCACAAGTTTGTTGACAGTAGTGATTAACCTATATGCTATGTTGTTCCAGTGCCACAGAGGGCAGGACCAGTCTGACAGTACACGCCAAGGAAAACACACAGTCCAACCTCTCCCTGCTGCCTGATGGCAAGACTGTCATCTACAGATATCTGTGGAAAAGGGTAAGGAATAGAACCACATGTTTAAGTGTAGTGCTTGCCCTTGGGACATGACGACCACCTAAAGAATGGTGATAGTCTGAATTGAAATATTGATCTTAAAGGACTCTTTTGTTTAAATTTTTGAAATGCATTAAAATACAAAAGATCTGAGAAACATGAAAAGATAGCTAGAATTGCTCTAACTGAATTATAAGACACTAATTGGTTAAAGAATGTCAGAGGTAATTTTTGTAACTCCTGTGATGTAAAACTGCTCAAACTGCTTTTCTTTTTAGATCGAGAATACACCTTTCATCCTTGTTCTGAAGGTTGCAGTGGATTCTGAGTATTCTGGTGTAACAAATGCTCCAGGTAGGTATAAGAAGTTCAATGAGAAGTAAAATTGGTATTTACAGATATTTTTCTGAAGGCATCTACTTTTAATATTGCATTTATTTTCTTGAAATGCCATGAATTGTCTGTAAACCTAGCAGATTGTAAAATATTCTGCACGTCTTTATTTCAGTGCCCAACTCGCTGCTATATCACCGCCTAGATTTGATTCCACATAATACCTGCATGCACCTCAAACAGCTGGCTACACTAGGTGAGTGAAATACTGGTACTTTGAAAGAAAGATAAGGTAGAAAGAAGAACATTAAATATTTTTATTGTCTGAAAATTGGTTAAAGAATTGTGTTGGTTGCAAAAAATTATGATGTGGATTGTAGTCTGTAGCAGTTTTAACCAACCTATGGAAATGTGTTTAATTTCTTACAGTTCTTACAATTCATATTGAAAGACAGCTGACAGAGTTTCTGTACATTAAATCCTGTGAATTTTTTGTCTTTTGTAGAAGCCAGCACTGTGTTCCTCTCTGCATCAGCTTTCACCAGTCCCTTTGAACATCTCAATAAGCCAGAGAATAAGAAAGATGCCAAGGAAGTGGTGCAGAGTTATGTGGCATATCTTGGAGATGATACAAAACTGATAGCTAATCCAGGATTAAAGGTAATCTCTTGAACTTCTTTGGATAGTTTCAGGAGTGGTCTTGTCATGCCTTTTTAGGTTTTTACTTAACCCAAAGAGTAAGTGTTGAGTGTAACAAACAAGTTTTGAATCAAAGTCATATGAGGGCTTTAGTGAAATTATTTTTAAAAAAACATAATTTGAAAGCAATTATCCTGTTTGCCGTGCTGCATTTCCATGATTTCTCTTTCCTCTCCTCACAGCCTGAGGTAAGAGATGATGTGGCTGCAGTGTCCAGAATCAACTCACAGTGGCTGCAGCAGTTCAAGAAGAGCAAGCTGAATGATTACATTGTCAGAAGGTAGGTGTTCTGTCTTGTTTTTGCTTTTAGAGATGACCTTGTAGCAGTCACAAGATCTAGCCTCAGTATTATGTTCACAGGAAATGGCTGAGAGTTTCAAGTGCATGGATTTTAGTCTCATTACTGTATAAGAACGAAAATGATCTCATGTAGCAGCCAACACCAAAGTTCCTTACATTTTTGAAGAGTAGTTGGTGTGTTAAATTTGTATTTAATTTTTGTGTTGAATATTTCATTAAGTTTGTGTTCATTGTTTGTGTTAAATATTTTATTTCCTGTTGGATATTATAGATATGTGGCCACCCCAAGTGGAGTGTTTAGGCTGTTTCCAGGTGGTTTGATAGAGAAGAAATTTGACCCAACCAAGAGACCCTGGTAAGTTATTATCACATAGTCAAGATACATTACTTGCATTTCTAGCAAAAATCAAGAACAGTCCCCAATGTTGTTTCCACTGCAAATGAATTTACAGAATAAAAATTTTGGGACTAATGTTTTGTGCCCAGTGAATTTAAACCTATTTTGATGACCTTCAACTCCAGGTATGAGCGTGCCATTGAGAACCCAGGCAGTGTGGTGCTGACAGAGCCCTACCTAGACGTGTATGGAGCAGGCTATATAGCCACCATAAGTCACACAGTATATGAGGGGAGGTAAGAGAATTATACATGGGCTTCACTGAACATACAGTATTGTTATATGATTTAAAATATGATTTTGTCAAGTTACTACTGTTTTGGTGTCATGATATAAGAACATAATCACAATAATACCAATGTGAAATGTACTAAACTATCACAGTACATCCAATCTGATGATTACTACTCTCTAGCATTCAAAACGAATGGCTGATTGCATTTTATGGTCACTGCTCATTAATTAAAATTCTTTTTGAAATGATCTCAACACGACCCATCCATTGTATTGTAGACCTGGTGGCAAGCACAGTTCCTCTGACCGTATAGTAGCTGTGATGGGTATTGACATCACCATGCGGTATTTCTACAAGCTGCTCAGGGAGGCCATGCCACACTGTGAGGACAAGAATATAAGGTAGGCTGTGGGGGTTGGATTTATATGTCGCGGATTTTATTTGACATACTCATTTTCCTACAGAAATGTGAGATGTGATACACAAAAAAATTACTTAAAAGCTTTTGAGAATAAACTTTTGAGAATAAACATTCATAATTCATTTTTCAAAGAAGAGTAGCAATTGAATACACTACAGAATAAGTGCTTTAACATACTACAGTAATTTGGCAGACAATAGAAGGTTGATGGCAGCTTGCAAGTAGCTTTGTCTGCATGGCAGAAAAAAGTACTACTCAACCCACTGGTTACCATGTGTCTATCATTTTTGGTGACTGTTTGAAACCTGGAACATTTTTCCTTTCCAGGTGTTTCATTCTGGACAATAAAGGCTACCTGGTGGCTCATCCTGGCCTCATAGAACCCAGTGAGAATGGACCAGAAGAACAGAGACACATCACACGTATGGAGTCCCTAGTAGCCAATGATATACTACATCACAAAGGATTTGTGGAGAAGAAACTTTGTAACAGCTTCAGTGATAGGACCATTCAGAGATATTACCATGTAAGTAGGATAGGATGGATTGTTGAAATACTTAAGAAAGGCATTTGTTAAACTAGTTCTTTTCTTTTGAGTGTGTGATTATCTTGGTAAAAAAGTCTTTTACGTTTTCTTTTTCTATTTTCAGTTTAACAAAAACATCACTGGTGTGTTGACAAATATGAAACATGGGGAACATTGTGTAAAGTATCAGGTAAATAAATTATCACTTCTTTATTGAATTTAAAATCATGTCCAGCATTTTGGTTGTGTTGTAGATAGACTATGTGTTTGCTTGTTGAAAAATATATGTGAAATGTTAATGAACTTGTATTATTGTAATTTTTGTTCTTCTTGTTTTCTTCTTTATATTGAATATTGTAGGTACAAATCACACATAAATTGGTTGTTTCATTCCAGATAACTGCCATCCCTTGGTCTAACGCCTTCCTTGGTATTGTTAACCAAACATGTAACATGATGAAAGCTTTCTGTCCATGCAGTGTGGTAAGAAGACTGTTGTGCCATTGAACATAACTAGTCAGGCGGTTAAGTCCAAATTCTATTTCGTTTCTATACAAATGAGGTCATACGAGATTCCCGTTTTATGCGAGAGCATATGCGCACTTGCGCATATCTTCACTTCCGGTTTCTTGTCGAGCGAGCACAGCACGTGAGGCCAAAGAGCGGCACAAAACTCAAAGAATACTATGGCTGATAAGGTCGGAAATAGACCAATAGTTACAAAATGCCGCAGGACCACAAAAATCTTCCGACGGGAAGTCAAAAGAAGTGGTGACGCATCACATTTTCTAACACGGAATCAAACATTGACGCAGAATAACGTTATTGAGAGAAATGAAAATGGCGCGTCAACGAGTACCGATAATGCCACGAATGTGGTGGGAAAATCAGTGCAGCATTAGAATAAATAACTGGCTCACTGAAGAATATGCAACGTGATATTTAGAAGCAAATGGAGGATTTTAAAAACAAAATCAGGTATGAATATCCTTCTCATGTTTATTAAGAAGAGTAAATGTCTGACGACACGTCTGTGTTTACTAGTAGTGAAGAGTAAATCTCTGACGACACGTCTGTGTTTTCTAGTAGTGAAGAGAAAATCTCTGACGACACGTCTGTGTTTACTAGTAGTGAAGAGTAAATCTCTGACGACACGTCTGTGTTTTCTAGTAGTGAAGAGAATCTCTGATGACACATCAGTATTTACTAGTAGCGAAGTGTGGAATTCAGATCATCTGGTTGATATGGCAGACGCTGCCCATGAAGATGATACATGTAAGATAAATGATAATAATGAAATAAAATTAGAGGAAGAATTTTACCAGAAAAATGATGAAAAATTGACTCCTTCTAACTGTGAAGGTTTGAAACCAATAATAATAAATGAGGGAAAATGGCCTAGCATCTGTCATGATGCTGAATCATAAGATTGAAGGTTTCACAGAGTGAAAAATTATTTAAAAGGGTGATTCCCCCTTGACACTTGAAATAAACAAACTCATTAGTAAATGAGATTCATATACTAAAGAATCTGGAAGAAGATTTTGAAGAATTTTTTTATGATGCTATGAATGCAATTTGAGCATTTAGTTGCACAAACTTTAAACTTTGTTCAAGAAGGGAAGAAGTTTTAAGACCTCACATAGATAAACTATACATATACATTTATGTGGAATTTCTATCCCAGGTACCAATAGGTTTGGTGGGGATGAAATAGTAAAAAGAATCAGTTACATGAAAATATAATGAATTATCAAGTGTCTAAGACACTGGTCCATCATAATCTGGGACTCCCAGAGGAAGCAGAGTTATCATGTGAGCTAGGGGAAGATATTTCCTTAGAGCAATGGATGTGCAAAAGAAATGGCACTAATAAAGGTCATATTAGGACCTTTTCACAGGCAATAGGATACAAAAAATTCAGCATCTTTGGATGTAGAAGTGTTGAAGGAAAATTTAAGTATGTCCTCAACATAACATTGCTAGTAGAATATTCCAGTGGGAATTGTCAACTTCTGATGCTTGGGTGTTACAGACTGTTATAAGTCTAAGATTGAAGTTTATGGATGATTACATCCAAAACAGACAACACCATTGGAAGAAATAAGATTCAAAGAATCTGAAGAAAATTTTATTGATACAGAAGTTTCAACATGTTTACATAAGTTGTCATTGTTGAAATACATAATCAAGAGGACAAATTTGTCAATACAATATATATATATATACTAGGCCTAAAAGGTGGCATGCATAGATTCAGAAATGCATATCATATGCCAAGAAATTACAGAGCATCAGAAATTTCTCAGATTTGAGTGGAGAAATAAATCATACATTCTGCCCTTAAATGTGGCTATTCAGATGTTCTGGAGCATTTAAAACTTATGAAAGGCATCATGTGCAACATTAAAAAGGAAAGGAATATTATGATATCATATGTAGATGACATTTATATACAAGATAGTTCAGAAAATGAATGTCTTTGGGCAGTGGAAGAAACTGTCAAGGTTTTTCAAAACTTGTGGGGTTTTGATCCATGAAGAAAAGTCTATTATAATTTATCCCAACTCAAGAAATTCTATTTTGGGATTTGAAAATAAATTCTGAAAACATGACTGTGCAACTTGCCAACAAAAAGAAAGAAGTTCATAAAGAAAAGATTGATGTTTTTATAACAAGAGATGACGCATCTATTAGAGACACGGCAAAAATAATAGAAAAACATCAATGTCATGTTTGCATGAGTCCGATATGGACAGTTGCATTATAGGAACTAGAGAGAGGAAAAATTAAAGCATTAAAAGAAAATAAAGATGATTATGAAGCTGTAATGGATTTTTACAGATAAAGGAAGTAGACCTAGAATGGCGGTCTAGAAATATTTTTATATGCAACAAGTAAAATTAATCATGGCAATGCACAGATTGAAATTCAATCGAGTGCTACTCTTTTAGCAGGGTTAGATGAATGTAGAAATATGAGAATTGGTGGATTCTTTACTGAAGAATTGTATTCTGTCATGATAATTTTCAATGCATTTGAATTGCTTGTTATAAAATGGCGTTACATGCCTTAATTCAATATATCGAAGGAAAGATATGATAATACTACTGCAGTTGCATATATTACACATGAGGTTTTGAAATCCTCATGATCAATTTGTGATGAAATAGTATCACAAATATAGGAAAAAATTATTACATTGAAAATGACATATGGCTTACTGCTAATTATTTGCCTGGAATATAAAATGTAAAGGCATACAAGGAATCAAGAAATGTGAATATTACAACTGAATGGTCACTAAATAATGTGTGTTTAAAAAGTGACAGATATATTAGCTATGCCACATATAAATTTTATTAGATCAAGATCAAATAGAAAATGAGGAATATTTGTTGCTTGGAAACCAGAACCTGGTACTGAATACAACAATGTTTTTGATATCTTAGGAGAATGTATTCCTCCTTTTCAGTCTGATGCCCAGAATAATCAAGAAGATTCGGGAAAGATCAGGCAGATGCTTAAGTTGTGATACCTTTATGGTCGACGCAAGCATGGCTAAATCAATTTAAAGGAAATATTCACTAGAAGATATTCCTATTCTTTTACTGCCAGCAACAACAGCATTAACATCTTTTCTCACCAGAAAGGGGTGACACACCCAATAGGAGACTATATGAATTTTTGGCATGCAAAGTATCAGGAAAACTGTTGAGTCAGATAGAATTACAGAGAAAGCTATTGAAATCATATTTAAAGCATATAAATATCTGCAAAAAACCACTATTCAGTCTATATTAAAAAGTGGAGAATGTTTTCAAATAAAGTGAAGGTCATTTGAATAGACCAACTACAGCAATGTGCTAGACTTTTAAGTACATCTCTATGAAGATGGCTCAAATAACAGTGCTATAGACACTGCTAGATATGCATTATCAACAACTATTGGCATTGTTGCTTCGACAGTTGGGAGACATCCTTAGATTATATGGTTCTTGAAAGGAGTTTTTAACACTGACCCAGTGAACCCAGATATCAAAAAGTTTGACATGTATCAATTGATTAACATTACTTAAGAAAACTGTCACCAGTAAGACAGTTATCATTGAAATATTTTTTCAATGAAGTTTATCATCCTCAGGTCTCTTACATCTGCACAAAAAAAAAAAAAGATTTTGTGCATTTTTTGAAGTTCAGAGAGTTAGAACTTCACAAAAACTGTTTTATTTAAAATCATAGAAACTTTGAAACAGTTCAAGACCAGGTGTTGGTACAACAACATTTACATTTTTATGGTACCCCCTAAATAGGGGATTGCATACATTGATATGTGTTAAAGAATATTTGAAAAGAACAAAACCATTAATAAATGGCAAAGTAGAAAAAAAAAAAAATTATTAGTTTTTTGAAAGCCTTTTTTCATCCGTTTCAAGAGATACAATATCAAGATGGATTCGGATGTTGATGCACCAAGCATGTGTATAAGAAACATTTAAGGCTCATTCAACCCAAGCTGCAGCAGTGTCAGCAGCAGAAAGAACATAATTTCCCGTATATGATATTTTAAAAGCAGCTTGATGATTTTCAAGCAAAGCTTGCTAAGTACTACAATAAACCTGTTGAAGGGAAAGAATTTTCTAAAGCAGTTTGAATAATTGGAAAAGTTATGTAGTACTATATTTTGAGCTAAACTTGCTCTCGTGACCAGCAAGCTTCGAACTGTGAAGATATGCGCAAGTGCGCATATGCTCTCGCATAAAACGGGAATCTCGTATGACCTCATTTGTATAGAAACGAAATAGAATTCAAAAATTAAATGAGATTTATTGAAATTTAATTGAAATTCTATGAAGTTTCTAATACAAATGAGAGGTCATACGCCCACCCACCTCCCCTATTCCACAGCAAAAAAGGGGGAGGGGGGGAGTGCCTGGTTTACATAGAAACATGTAAAACCACATTTATGGGTTGATATTAATAATGAACCTAAGATAACTATGTTATCATGTAAAAAATCATAACCATTTTTATGGGTTGATTTTTATAATACACCTTAGATAATTTTTATATTATCTGAGAAACAAGGAATTTATATTCCTTTTGTTGTAAAGTGGTATTATAATTGCAACAAATTTCTGAGTTTGCAATGCTGGTCACTCGAGTTAGTGACTATCGTGCGCATGTGCTCTCGCAAAAACGGAAATCTCGTATGACCTCTCATTTGTATTAGAAACTTCATAGAATTTCAATTAAATTTCAATAAATCTCATTTAATTTTTGAATTATNCTTCTCTCAACTGATGCAATAATAAAATGTTTTTGATCGTTAACTGAGATATTTTGCATTGGTAATGTCTTGGATTTTTGCAAAAACAACAGACACTTTCCTAATTTTTAGTTTTTACTGACTGCTTACGTTTTTATTATTTATATATTTACAAAAAAGTTTATGTTTGTAAACTTTATATATTAAATTTTATGAAAAACTTGTGCTCCAAAAAATATGAATGAAGGAATGATTAAATCCTTAAATGAATAATGAATTTTCAAAAACGTAATGATAAAAAAATAAGGCAGGACTGAAGATTGTATATAATATAATACATATGATATATTCACAAGGTTGATCGGAAATGCCTGAACTGCAAGCGTATGGAGCAGAGTGAGTGTGAGTGTCCCTGTGAGTGTAAACTAGAGATGGACTTCTGCACTGGGGACCTGCTGAGTGATGAAGACAGGTGAGTGGTCTGATGCCTCTGAGAAAATGTTCCAAATGAAATAAAAATTCGGGGTGAAATGTACATGGACATTTGCTGATTCTTTGTTGAAAAAGGGCTTCATTAGCAAGATACAAGAAACACCAAGACATTTGAAGTAGTTATTATATTTAAGGATCATTGTTTGTCAATCAGTTCATAATTTTAGATATTAGAGTTGTTATATAAATCACCACTAATTTTATGGATGTTACAGTGCTGAAATTGTCTTCTTTCATTGAGACATCGTAAAAGAACGCCCTAGAGAGCAATTCATAATGTTTTGAAAAACGTGCCAAAACGCACTCAAAACTTAAATTCAGTTGCATAAAGATTCAGATTTTGAGCAGGGACATTATGGAACAGGCCTCCCAGGAGAAAAAAATTGAAGATTGCAATAATGCACCAACAGTCCCTCATGTTTGTGATGATTGAAAAACATGAGGCAGCCTTTGATCAGCTACATGATTTTTACTTAAAATGTGTAAATATATTTAAACAGTATATCAATGTATCCTGCAGTCTGTATCATTGTGTACCTTGCAGTAACCCTAGCTGTCCGCGGCATGCAGAGCCTGTGTCCCTGGTCACTATCCCTGAGGAGGTGAAGGCCAAACTGCACCAGTGTGTGCCCACCAACTGTGGGGACAGGAAGACTGAAAAGTAAGGCTGAACTTGGGGCAGGGTGAAAAATTGTGGTGTCTTAATATTTAACAGATTAATAAGTGAAATGAAGTTATATATATTGTGTGTGTGTGTTTGTGCAGTTTAGACATGTATAGAACAGTATTAGATGCTGGTTACTTGTGTGACAATCTTTATAAGTGAATTTTTTAAAAACTTGCTTTGTATTTAAAAGAAAAGATATTAATGTGCAATATATTGATGTGTTCCAAGGGACTGTTTTGGTGTCCTTAACTGTGAATGGTGTGTGAGGGAGAAAGACTTCAACACCCTGCTGAAGAAGCCATTTTGTACCAATCAAAATGTCTGCTTTGGTGGTGTGCTGGGAGCTGCCACTCCTTATGGTGATCAAGTCAGAGGTGAGAGCATTTTGATGTTTTAAATATATAAATTTATGTTCCAAAGTGCATTTTTCATTCATTCTCATAATTAAGTCTCACTGTTGTTGAATGTTAATATACTATTACTTGGCATGGTGTATACAGTTCCCATAATTCTTTAATTTCATTTTGCTTATATTGCTTTAATTTTAAATAACCAATTCATTTAATGTAGTGTTCATTATCAAATTCACATGGGTAGATGGCAGTATGGGCATTTTTTAGAAAAAAAAAAATTTTTCAGCTGTTGACAAGAACTCTTTCATCAACACGTTCATTCAGCATCAGGTTGAACAGTTAGTACACTTTCCATTTTTAGTGGTAACCCAGGAAGATGAAAGTATATTAGGTAAGACCACCCCTGTGGGTCCAGTAGCAGGGGGGATCATGGGTGTGTTCCTGGTCCTAGTCCTGGGGATCTACTGCTACCGTCACCATGTCCACCGCACTGGTCATCAGTATGTCACTGCAGTGCCAGACACTCAGGTCAGGATGTCACAGCTGGACAATGAACCTGAGGAGCTTGAACCTGAAGAGATTGGCACAGGTAGAGTCTTTACTTTGTTTGTCATTGATCAGTACTATTTTATTGCTAACACATAACACAGTGAAGCTGAACTGTTTTCTTTTATTACTGCTATCAGTAATTCTATTTCATAATGACAAAGTTCAGAGCAGTGGTGGTTGTAGTAGGATCAGGAATTATTTCACAAATAGCGTCTCATGTGGGTTATTTATTTCATAATCATACAGTACTAAATTCCTTTCTTATCAGGTCACACCAACATAGTCTTAGCAACATTTGACACACCTGCCAGTATTTCTCCATATAGAGTGAACCCTAACTACAGACGACCTCCAGCAGGGGGCGATAGTGATCACGGCTATAGCACCATGACTCCACAGGATGACAGTGAACAGGCCAGCATGACCTGCATTGAACCTCTGATTACAAACAAAGACAGAATAAACAAATACAAAGCACAGCAATATATTGGGACGAGATTACCCACAATCCCTCCGCCTCCTCAGTCTGCTCATAGGCGTAGTCGCAGCACCAGCAGAAGTCCTACACCAGCACAGCAAGGAGGGACTTTGTTACCGGACGATATTTGTAAGCCTCCAGTTAGTGAACAGACAATACTACCTCAGGATCCACACTGCGTGATAGCTCCCGTCACAGTGCACATGGTGGATACACATTAGCTCCAACCACAGTGCATCTGATGGATACACATTAGCTCCTACCACAGTGCATCTGATGGATACACATTAGCTCCTACCACAGTGCCTCTGGTAGAAACACATTAGCTCCAACCACAGTGCATTTGAGAGTTACACATTAGCTCCTACCACAGTGCATCTGATGGATACACATTAGCTCCAACCACAGTGCATTTGAGGGTTACACATTAGCTCCTACCACAGTGCATCTGATGGATACACATTTGCTCCAACCACAGTGCATCTGATGGATACACATTTGCTCCAACCACAGTGCATCTGATGGATACACATTTGCTCCAACCACAGTGCATCTGATGGATACACATTAGCTCCAACCACAATGCATATGGAGGATTTTTTTTTTTTTTTTTGGGGGGGGGGGTTATTGGAAAGAAAGTTGTCAAAATTGTTGAGACCCATTTGGAAAAGATGGCCTTATGAAAAAACATTCATTTTAGGAAAAAAGTTAATGTGCCTGGGTCTCATTATTTTCACAGTAGGCTTCATTATGTGCCTTAGTAAAGAATCTTTCAAAATGGTTTTCCCTTGATAAAGAAATCTTGGCCAAATGCCTGTTCTTGGAGAAAAAATGTTTCATTCTTGATCACGTTCTTCACAAAGTTGAAATCATACTTTGAAGTACACAGAGATTCTTAATGGTGGTATTGTCAGTTGAAGATGTAGTCTTGGAATATATTCAAAGTATACAGACCCTATGTAAATCATAGTGCCATATGGAATCATTTGATAAAAATGTGTCTGATTTTACGAAGTGCCTTGCAGAGGAAGTGTGTGAACAAATTGACTGAAGTGCATGGGTTCTTTTAGGAAGTTATGAGTTGCTCTGTAGCATTTGTCTTAAATCAGAATGACTTTTAAGGTTGGCAGTTAATTTTTAAAGAGAGCATCACCAGCTGTCCATGTTTTACATTTATTCAACCAGCATTAGAAATTATCCATAAGTTCATAACTGGCAGATAACTACATAAAATGATTTTAATTATGATTCTTTTTATAATGTGTCTGAAGCATAACTTAATTATGTAGTCCCATTATGTCTTATATTGTGTATTGGCTGTTGAAAATGATCAGCAGCATTTTTGTAAAAAGTTTGTACATAATGTAGCTGAAAATTATAGTTTCTATTTTATTTACAGTATTTGTATCGGCGGTAGTTTTACAGTATTGCATATACAGGTGTTGCTATTTACATTTTATATACATACATGCTAACATGTTAACTCATCTGTATTATGTGCCCTTCTTAGAATGTGCTTCAACTACCATGTAGTTTTGATATGTTCTTTATATCATATTGGAGCCGTTTGAGTGAAAACAGATCGTTTAAACTTTATCAAATTAATGTATGAAAGAAGTCTTACTCAAGGCCAATAAACTCCTCGAATTTTGCTTGTTTGGTCAGTGCGTTCTTTGGTCTGTTTGTTATGACGGCAGATTTTTGTTATGTCGAGGAGCAACAAGCAACGTGTGCCTAACACCGTTTAACCCAACTGGCCTTGCGTTGTGCTTTTATAATCGAGACCGTGAACGGTGACCTGCGACGACCTTACACCAGTGATAACGACTCTCACGCATCGGCGTGAGGTGGTTGGCGCAGACTTCCCATGGGAGGGAGAACAAAGTATGTAGTATAGACCGCGCTAGCCATTTCATGATAAACTATAACGCTTTAGTTAACAGTATGCCCGGTACTCAATTTATTAAACGTTGAATCAATTGTATGTTTATCGGACCTTGTAGCTAAGCTTTCATTTTATTTTGTATTTTATTACATTTGACATTTCCCAATTCTTCAAATTTTCTACACTGACGAACTACAGAGTAACTACGATCGCGCATTAAATATATTTTTATGTCTCAACATAAAATTACATTCATATTTTAATCGATGTCACGAGAAAATAGTAGTGATGACTCAAAATGGTAACGGTTTATTAGAAATGTGTACGAAAGCTATCCGTGCAGAAAGCTTCCGTAATTTCTGTTCAAATAGCCCGCATATACCACACTACTAGTTGCACTTCACACCTGTAGAGCAACCATATTTTTAACCAGTAATTTCACCCTTTAGAGGTCATCAAAATTTTTCATAAGCAGATATCTTGGGTCTGGCTATTTTGAATATGAAATAACCATTTATCCCTCAAAATCTCGGCTGTAACAACTGACCAGTCGAGTCGCTGGGCATGACTTCTCTTACAAACCATCTATGTGTGTAACTGCTTGAAAGGATTTCTTTTCTCTTAATTTTTCTATTTAAAATAGCCTGCGTGCAAGCCTAAAAGAATATTACATTTGAGTAATGAACAGCTTTCAATCCGGTGTCAAAGGCTGATAAGACGACAGGTACAATGCGTCCTTCTCATGAAGACCTCTCCTGGGCTCCGAAACTCGAAAGCATCGCGAACTGCAAATAGCAATCTTTTATCACCTTTTATTCCGAGACTATTAATATTATATGGGGCGAGTAAATCCCGAGTTATGGAATAAAGACACTTGCGCTCGGTCGGAGTTACGGAGCCCAGGCTGGCCACCGAAATTTACGAAACTGATGACGTTATTAGTGCGAAGAACATTTTCCGTACAGAAAGAATGATTGGATACAAAAAGTGCCCCCCCCCCCTCCCTTCTTGATACCCGAGAGCCGCCAGTGCGCACTTCCTTCTTCCATAAAAATAATAAATTACGAAAAAGATTTGACGATAGGACCCAGTGTGGGAGAGTGCTAGGGACCGTACCGCCACCATTTATACATATTTTTTTGTCTAGTCATGGAAGTGATTTTCACACACGAAAATATTATCTTGGTCATGATACCTTGCCAAACATGAGAACCTGAGTATCTCTAATGACAAATGATCATCGGCTAATGGTGGGAAAGTGGAGCGCAGGACCCATCCAGTGCTTCTTTCTCATAAATAAAGAAAGAAAGAAAGAAAAAGAAATATATAAAGGAACCACTCCTCGTCTCAAGAAACATGTTGTTTCATAATTATTTCAACGTAACATGAATCTCAAGGTTATATAATACTGATTACTAAAAATTGCTTTTTGTGCTGCAAAAAAAATCATCTTTGAAAACGAACCAAATATTCCATCCCTATTGGCAGGTTTTCATTGGGCGTGCGTCTGCTGTCCTCGTTTGACGATAATAAGTGATGCGCGTACAAACTGACAAAAATGTTATTATGAGATACACCGGGGATGGGGGGTTAGGGGTGTTATGTGCCCACCCCCTTCCAGCCTTTTAAAATATTGAATTTTCCCCGGGACTCAGTTATGACTGTCAATAAAGAAAAAATGACATATACAAGAAAGTATATTTCATAGTGAGGATCGTATAAACAATGTCAAACAAAAAATTTACAGACATGCTTTGCGCTATATGTCGAAGATGCTGCGTCTCTCAATCGTGTCTCTCCCAATTTGAAATTGTTATTCACCGACAGCAAGTTCCGTCCATATCACCTCGACACGATCGTGATGGGCATACGTCTACTGGAGGCCAGGCAAGATACAACCACGATCTACGAACAAGTTACGGGAAATGAGATACACACCTGTCACAGTTTAAATACTATTAATTGTCTTATATCATTGATGGACGTTTCCGAGTTCAACTGAATGTGAATATAATGTTATAAATGAATATAATGCCGTAAATGCAGTCCTCTGATTTGAGATTAGAATGAATAGTGCTTAGGTTTTTTAAACATGACATGTCCTCCAACCCTTGTATGTTCCAATAAATATCCGAAATTTATATACACCTGAGCGTTCAACTGATCAAAATGCGTGTGCTAGTTTGGTGGATTTACTGCTATATACTCCATTGCAGAATCAGCGTCTGATCTCTCGTCTATATCCGACGGATCCACACATTGTGCTTTCTGACACACCAGGGTGGACGTGAAATCACAGACACAGAAATTACAGCGACCTACCGAGTGATCATAGTCTTTTTCCAATTCACTACAATTCGGATAGTAACCCGAATACTTCGAACAGTCAGAGGCTGTGCACTCAACGTAAGTTGAAAAGCGTCCCACGCTCATGCACTGGCATTTTTTGCAATCGTCAAACCACGTTTCTCCAACTTCTCGCCCGTTGGAGCATAATGAAAGGCTGAGGTAGTACGACGGACTGTAGTCGTAGTTGTAGCACTCTTTATATGTGCAGGACGGTTTTCCCTTTAAGGTACAAATACACCAGTTGCATTCGTCACGCTTCCACACAGTTCCAACAGGATATATCCCGTGACATTTCACCTGTGCTTTACAAGACCAGTCTGCGCACAGTGGTGTGCCACGTTCTCCACAAATACACCATCGACAGCCTTCAAACCACGTTTCCCCAACAGCGTGACCACCGCGACAAGTAGTCGAACTGTCGTCACTGTAATCTAACAGATTTGCTCTACCATGGACATTAACGAACAAACTAGAGAACGTGGCTAGGAGGAGGCTCACTACCCTCATGTCGACAAGGTCCCAAACGCCAAACTAACCACCAAGTCCTGTGTCAACAGTTGTTTATATCATCTAATTCACATATTAAGTCCCAGTGCTCGACTGGGACTGCCAAGCACGCGCTAATACTCCAAATGGGTGACAGATGGGCATTATTTTCAATCGCTTCCTACACGACATGACAGCAAGGCCGGTCGTAATGTGTTGTGCGTTTGCCATGCCGTACGTAGCTGGTTTGTTTTTGTGTACCACTCAACACTGAGCCGTGCCAGGAGATTAACCATTCTGTATACATAACGCGACAGTTGGCAGAGAAGAGAAATGAGAGCTAAAATTCGCTGAAGGTTCACTTTCTTTATTTTACGTGTCCCGTTAGCCTACATATATTTTACAGAAACCATTACATAAACAGTAGAATAATGGCGGCGTTCATTCCCCGGCCGAGAGCAGAGGACATGACAATAACAGTGCCCCTATGGATATCTTGTCGTGACAATAACGCTTTCTTGAATAACATTATTTGTTATCATGACCATCTTAACACATTTTCTCCTTTCTCGGTTACAGAGGCGTTTGTTTCTAAATGTCCTTTAAAAAGATAAACATCATTGGAAGATGTTAAATCGTTTTCCAAATAAAAGGTACGATTCATGCGGTTTCACTGAAAAAGTAATAGCACGCCAGTATTCCGATATGTACTGAAATACTCTACCCTTTTTATTTTCTTTCCAGCTTTATGTACATTAAATTATATGTTCCTTGCAGTTTTCAACATTAACACTATCTCTTTCATCTTCTACTTAGAGGTGCATTCCATTGTCGTTAGATCACTCAATTATTTAAGGCAAAGTAAGTGAAAATCAATGTTGAAAAAAGTAATAGCATTTGTGTTAAATACATGTTATGTACTCTATAGACCATTAAAATCATTTTAACATTGGGAAGATTTAAATGTTCTTGGCCTTATCGGCTACGATTGCTAGTTAAGAAGATGGGTTAGATTGTTTCTGCTGGTTAATTTTCGCTGAACTCCCAGACTCAAATCTGTAAAAAGTTTGAAAATATCCAGTTTACAACATTTTCAGCTTTTAAGGCCAGGTGCTCTTTAGCACCAATCTCAACGAAATATAAATTCGGTCTATTTATTAAATACAAATATGCAAAAATGAGGGAAACCCTTCGTGCGTTGTATGTATCTGAAACTTTGTATGCAGACTTGGTACCGTATATGTACCATACCGTATATGTACCATTTCAGTCAAGACTAAAGATGTTAGATGTGGATTATCATATTACGCTGACATAGGACGACACCTTGGAATTCTGTTCAAGCCACCATGGATTATACCCCGCATTTGTACCGTTCCATGTCCTGTCATACAGAAAAACATGGACCAATCTGACTGTATAATCAAGTGTCACTTGTCTGTGTCAGGCGATTCCTCACGTGTCCCTCAGGCAATGTGTAGTACATACTGCACGGGAACTGTGGATGCAACTACATGTGTCACAGCCATCATGCCACCAGCTACCGAGTCTACAGTGGATGGAACGACGGACAACGGTGTATTGTCGTTGGCTCAGCATACCTGCTGAAATATGAAAATCTGGATTATTTTAAATTATACACTCGGGCAATCATCAGCGGCTTCCCAGAAGGATTATAATCATTATCTTATGGGAGCATATTAAGAGCATCAAAAGAAACGTAAATTAACTAAACACGCTATTTAACAATAAATATTTTTATCTTAAAGCTTTTATTGAAATATATAAAAATTAAAATATAAAAATTACCGCAATTTAAACATAGAGCACATAATCAATTACTTAAAATTTAAAAAAAAGCTGACTGGACCGAAATGCTCACACAATTTTACCTAGTTTTCTGCGTCTTGTACAATTCGGAAGCCTGTGGCAATGTGGCCTTCCGTCATTTTGACAAAGGCATTTAAAACAGCCATCTGACCATCCGCTATCTCCAAAAGGGCAATATTCCAGTTTATGGCCTTCTCTGTGACATCCAACTAAACGGTGGCAAGAAATCTGCTCGGTGCTATTACAAATGCATTCGAAACAGCCATCTACCCATTTGGATCCGAACATACAAGCAGGCCTGTTCTTAGCACCATGTCTGAATCTGTAGAAAGGTTTTATGATGAGATGTCTTTTTCTCCTAGCAGCTGACATAGTCAACGTCGGACAGGAATCTCTCGTGCACCGCACCTCCCCGTCACTGTCGCACGTGCATAGGTTACAGCCGTTACTCCAGACGGAATACGGACAGGCGGTTCCAGGTCTCTTGGCAGTGTTCTTCCCCGAGACGTGATTGGAATATACGGCGGGTTCATCAGCACCTTCCACGTGGTTGGGACTGGCTTCATCTTCACTGTGTGAGGGCACTAAGTAGTAAAACGGCCCCCTTTCTCGAATCTCGCGTAGAGCATCTTGCAAAAGTTCTTCCGTGGTTCCAGAGGCAAAGTAATTGAAGAATGTGATCAAAAGAAAGATGACAAGCGTTCTTTCCGTAAGTTGCATTTTCTTTAAGAAAATAATGCGCGTAAAAAAATTACCTAAAAGTGTAAATTTGACTTGTTTTTATACCACACCAGCAAAAGTCGGCGTGTTCGAACTGTAAACAAAATGAGGAAGTTTTTATGTTTGCAGAGAGACATATTTCAAGAAATGCGCAAGAGCGAGCCATATTTTACATTGTGGTATTCGATAATGGTCTCCCCAGGTTTTATATCGAAACGCTGCACCTTTGGCACAGAACTCACAACATTGTTCCTTTCTCTGAGCGTGGAACCAATCATAAATATTTCTGTAAGGAGTGTGAACACCGGACAAGCACCGCTTTTCTAAAAACTCAGCACACGAATGTTATGGCTCTGCAATAAACGAACATCATATTCTGGCATTTTTAACCTCCACCGAGCATCCTACAACGGTGAGGCACAAACTAAAGGATCATTTTCGGAATGATTTTTCAGAACGATTCGTTTTAAATAAATCAATTTCTCTCATTCTCTGGAAAGAAAAGAAGAAAAAAAAGAAAAGAAAAGAAAAATGAAACGAAAAATACGATTTTATTTTCATAGAAACAAACCTTTGTTAATAAGGTCTGATCTATTACCTGAAGTTAAAGTATGACATGGAATGTATGCGGGTAACCGCAAATTTTACGCAAGGCAACGCCTTTTTAAAATTCATATCTGTTCTACGTAGTACGTTAAAATATGAAACTTTTCAGTATATGTGAGAATGAGCACTTCATTTATAGGGCAACACGACACAAAATTTGGCACAGACCCAGCGTTTATATAAGGCTGATAACAATGTCTGAAAAACACTTCTTTAAAAAAAATAAGCAGTTTCAAAGTGAACAATGACACAAGGCAAGAAATCTTAAATTCCTTAAATGGCAAATAACAAAAAAAATTTGAAAGCATAAGCAAGGCGTAGGTATCATTTAAAATCTAACGCGTTCTGTTTTAGCCAAAGCTATCAAAGGAAAACTTAACGGACATAAGAATATTAAGACTGCATGAAATACTGATAAAAGTAGGTTACCTGAGGCAACTTAGGTAAATCTGCTGTTTAAAATTCTGTCAACACCTTTCCCAAATGTAAATGTAGGGAGGGAGGGAAAGAGAACACATAAAAGTGTCAAGCACACTAAAACACTTGATATTATCTGATTTTGCCGATTTTCATAACCGACCTTCGTCTTATCGTACAGAAACGTCTTATGAAACCTGCACTTTACTGATATAGCCTCCTCACCACATGACCTGGTGGCCTGAGGGCAAATGGGGCACATACATATCCAACATGCAATAAAAAGTGTAAAATCTAATCAGAAATCTTATTAAGATACATGTACTGGGCTAAATTTTTGGGTAAAAATATCCCAGCAAATGTTAACAAAATCAGGCACGTTTCAACTAGCGACAGTGAAGAAAAGCAATAGTAGTGGCGACACCATGGACAGACAGGAGAAATCACAATATATTCAGACACTTGGATAAATTATTTGTATCTAAAAGAATGTATATTAAGGGTGAAATAAAGGTAACAGCAAGGATTGCTCTGGTCACAACTTGTATACTGCATTTTGAATGCTGATGACTTAGTGTGGGGTTCCCTATATTAGATCCATCCTCCAAACCGGATTTTGTTAGGAAGGTAGACTTCTGATAGGAAGGTTGGAGACAGGCTAGTCAGACATTGGATTTCTGCCTTCACTCCTATAGCTACCAGCAGCTCAAGCTACAAAACAAAACATGTTGATAATGTCAATGCATTACATGTAATAATCTATACCAATGCAAACATGTCTGCTGGAGACAAGAAGGGGGGGTATTTTCATAAAAAATTTGTCTTGACAGTGAATTTCGATCTCTTTGTTAGAAGAGAATACCCTTTTAGTTTCTAAATAATATCATGATTGATACTAATCTATTAAATTCTACAGCAACGTTTTCATGCCTTAACATAAATGAACTTTACCTCTCTCTTCCATGCTTGTTGAGCCTGGAAGTAAGGTCTTTTTGACAGATCTCTAGCTTTGTCAAAATCAGACTTCTTCAGGGGAATTAACATATTCTGAGGAATCTGAAGTCTAATAAAGTTATTAAAAAATTACACATAAAGTAGCATGAAAGTTATGTTTTAANCCTTTTTCCCCTATTGTCAGTTCTGCATCATGGGTGAGTTTAACTATTCTGTTATTTGGTAGATTTCCAAATCTTTGGCAGTATCGTTGTACCTGTTTAACAATATTAGAATATAAAGGATAACGACCGAGCTCTGCGCGACTGGCATTGTTGCTGGCGTGTTTACTCAAACCCAGTGCCCATTTGCACATTCTCAAATGTGCTTGCTCAAAAGGCATTTGGTTAATTTTGTTCAGGGTCATCTTCTTTTCTTTGAATATTTCTTGGGCCCAAACTTCACAGCCATAGAGGAGTATTGGCCTGTTTTAAGACATAATTGAACCATTAGAATCCCCCAACCCCCTCAAAAAATAATTTAATTAAATAAAAAACATACAAAATACAGATTGCTTATCTTCTATTCTAGTATTGTCCTCCATGCATGTCTAGGTGATATGATTATTTCTTTCACTCTTTAAAAACAATTCCTGTTATTGTTTTATTTGTCTAGTCTTGTACTGGAAGTTGAAGAGGACACACTGTCTGACCTATACACAGATGAGTAAGCACATGGCACTTCTGTTCACATATCTGTAAAAACTCACCTGTGAATATCTGAAGGCAATATTCCTATCCACATAACAGAGGGGACAGTCAAGTTATGGGCCTCGAAGGAAAGAGCCTGAGTAACAATGAAACTGATGATTCATTAAAGGAAAAAATAAAATTCAAACCATACTTCTAATAATTTTATATATTTAAATGTTTACAATTAGCCCCCCAAATCTTGTTGTATAACACATACAAGTGGGGTTTTCTGTCTAAAACCTGAAAGATCACATCATAACTCCTTGACAGGTAGACTAGATTCACTCAAACATCCTCTCAGACTTAATACAAAAAAACATTTTTTTCTTGGGATTATAAAAAGTGTCATATGTCAATCCTCTGTTTAAGTGTCACTGAAACTTATGGTGAGTTATTAGTAACATTTTTTATCTTAACCTCTATTTTGGTGTTTGGTCTGGACCCATCATACATGTTGTTTAAGATCCCATTCCCATAGATTTTAGATCGATCTATCCCTGTGGGGAGTCTCACTAGATTACTGTCAGCTTAGCTGGCTTAAGCGTCTTTCCCGCCTACTAAAAGCTGTAAGGGGGTAATTAACTATGGTGCGCACTCGGCTGACTGCAATTTAGCGTGAAACCCCAGGGAGTTAGGTCGATCTAAATCTTAATCTCTGGATCGATCTAAATCTCTGGGAATGCACCCTAATGGGCCCAAGTTTTTGGCCGAAGCAGCAAATCAAAGCTTTGTTGATAGATTGTGCTCATTTGCCAAGGCATTGATAAAGGGATAAAAATGTGTCAATAAAATCTGGAATAATAAGGGCACCAACACAAATATGCAAATCCAAACACACAGCAATCCAAGTATATTAATTTAAAAAAAGAAAAATCTTAAATCTTAAGAATCTTTAGCATATCAACTGCCAACTAACATTTGACTTATCTCATTGCCATTTTGCATGATGCCAGCAATGCAGATCTTTTACCAATAGAAAACTATTTGGTTGTAAAATGTCTAGTCATTTTACTGCGGGAAAACATTAAAAATAATAAATCAAAATAAAATGTGAATACCAAACTTCTTTTTGATAAACATAAAAATGTATTATAAACCATTAACACTGAAACCATAAATTCTTAAAATTACAAATAAAGAAACAGGAACAGGAAATTATCTGATTGTGTAAAATAAACAAAATGTAAGTATAAATATGTCAATCAAACAAAAAAAAAAACATGACGGATATTTTACAGCACACTATCTAACAAAAACTACCAAAAGATCTCAAACATAAACGTCTTCGTGAAAATAAATGATCCATACTTTACCTTAGATCCAAATTTATATACACACATAATCTCCATACCTGATAACATAAAACAGTAAAGAACTAGTTCTTCTTCAAAATACAACCATTTAATATGTCATGATCCTGGAATATCAAGGTTAACCCCACACCTACAACACTTAAGGTAAATATTTGAGAAATATTACAAAACAGAAGTAGATGTCATATTACCATGAGGATCTCCATCCACAAAGACAAATGTAGGTAAATGGAATGTGTCCCAGAGTTTTCGCACCATTAACCTCGTGTTTAAATCAGGAAAACCTTTACCCTAGAGATAAATAGATGATTTAAAGACATTCTGCTCCTTTTTAACAACAGGAAACAAAAGGTGGTCTACAAAAGTGGATAATAAAAAGGTATGAAGACCTAAAAAGTTTGTTTCAACAAACTGTGCATGACTTTTTTAGTTCCTTACAAATTAAAAAAACTGACAGTATTTTAGGTTTAATATGATTATTCAAAAATTAAATTTAGGTATGTTTCATCTACTCACAGTCATCATAATGCAAGGTGCTAAAGATCTGCAGATGCCATCATCAAGGAGTTTTTGGAAAGTAGCATCTTTTTCAACAACCAACACAAACTTGGCAGTTGTACACAAATCTGATATGAAGTTAAGGGATTGAAATGCTTTACTGATCAAATTGGAAAAAGCAATATAAAACATAAAGTGTTTGTATTTTGTACTTGAAAGAAACCTGATCTTGTCACCTTAGTTTGTAATTCATTCAAATTCAAGGAACATAAGTTTTCAACATAATATTCAATTTTTTGGCAATACACAATGGCATGATAATAAAAATTATCATTACTAGTTGTAGTAGATTACATCAAAGAGATCAAAATGGCTGGGAGAATTCAATTTAAATGATAAAGAAAAGCCCTTTGACAATTCCTTTAGAAAATTACAATTTTGTTGACCTCCCACCAAACTGCATAAATGCAATGATGTCTTCTTATGATGTCATTATATCTTCTCTATCATGTCATCACACAAATTTTTTTCTTATTTTACAAGTTCATGCTAAATCATCTGTTTCAGCATTTAAGGGCATGTATTGGGTTGCATCATTTATGTCTAGACACCGAGGCCTTGAACCTGAAAGCTGAAAGGGGCGTGAGAATGGGGTGGGGTGGGGGAGGGGGGACAAACAGATATTTGAAAAACCATGGTTACTCAAGTTTTTCCTTGAAAAATTTTTACAAGTTATCTTTCTAAAGGATACTATACAAACCATGGACATGGGAAGGGACAGGAACACCCTGAAATACGTGTGTATTAAATTAGAAGAATGATACAAAGAAGAAGAATACGTACAATCCATGTATACTGCATACAACCAAGTGCTTTTAGAAGAGGCCAGACTGTCACTTCACCTGGGTTACTTTCACACGGTCTTTGTCAGTGAAACATTGTCATGAAGTTTAAAACAAATCTCAATTTCAAATGAACAGGTATATACAGAATGACACTGTAACAGTAGCAGTTAACTAACAATACGTACCTCCTTGAAGACAGACCCTCAATCTAAATTTTACGACTTAAAACAAATGTCTTATCATCAAATAATTTTTCATAGTCATTATTACAACTGTCAACACATATCTTTTTAGTCCTCTTATAATTGATTCAGTTTTCATAACTTTGATAATTTAACAATTTCAGCTCCACTATGGCACCTCTGGCACCAGATTCTACTTTACTTCCAGCTAGAACTCTTGGAATTAACTACTTTGATTGATCCTAGATTTCAGCAAGGTACACTGCTTAGTTTTCCCATATAAAAGATCCGACAAACAGTGACCCTTGGCCATCTACTTACTGCTGAAGACAAACTGCAGTCCACAAAATTACCATCTGCTTCATTGAATGTCAAATCCCCAGCTATGGAACCTTTGGATGTAGCCAACTAAAACATTCAGTAATTATTTCTTAGAGGATTTGAATAATAATAATAATAATAATAGAACATGGCAAAAAAGAAAAAAAAAAAAAAAAAAAAAAAAANATGTAGCTGGTTTGTTTTTGTGTACCACTCAACACTGAGCCGTGCCAGGAGATTAACCATTCTGTATACATAACGCGACAGTTGGCAGAGAAGAGAAATGAGAGCTAAAATTCGCTGAAGGTTCACTTTCTTTATTTTACGTGTCCCGTTAGCCTACATATATTTTACAGAAACCATTACATAAACAGTAGAATAATGGCGGCGTTCATTCCCCGGCCGAGAGCAGAGGACATGACAATAACAGTGCCCCTATGGATAGCTTGTCGTGACAATAACGCTTTCTTGAATAACATTATTTGTTATCATGACCATCTTAACACATTTTCTCCTTTCTTGGTTACAGAGGCGTTTGTTTCTAAATGTCCTTTAAAAAGATAAACATCATTGGAAGATGGTAAATCGTTTTCCAAATAAAAGGTACGATTCATGCGGTTTCACCGAAAAAGTAATAGCACGCCAGTATTCCGATATGTACTGAAATACTCTACCTTTTTTATTTTCTTTCCAGCTTTATGTACATTAAATTATATGTTCCTTGCAGTTTTCAACATTAACACTATCTCTTTCATCTTCTACTTAGAGACGCATTCCATTGTCGTTAGATCACTCAATTATTTAAGGCAAAGTAAGTGAAAATCAATGTTGAAAAAAGTAATAGCATTTGTGTTAAATACATGTTATGTACTCTATGGACCATTAAAATCATTTTAACATCGGGAAGATTTAAATGTTCTTGGCCTTATCGGCTACGATTGCTTGTTTAAAAGAGGATGGGTTAGATTGTTTCTACTGGTTATTTTTCACTGAACTCCCAGACTCAAATCTGTAAAAAGTTTGAAAATATCCAGTTTACAACATTTTCAGCTTTTAAGGCCAGATGCTCTGTAGCACCAATCACAACAAAATATAAGTTCGATCCATTTATTAAATAAAAAATATGCAAAAAATGAGGAAAATCCTTCGTGCGTTGTATGTATCTGAAACCTTGTATGCAGACTTGGTACCGTATATGTACCATCTCAGTCAAGTCTAAAGACGTTACATGTGGATTATCATATTACGCTGACATAGGACGACACCTTCGAATTCTGTTCAAGCCACCATGGATTATACCCCCCATTTGTACCGTTCCATGTCCTGTTATACAGAAAAACATGGACCAACCTGACTGTATAATCAAGTGTCACTTGTCTGTGTCAGGCGATTCCTCACGTGTCCCTCAAGCAATGTGTAGTACATACTGCACGGGAACTGTGGATGCAACTACATGTGTCACAGCCATCATGCCACCAGCTACCAAGTCCACAATGGATGGAACGACGGACAACGGTGTGGTGTCGTTGGCTTAGCATACCTGCTGAAATAAGAAAATCTGGATTATTTTAAATTATACACTCGGGCCATCATCAGCGGCTTCCCAGAAGGATTATAATTATTATCTTATGGGAGCATATTAAGAGCATCAAATGAAACGTAAAAATATCTAAACACGCTATTTAACAATGAATACTTTTTATTTTAAAGCTTTTATTGAAATATATAAAAATCAAAATATAAATATTGCTGCACTTTAAACATAGAGCATATAATCAATTACTTAAAATTCAAAAAAGCTGACTGGACCGAAATCCTCACACAATTTTACCTAGTTTTCTGCGTCTTGTACAATTCGGAAGCCTGTGGCAATATGGCCTTCCGTCATTTTGACAAAGGCATTTATAACAGCCATCTGACCATCCGCCATCTCCAAAAGGACAATATTCCGGTTTAAGGCCTTTTCTGTGACATCCGACTAAACGGTGGCAAGAAATCTGCTCGGTGCTATTACAAATGCATTCGAAACAGCCATCTACCCATTTGGATCCGAACATGCAAGCTGGCCTGTTCTTAGCACCATGTCTGAATCTGTGGAAAGGTTTAATGATGAGATGTCTTTTTCTCCTAGCAGCTGACATAGTCAACGTCGGGCAGGAATCTCTCGTGCACCGCACCTCCCCGTCACTGTCGCACGTGCATAGGTTACAGCCGTTACTCCAGACGGAATACGGACAGGCGGTTCCAGGTCTCTTGGCAGTGTTCTTCCCCGAGACGTGATTGGAATATACGGCGGGTTCATCAGCACCTTCCACGTGGTTGGGACTGGCTTCATCTTCGCTGTGTGAGGGCACTAAGTAGTAAAACGGCCCCCTTTCTCGAATCTCGCGTAGAGCATCTTGCAAAAGTTCTTCCGTGGTTCCCGAGGCAAAGTAATTGAAGAATGTGATCAAAAGAAAGATGACAAGCGTTCTTTCTGCAAGTTGCATTTTCTTTAAGAAAATAATGCGCGTAAAAAGTAAGCTAAGTGTAAATTTGTCTTGTTTTTATACCACATCGGCAAAAGTCGGCGTGTTCGAACTGTAAACAAAACGAGGAAGCTTTTATGTTTGCAGAGAAACATATTTCAAGAAATACGCAAGAGCGAGCCATATTTTACGTTGTGGTATTCGATAATGGTCTTCCCAGGTTTTATATCGAAACGCTGCACCTTTGACACAGAACTCACAACATTGTTCCTTTCTTTGAGCGTGGTACAAATCATAAATATTTCTGTATGGAGTGTGAATACTGGACAAGCACCGCTTTTCTAAAAACTCAGTACACGCGTGTTATGGCTTTGCAATAAACGAACATCAGATTTTGGCGTTTTTGTAACCTCCACCGAGCATCCTACAACGGTGAGGCACAAACTACATGATCGATTCGTTTTAAATGAATCAATTTCTCTCATTCTCTGGAAAGAAAAAAATTATAGAAAAGAAAAGAAAAATGAAACGAAAAATACGATTTTATTTTCATAGAAACAAACCTTTGTTAATAAGGTCTGATCTATTACCTGAAGTTAAAGTATGACAAGGAATGTGTGCGGGTAACCGCAAATTTTACGCAAGGCAACGCCTTTTTAAAATTCATATCTGTTCTATGTAGTACGTTAAAATATGAAACTTTTCAGTTTATGTGAGAATGAGCACTTCATTTATATGGCAACACGACACAAAATTTGGCACAGACCCAGCGTTTATATAAGGCTGATAACAATGTCTGAAAAACACTTCTTTAAAAAAGAAGAAGTTGGCAAGTTACAAAGTGAACAATGACACAACGCAAGAAAGCGCAATCTTAAATTCCTTAAATGGCAAATAACAAAAAAATTTGAAAGCATAAGCAAGGCGTAGGTATCATTTAAAATCTAACGCGTTCTGTTTTAGCCAAAGCTATCAAAGGAAAACTTAACGAACATAAGAATTTTAAGACTGCATGAAATACTGTTAAAAGTAGGTTACCTGAGGCAACTTAGGTATCTCTCCTGTTTAAAATTCTGTCAACACCTTTCCCAAATGTAAATGTAGGGAGGGAGGGAAAGAGAACACATAAAAGTATCAAGCACAGTAAAACACTTGATTTTATCTGATGATGCCGATTTTCATAACCGACCTTCATCTTATCGTACAGAAACGTCTTATGAAACTTGCACTTTACTGATATAGCCTCCTCACCACATGACCTGGTTGTCTGAGGGCAAATGGGTCACATACATATCCAACATGCAATAAAAAGTGTAAAATCTAATCAGAAACCTTATTTAGATACATGTACTGGGCTAAATTTTTGTGGTTAAAATATCCCAGCAAATGTTACCTAAATCAGGCACATTTCAACTAGCGACAGTGAAGAAAAGCAATAGCAGTGGCGACGCCATGGACAGACAGGAGAAATCACAATATATTCAGACACCTGGATAAATTATTTGTATCTAAAAAAATGTATATTAAGGGTGAAATAAAGGTAACAGCAAGGATTGCTCTGGTCACAACTTGTATACTGCATTTTGAATGCTGATGACTTGGTGTGGGGTTCCCTATATTTAGATCCATCCTCCAAACCGGATTTTGTTAGGAAGGTAGACTTCTGATAGGAAGGTTGGAGACAGGCTAGTCAGACATTGGATTTCTGCCTTCACTCCCATAGCTACCAGCAGCTCAAGCTTCAAAACAAAACATGTTGATAATGTCAATGCATTACATATACCAATGCAAACAAATCTGCTGGAGACAAGAAGGGGGGTATTTTCATAAAAACTTCTTCTTGACAGTGAATTTCGATCTCTTTGTTTGAAGAGAATACCCTTTCAGTTTCAGAATAATATCATGATTGATACTAATCTATCAAATTCTACAGCAATGTTTTCATGCCTTAACAAAAATTAACTTTACCTCTCTCTTCCACGCTTGTTGAGCCTGGAAGTAAGGTCTTTTTGACAGATCTCTAGCTTTGTCAAAATCAGACTTCTTCAGGGGAATTAACATATTCTGAGGAATCTGAAGTCTAATAAAGTTATTTAAAAATTACACATAAAGTAGCATGAAAGTTATGTTTTATAATAATAATAATAATAATTTATTCGAGCATTAAATGTGGCAGTTACATTTGTTAGCCCTCTATACTACAAATATATAAATAAATAAAAGTTATACATCACTATGGATTACTACTAATACAGTGTTTAAGATTATTAATTACAGTGTATACATTGTTTAAAATACTTATTACAATTGTAAATAGTTCAATACACTGAGGGAACACACATTTTCTTTGATAGGCTTATAGCTATATGTATCTAATGTGCCATACTTAAGGTTCATATAATATATAGCAGGATGAGGCTACTTCAGTGTGGCAGATGCTCATTTCTTTTGGAAATTGCCCTCTGAATGTATTTACCAACAGCGTACAATTCTTTCTCATTTTCTGGGCTTAGTATGATTTTAACCTTCTCGTCACTGCTTGCTAGGTGATGCATGTCACATTTAGGGAATTGTTTTAACATGCCCTCCCTCTCTTTTACATGGTGTCTACATTCTAGTAGGAAGTGCACTTCGTCCTCGATTGCAGGACAGTGGGGACAGAATCGTTCCTCGCGTGGTGTTTTAGGTCTGGTGTAGCGTCCTCTTTCCATTTCCAGAATATGATCACTGACTCTAATTTTAGCCACTTCCCTTTTTAATGACTGAGGGGCATTAGTTAGCAGGTACTTTTCAATTTTGTAGGACTTTTTTATCAGACTATAAGTTTTTAACTTGGTGCTTTGAGGATCAGTTAACTCTTCCCAGAACATTTTTTCAATTTTAGCATTGATTTTTTCCTCAATATTGCAATGTGTTTGGATTTGCTGAACCCCTGGGACATTTTCACTGTGAAGATTCCAAGTCGTTAACATAGTATTAATCGCTCCTGGCCAACCTTTTTCCCCTATTGTCAGTTCTGCATCATGGGTGAGTTTAACTATTCTGTTATTTGGTAGATTTCCAAATCTTTGGCAGTATCGTTGTACCTGTTTAACAATATTAGAATATAAAGGATAACGACCGAGCTCTGCGCGACTGGCATTGTTGCTGGCGTGTTTACTCAAACCCAGTGCCCATTTGCACATTCTCAAATGTGCTTGCTCAAAAGGCATTTGGTTAATTTTGTTCAGGGTCATCTTCTTTTCTTTGAATATTTCTTGGGCCCAAACTTCACAGCCATAGAGGAGTATTGGCCTGTTTTAAGACATAATTGAACCATTAGAATCCCCCAACCCCCTCAAAAAATAATTTAATTAAATAAAAAACATTCAAAATACAGATTGCTTATCTTCTATTCTAGTATTGTCCTCCATGCATGTCTAGGTGATATGATTATTTCTTTCACTCTTTAAAACAATTCCTGTTATTGTTTTATTTGTCTAGTCTTGTACTGGAAGTTGAAGAGGACACACTGTCTGACCTATACACAGATGAGTAAGCACATGGCACTTCCGTTCACATATCTGTAAAAACTCACCTGTGAATATCTGAAGGCAATATTCCTATCCACATAACAGACGGGACAGTCAAGTTATGGGCCTCGAAGGAAAGAGCCTGAGTAATAATGAAACTGATGATTCATTAAAGGAAAAAATAAAATTCAAACCATACTTCTAATAATTTTTTATATTTAAATGTTTACAATTAGACCCCTAAATCTTGTTGTATAACACATACTAGTGGGGTTTTCTGTCTAAAACCTGAAAAATCACATCATAACTCCTTGACAGGTAGACTAGAATAACTCAGACATCCTCTCAGACTTTATACAAAAACATTTTTCTTTGGCTTATAAAAGGTGTCATATGTCAATCCTCTGTACAAGTGCCACTGAAACTTATGGTGAGTTATTAGTAATATTTTTTATCTTAACCTCTATTTTGGTGTTTGGTCTGGACCCATCATACATGTTGTTTAATGGGCCCAAATTTTTGGCCAAACCAGCAAATCAAAGCTTTGTTGATAGATTGTGCTCATTTGCCAAGGCATTGATAAATGTGTCAATAAAATCTGGCATAATAAGGGCACCAATACAAATATGCAAATTTAAGCACAACACAATCGAGGCATATAAATTTTAAAAAAGAAAAAATCTTAAATCTTAAGAATCTTTAGCATATCAACTGCCAACTAACATTTGACTTATCTCATTGCCATTTTGCATGATGCCAGCAATACAAATCTTTTACCAATAGAAAAGTATTTGGTTGTAAAATGTCTAGTCATTTTACTGCGGGAAAACATTAAAAATAATAAATCAAAATAAAATGTGAATACCAAACTTCTTTTTGAAAAACATAAAAATGTATTTTAAACCATTAACATTGAAACCATAAAATCTTAACATCACAAATAAAGAAACAACAACAGGAAAAGGAAATTATCTGATTGTGTAAATAAATACAATGTATGTACTAGAAAAGCACTCCAAGAGCACAGACCTCCACCAAGGCAGCTATTTTTTATTATTATTGATTATTGATTGATATTTGATCAGGATCACCACAAAAAACTAATCATCTCTTCCTTGCCCCACTTCCGACAGTTCCTGAAAATTTCATCAAAATCGGTCCATAACTTTTTGAGTTATGTTGATGACAGACAAATAGACAGACAAACAGCAGTGAAAACATTACCTCCTTGGCGGAGGTAATAAATATGCCAATCAAACAAACAAACAAACAAACAAAAAAAAAAAAAAAAAACTTGATGTATAATTCACAGCACACTATCTAACAAAAACTAACAAAAATCTCAAACATGAACAGCTTTTTGTGAAAATAAATGATCCATAGTTTACCTTAGATCCAAATTTATACACACACATTATCTCCATACCTGATAACATAAAACAGTAATTTAAAAGCACTACAATTATTCTTCAAAATACAACCATTTAATTTGTCTTGACCCCAAAAAATCAAGGTTAACTCCACACTTACAACACTTAAGGTAAATTTTTGAGAAATATTGCAAAACAGAAGTAGATGTCATATTACCATGAGGATCTCCGTCCACAAAGACAAATGTAGGCAAATGGAATGTGTCCCAGAGTTTTCGCACCATTAACCTTGTGTTTAAATCAGGAAAACCTTTACCCTAGAGATAAAAAGATGATTTAAAAACATTTTGCTCCTTTTTAACATCAGGAAACAAAAGGTGAAATCTAGTGGTCTACAAAAGCAGATAATAAAAAGGTATGAATATCTAAAGAGTTTGTTTCAACAAACTGTGTGTGGCTTTTTTAATTGCTTACAAATACGAAAACTGACAGTACATTAGGTTTAATATGATTATTCAAAAATAAAAGGTAGGTATGTTTCATCTACTCACAGTCACCATTATGCAAGGTGCTAGAGTTCTGCAGATGCCATCATCAAGGAGTTTTTGGAAAGTAGCATCTTTTTCAACAACCAACACAAACTTGGCAGTTGTACACAAATCTGATATGAAGTTAAGGGATAGAAATGTTTTACTGATCAAATTTGGAAAAAGCAATAGAAAACATGAAGTGTGCTTCAAATGTGCTGCATTCGTTGGTTAACTGTGTTGATGAAAACTTAATTTTGCTGGTATTTTGTACTTGAAAGAAACCTGATCTTGTCACCTTAGTTTGTAATTCATTCAAATTCAAGGAACATAAGTTTTCAATATAATATTCAATTCTTTGGCAATACATAATGGCATGATAATAAAAATTATCATTACCAGTTGTAGTAGATTACATCAAAGAGATCAAAATTGCTGGGAGAATTCAATTAAAATGATAAAGAAAAGCCCTTTGACAATTCCTTTAGAAAATTACAATTTTGTTGACCTCCCACCAAACTGCATAAATGCAATGATGTCTTCTTATGATGTCATTATATCTTCTCTATCATTTCATCACACAAATTTTTTTCTTGTTTTACAAGTTCATGCTAAATCATCTGTTTCAGCATTTAAGGGCATGTATTGGGTTGTATCATTTATGTCTAGACACCGAGGCCTTGAACCTGAAAGCTGAAAGGGGCGTGAGAATGGGGTGGGGGTGCTGGAGGGTGGGGGTGGGGGAGGGGGGGGGGGCAAACAGATATTTGAAAAACCATGGTTACTCAAGTTTTTCCTTGAAACATTTTTACAAGTTATCTTTCCAAAGGATACTATACAAACCATGGACATGGGAAGGGACAGGAACACCCTGAAATACGTGTGTATTTAATTAGAAGAATGATACACAGAAGAAGAATACGTAGAATCCATGTATACTACATACAACCAAAGGCTTTTAGAAGAGGCCAGACTGTCACTTCACCTGGGTTACTTTCACACGGTCTTTGTCAGTGAAACATTGTCATGAAGTTTAAAACAAATCTCAATTTCAAATGAACAGGTATGTACAGAATGACACTGTAACAGTAGCAGTTAACTAACAATACGTACCTCCTTGAAGACAGACCCTCAATCTTAATTTTACGACTTAAAACAAATGTCTTATCGTCAAATAATTTTTCAGAGTCATTATTACAACTGTCTACACATATCTTTTTAGTCCTCTTATAACTGATTCAGTTTTCATAACTTTGATTATTTAACAATTTCAGCTCCTCTATGGCACCTCTGGCACCAGATTCTACTTTACTTCCAGCTAGAACTCTTGGAATTAACTACTCTGATGGATCCTAGATTTCAGCAAGGTACACTTCCTAGTTTTCCCATATAAAAGATCTGACAAACAGCGACCCTTGGCCATCTACTTACTGCTGAAGACAAACTGCAATCCACAAAATTACCATCTGCTTCATTGAATGTCAAGTCCCCAGCTATGGAACCTTTGGAAGTAGCCAACTAAAACATTCAGTAATTATTTCTTAGAGGATTTGAATAATAATAATAATAATAATAGAACATGGCAAAAAAAAAAAAAAAAAAAAAACTGTTAAAGAAAGTGAGAAAAATCTGAAAAAAAATCCATTTGTAACTGGAGGGGGTCAATAACAGTTTAACTACTCCTTTACTTCATTCTAATGATCTCTAATGACTTGATGGTCAGAAAAAAAAAATTCTAACTGATTGATGTTATACTTACCACCTTAAGGCACCACCTTGGGACCTTCAACATACAAGATATGTTGTCAATTATTTCATCTACAACGGACTGTGTCCCAAATAGCTGTGTATCTTGATAGTACATGTCCCTATCAGAGGAAAATGTTTTCATAATTACCATGGAAACAGCCAACCGCACATAGGAACCACAGAGACTACATGCACATAAAGAATANCTGTTAAAGAAAGTGAGAAAAACTGAAAAAAAATCCATTTGTAACTGGAGGGGGTCAATAACAGTTTAACTACTCCTTTACTTCATTCTAATGATCTCTAATGACTTGATGGTCAGAAAAAAAAAATTCTAACTGATTGATGTTATACTTACCACCTTAAGGCACCACCTTGGGACCTTCAACATACAAGATATGTTGTCAATTATTTCATCTACAACGGACTGTGTCCCAAATAGCTGTGTATCTTGATAGTACATGTCCCTATCAGAGGAAAATGTTTTCATAATTACCATGGAAACAGCCAACCGCACATAGGAACCACAGAGACTACATGCACATAAAGAATATTGATAATAACTTATCATAAATACCTAATAAATAATAATACTAAGTTATTCACATGTTTTGCCACCATTTTTTAATTTCTGTCCTACCTTTTGGTTGAGTATGTATTGGTCTTTACCAATAGGTGGATCATAGACATCAGCTTCAAAGTAAGTGCTGAAGAGATAAAGTCTGTATTAAATGGTTAATTTAAAAGCATAGACATCAGGTTATGTGCTGAAACAGTGTATTAAAAAAGAAGCGCTCATTTCATCATTTAATAATTTCTACTTTCTTTCTCCTAACTGTAAATATGGAGGGTAATAAGGTTAATCTTACACACACACACACACACACACACACACACACACACACACACACTTCTCTAGCAGTGCTTTCTGCATAGGACTACTTACCAAATTTTGGTAAAGATACTGGGTTATCAAATCGTGTTGTACGACTCTTAGCTGCAGGTTTCATTTTAATACCCATTTCTTCTGAAAAGCTAAGAAAATAGGTAAGTGATATGTCCCTTTTTTACCTTGTGAAGCAGCTTCAGCATATTGATTTTGATACTTTAAATTCATGAAAAACTTTTCAAATGTGGAGGAGTTGCACAATAACTACACAGTATGATAACATTCCTTAATTTAGAGAAATATATCTCAACTGATACAAAAGGAGCAGGATGAAGAACAAACCAATAAAATGAGTAGGAATTACATCTTTTTAAATAATTTTGTCAAACAATAAAAACAATATCTATTAATCCAATTTCAAATATTTTATATTTATTTACTGTGATAGGAGTAAACATTACCTGGTGTTGTCCCATGAGGATCTGTCTTCATACACTAATACTGGTGGATGTCCATGGCAGATGTCTGTCAGTATCTGAAAAGTGCAGTCTTCTATTGCTCTCAGGATACTGGATCTAAATATTGGATACAACATTGTTATAATCTCCCCCTCGCTCTCCCTCACTCGCTCTCTGTGCATGTGTGGGTGTTTGTCAAGTGCATGTGCATGTATAAGGCTAAACTTCATTCTCGGTCATTAATTTGCAACACATTTTAAATTCATTTATGTTTTTACTTAGATCAATGTCTCTAGACTGCTATCAAAATCAATTAATTTGGTAGTTCATTTATAAATGATTTTTGATGTTTTTACAAGGCAGCCAAATTAAAAAGCTATATTATAGAGCTGAGGTAAATTTGGGAGTGAACATTGATCATAATATTTGTTTGAAACAGGACAGACAATGATCAACGTGTTGACATAACTGAATTAAAAAAAGCGAAAATCATACTTACATGTATAAGAATGAGAATGTGTGTGTGTTGGGGGGGGGGGGGAAAAGTATCAGGATCTAGAGCTATGTTCTGACAGTCTTCCAAATTATCTTTGTTGATCTAAGGACGTATATTGATATATATGCGTCCTTGGTTGATCCATCCTCCAATTTTGACTGTCTTCCAACAGAAAAAATTAGATACCTATCAATGTAAATATGAAAATCTGACCGTCTTCTGGAAGACCCAGAAGACGGCCTAAATCCGCCCCTGAGTATACTGTCTTACTCATAAATACCCCTGTCAGCAGGCGTAGGTAACACTGGATAGTGAAGAGGTATACACAGAATCTCCCCGATGGAGTTGAAATTATCTACCTGTCAATCTTTTGCTTCAGTGGATTTTCAGCTGAGTTATCTAGCGAAGACAAAAACTTGTGGCGTAATTGTGAAATACGTTCACTTTCTAACAGAGTTCGTTGTAGTTCATCTACTCTTTGCCAGAAGTTGCCGTCGCCTGCTGCCATGTTCCCGGAAGTAATCGTCTGCTACTGTGATTGTGGCAGTTGAGATTTTATCACATCCCAAAACAATGCGTTGAAGAGGTAAGTACGATGAAAACACAACTGCTGCAACGTTGATCTTAATAAAAACGCTATCTTTGAAAAGAATTATGCCCAAAAATATTTATTTTTCAATATCATTACGAGTTTAGGGCATTGACTTCACTCCTTGCACGATTAAATAAGTTTGGTACTTTCCACCAACTCACAATTTTGATGTTGATTTATAAAGACCTTAAGCATCTGTACTCCACTAAAAACGTTACTGGCATAGATATTCCCAATCATCGATTCTTGAATGACAATTTACATTTTTTGCCACTTTCGGAAGGCAGATTTTTAAAACGCATTTGGAGGTTTAATTTAAGAGTATGACTATATTTTTGAACATCACATTTCTGTCATGGGAAGATGACCATGCGGCGTAATGACAATGCAGGGACGTAAAAAAACGAGCAATTTCGAAGCCATTTGTCACAAATAATGTACATTCCACTGATGTGATAACTAGTATTTTCTCCGATTATTTATGTTGGCCAAATACCCTATCTTAGAATTATTCATTTTTCACATCACAGTTGATCAATAACATACAGAAAGAAATCATACAACAATATTTGGTAATGACATCAATTTTATTTCCAGTACAAAAATGCCATTCCAGCTACTTAGGCAATGTCACATAATCTGCAACTACGTTTTTCCTATTCCACCTTTGGAAGGTAGAGAGCACAGCATTACATCTACATAGATTTATGTACACCAGGACTACATCTAATCTTCTGCTTTGAGGCACTCGTCATGGAAGCAAGTCAGGGTGTTAAATGCACTACACAAGTCAACTGCATGATGTTAGTCAGAAAATGAGAACAGCATTCCATATGGCCAGTGCCTCAAAGTTGAAAAAGTACCACATCTAAATTCTGGGACTAAATGTTGGTGCCTAACTGATTTTATCAAGATGCTTGCACTATGTCCTACAAAAAGCAGAGGTTTGTAAACTTTCAATTTGTCGTATATATGTATAAAGTAAAAATTTCACCACCTTGCTTTTATTACATGAAAATATGAAGCCCGACATAAACATTACATTTAATAACAATGACCTTTCAATCTGACATTTAAAATGCAACCAGGAGCAAGCTAATATAAACAAAAACAAGAAAGATATTCAGATAAAAAACTTTCTGTAGATTATAAGCCTCTTTTCAAAGGTTATGCCAAGTCTACATGTTTAAAATAACAAAATTAGCACATCTGTACAACTCGATTAGGAAGTTTGTCTTTTTTTTTTATACCATTTCAGTAATAAAAAGTTCACTCACAACTGCTTTGCTACCACAAAGTCACTGGCACTAAAGATACAGTGTTCTTGGCAATTTGGCGTATCTACTATTGATTTTCCTACATTGAGCAGCCTGTCTTGTACTTGCCAACTTACTAACTCTAAAAGCACTCCCTTGTCCTTACATAGCTTTGGTTAATTGTTTCTAATAATTTTTAAAAGCCATGCAGTAAGAATATCCTTGCATTGAAAAATAACTCCAGAGTCCTATGCTCATTTCTCAAAAAAGGTTTCTTTCATCTTTTCCTTGATCAGCTCTTTTGAATAATATATATGTTAAAATGGTGAAATAAAAATCTTAAGCAAAATATAGATTCTCTCTCTGCTACACCACCAGTGATTAAAATGAGAGGTTTGGTTGAGTTTATGGTGTCTTTCCAAGACAGACGAAAAATGGTACATTCCTGCGCAAAGCTTTCACAACACCAGAACACTGGAAAGAAAGAAACTTGATGTTAGCAACCTGGTTTAATTCATATTATATCAAAAACTGACTTCATGAAATTAATCCAAGTTTTAAAAAGTTTCCAAGAAATCACATTTATCAAGTTGCAAAGCAAAAGAAAGAAGTAACTTAAGGAAATAAAAAAGTGTATATTATCAATTTTTTTAAAAAATTGTTATTTTACATCATTATCTTTCAGATTTCTTTTTCCCCCTTAGTCTCACCTTACATCTCCACATCTTTAATCTGCTCCCACCTCCTCAGTGTCAGTCTTTATTTCTATTTTCTGTACTGTTCTATCTTGTGGAAGGTATTCAGATGTTACATTTGCGATAGCCTCAGCCAGCATCTGTGGAAAAACAAAGGGAAAAAGCTATAAAATATAGGAAGATGAAATTATTTAACTGACACCTTTTGTTTTAAAGTTATTTCTCTTTTGCACGTGAATTATTATAAACAGACAAACTTACCAAGTTAATCTTTGAGAAAGAACAAATAGGTTTTTAATCTTGGTTTAAGTGAAACAAAGGTATCCATTTCCAAACCAAAACAAACACCAGATGGCAGCAGTTCCCAGAGGGCCATGTTACAATGAAAAGGAAGATACAGTGAGCAGCATCCATTCACCTTATCATGGTCCAGTTCCTCTCCCTCACTGGTGATAGTGATCTTCCTCTGGATTGTGGTCTCCACAACACCATCACTCTCTGTTTTGTACTGGAAAACAAGCACAAAAAATACTAAATGTCTTTTTTTTCTTTTTTCTCACAGCAACACTGCTCATCTTGAGCACCATGCAATTATAATTTAGTGAAACCAATTGATTCCACTGGGCTATATTCAGTATAGAAATAGATTGGGAGGTTATCACTTCTTTTTAAAAACATACCCTTCAGCTGCACAACCTAGAAAATGAAAATTGTTTTTTTTTCTGTTATGACACAGGATCAACAACCTCCATGCCACTGTCACAAATAGATAGACTCCCAATGTGCAGTTTTCTTTCTCAAGGTGTCTTAGACAAGAGGATCAAACTGTGAACACGGAGCAAGAAAATGAGATGAGAGGATTTCACCATACAATGCAGAAAGAGTTACTTCACCTTGTGTGAGTCATATTTCATTTTCAGTGACCTTGCCAGTTTGAATCTTATGAAGACCACAATGAAATCTTTCGGATAACCTTTCATATGCTCATTTTCCCCCCAAAAAAATACATTCACTTCCTTCTTTTCTCTATTTGTGTATGGTTGGGAATGCTGGGAAAAAGAAAGATGGCCTCTACATCTCTTACCGTGGTTGTCTCTACTGTCTGACTTCGTGAAGCATGGGACTGAGAGGACACCAGCTCCCCGGGGAGGAGATCCCGTCCCCCGTCCCCTGAGCTGCTGTAAGTTACTGTACGGCTTTGTGTCTTTACAAGGGGAACATCAGTGGTACTGGTGGTTGTATGCTCAGCATTGGGATCATATTTTACTCTTTCAGTTGGCACTGTTGGTGGCTAGAATAATACATGGATACCACTATATAAGGACTACTCTTCTCAGATAACTGTGTAATCCTATGTGGTCAGCAACATTATGGGGCTTTTCTTCACACAGAATGGTTATGTTCCATACAGTAAGAAGCCAGAAGCCATAATGCATACTCCTATATAGTTTATTTAGTGAAAGCCAAAGGTTTGTTAACTAAGCTTTATTTTGTTTTTGCAGAGAATAAAGCCAATAACTTGGAGGCAAGGCAGTTATCTTTACCGCAAATTTCTCAGATATCAAAAAGCCCTTTAGCAAATAATATGAATCCACTGCGGAATTGAAACCTCAGTATTCGAAATTCAAGTCAATTCATAAATTATCTAAGGTGGAAGGAAAAGGAATTGGATAGCAGTGCACAGAAATAGAGAGGGAGAGGCAGGCTGTCTGACAGTCACAAACACAACGTGGCATGCATCTTGTAACACAAGGAATATAGCTACCAAAACTAGAAGAGAAGGACTGGAGGCTTAGTAGGAAGATACATGCAGCAGACTTGAAAAAGACCCTACAGGAGTTCCAATTTAAAGGGGATTCTGTGAATCATATAAAACTTGTGAACAAACTAAGCAATTGCAACAGCAAAAAAATCACACCAGACATTAAAAAAATACAACAGTTTGCAATTTTAATATTAAACTTTAATAAACTAAATTAACTGTCATACTACATTTAACAGGGAAACATGAAATAAAAATAAAATGAGAAACAAATATATGCCACAGGAAACTTAGGGACTAGGAAACTTATAAATGTGAAATACCACTGTGAATTCATGTACAGCTGCAACTTGAAGACCTTGGATTGAAAGAGCTTGACTGATGTTAAATATAACTGAATTTGACATTTCCACTACTGGATTATAGAGTAACAGGGTGTGTACACCCTTCCCTTTGTTGAAAACTATCATCCCCTCTTAAAATAAATAAACAAATAAATAAAAGATAAAAAAATGCATCAATAACATACCATGCTGCTGTCATCGCCAGTTGTCATGACCACAGTAGTGGTGGTTTTCTTGTAGCCATGGTGATCCTCCTGGCTCTCACCACCTGGCCCACCAGCACCATGGAAGAAAGCCATCTTACCAGCACCTTCACCAGCCTGAAGGAGGGCAAATTCAGAAAATATCTTAACAAACTTTTCTCAGGTACATATCTTCTTAGCAAAAGGCTGAAGCTTAGCAGACATACAAAAGGCCTTTTGAAACAAATAACTGAATTGGAAACCTTGATGAGTTATTTGAATGTAAAAGAGAGGGAGTTTCCAAAAAATTCTATTTGTTTCAAATGCCAAAAGAAAATTCCACATTGAAGAAGCAGAATCCCTGCCGGACGACAGCAGTGTTAAACACATCTAAGTCTGAAAGGAAAGAATGACAATTAACATTGAGGCAAACAGTTAATGGCTGTGGGTGCTCCCCTTTCCCTGCCACTTATAGTTTTAGTGCTCGGTTTTAGTAGTCTCAATTCACCATATGCAGAACTAATCATTAGCATGCATGCAGTAAGTTATATTTCTACCTCTAGTTATACCTGTAGCATTAAAAACAGTAAAAGAACTTTAACCAAATATGTTCATAATAAATTAATAAATGTATTCCTACTTCACAAACAGAATTATTTACAAAGATATACTGAAAAATAATTACTTTCATTCATTCCTACTATAACCAGACATGAATCCTTAAACCACAATTTCCATTAAATTTCATCATGTAGTAACTAATACAAGTATCATAAATAGCAAGCAAATGAAAAATTTAGAATCAGTGCCCTGGCTAATTAATTAACCATTTCCCAGTGTTAAAAAGAGTTCCTGCCACCACCAAATGCATCAAACTAAACCACACAGTGTGCTGCTAAACATAGGCAGCTCCTGCATAAGACAAAATTATTTCAGCAACATGTGTAAACTAAAAGTAGAAGCAACGTGTGGTAATGTTGAATAGAAAAAACCTTCTCATCTGGTGATGGGGAAGTGGCAATTGATGACGCCGACGTTTCAGAGCCAACACTGATGACCTTATGGCGAGGACTTTCCTCAATCTGTCAAACAAACATACCTCTAGGTGTCAGTTGTATTACTACCAAACATATGCCATGGCCAAACTGAACTATATTGCAATATATACATATATGAATATTCTTATAAAAATTAAAAACAATCTTCTACTAATACATCAGAAAATACAATAAATTCTACACAGCTGTCAAAAAAGTGACAAAAATTCTAAACACTATTATTGATTAAACAACAAATATACTATAATATGAATTTGTAAAAGCAGACTTGCAAAGCTGGTGTCAATATGAAGAGAATCTGCAGCCAATAGAGTTTTGACTTACTTTCCATAAACAGCAAGCAATTAAAAAAAAAGCCATAACTAATACACACAGCAAAAATATAACAATGATACTTATACACGGACATTGAAAAGAAAGCTCAACACATCATTCCAAACCAGCCTCAAATTGCATGGCTGAGTCTGCAGATGAAACTGCATCATGGCATACCCTGTGTATAGAGTTGAAAGTATGGCATCAAAATTTCATGTTTGTCCGTTTAATTGGGGCCAAAAACTCTTTCCAGAGACTGATTAAAAGTGGACATTTCAAAATGTGTGATTCTTGTGTCCACAGTTAAAACAGATAGTGCTTATGTGTTGGTCTGCCCATATTGCTCCTTTAAATGTTGTTCTGGACGAAAGACTCAGAGAAGTCATACAAAGCACAAAGACAAATGCAAAATGTACTTAATCATTATGAAATTAAATACAAGTACATGCAACTGGTCATGGTCCCAGTAAAAAAGATCTGATGGACAAAAGGAAAAATTAAATGCATAAATATAAATCAACAGATATCATGATCATTCCTTAGCAGAAATAAAAACATTCAAGTCATTTTTATAGTACATAGAGAGGTATGGATACAGATGGTAAAGTTTCCGGAGAGTACAAGTGTGTGTAAAGGCATACTGAGGCAGCGAGACAGCTGAAATCAACAGAGAAATATGAAAAATAAAAAATTATAATAAAAACAGGCACAAAGAGAAGAAATGGCACAGGGGTGAAGGGCAATAGAAGAGGGGGATATATGGACATGTTCCAAAGTAGGCGACAACATTTAAAAACACCGAACTACACACCGCCGTGGTCGTGGTGGTCTCAGTGTACATTTCAGCGGTCACATAACTCTCGGTGGTGATGGAGTCTTGCTGCGCGTGGAGATCATCTACCCCCTCGACCAGATTATTACTGGCCACGTCAAGCTGGATAGAATTCTCAGAACTAGAGCGACTACTTCCAGAGGAGGAAGAATTAGTGGCTGAGGTGCCATGTGCTGGGGAAGTAGTGGTAGTAGTGGTGATCAGAATCTGTAATGAGAACCAAAGATGCCACACCACAATAAAAACAAGTGCAGCAGCCAGCTGTGGAATAATAGAGAGAGGAATACTGAGTGTGTGTGGAGATTAAAACAAGTCATTCAAATATGACAAAGAGAGAATGAGAAGATAGAAAACAAAACAAACTGGGTGCCACCTGAAATGAAACATATCTTGAAGAAGCAAAATGCTGATCAAAATAAAGAAGAGATATGACATCTTGGTAAAATGGCTGAACAGTATGAAGAACAACTCCCTGCCATTTTCATACACATTGTGATGAATTGGAGTGCATTTGAGAAATTCCAGACTCATCTGCTGAGATGACCTTAATCTGCATACCCAAACACCACCCTGACGCTGAAATAGTACTGACACCTTGTAATATAAAACAAGACCAATATATACTGAAATGTGCTGCTTTCTTTCCTGCTCCCCCCAGCCACGGCAGTGTATCACAACAGTATGTACACAACATAAACCACCTGACCTACAACTAAGGAGATATACATGTTTATTAGACAAAACTAAGACAGTGCTAATTACAAAGTGGCACTATTCTAGCAAGCCTACTCTACTCACCACCACCTAGGAAAAGAAACCAACGTGAGTACGGAAAGTGAATGGGATTGACAAAGCTGTTTCTATGGTGACACAAAGATGTAAATTGGTCTTTTTTTCCAGACACGGGATCATAATTTCAAATTTGAGATTTCACCTGAGAACAGCTTTATCAAGTCCCTTGTGAAAATGATTAAATGATAGTAATAACCAAAAGAACCCAGAGAGATAAAAAGTGGAAGAAAATGGTGTATAAGTAGAGGTTTCAAAGAAAGAATATTCACCCTTTTCTTCTCCAGGTGTTCTGTTGATGGGTCATAACGGTCATCATCGTCATCACCTTCCCCTTGTCCTCCCTGGAAAGTGAACAAACACAGTCTGATGACTACCATACATGCCATCCCTATGAAGTCAGCGGATTCCAGGCAAGTATTAAATGGATTTATTACTACTAGGAATAGACTGATAAAGTAGACTTTGCTATGTTTTAAAACATAAAAGAAAGACAAAAGCAGAAACCACTGAAAATCATAAATAGTACCGCCACCTCAAAATTAAAGCCATGTACTGTTGATAATTAATTTGTTATATATTAAAACATTCTACATAAAAATATCACTGAAAGCACCACCACCTCAGACCAGTCAAAAAGAACCAATCTTCACTAACCCCCCTCTAATCTAACCAAGAACTAAAAGCACATGTACATAAAATAATAATAATGTATACAGTATAAATGAATAAGCTTCAGCTAAATTTTCAAATCTCCACTCAGGCAACCACACCCTAAAAAATTATGAAGAAGAACTAAATGTTAGTCAGTGTAATAGTTTTGAAAACCTCTGCTGAGTCTAGCAGCTTGACAATATAGTGCTACAGGTTGGACCAAGTCATGGAGCACTATGGTCAAAGTAAATGATCTAACCAGAAAGGCTGCAGGTTGCTGTGTTAGGGAAATCTATCCAGAATGGCAAGTACTGCTACATATACAAGGACAATACTCATAATAATGGAGACAGTCCTACTTATGTGCACTACAATGGATGCACACCGTATGTCAAGCAGGCAACCTCTGCTTCTATAAAAAGAAATAATGTTAACTAAAAGAAAAAACACCCCATAGAAAAAACCTAGTTAAACAGAGGGAAGAAAAGAGGGTTAGGTTGATATATCGAGTAGTTCAGTAAAAAATCTCAATAACATATAATGAGTCCCCAAGCAAGCACCTCTTGTCGTCTCTTGAGCTCTTGGATTAAGTCTCGGTTCTGTCTGTCTGGCTGTTGACCAGGATAATGATAGCCATCTGGATGACCACCCTGAAAATGGCACCTTGGCTAGTCCATCAAGTGGTTAGAAATAAGCATTATACAGCATTCAGAACTAAACATTAGTTTTTTTTTTAGTTAAGGCAGTTTTAGAAAGTCAAGACGAGGCGAATAAAAGAAAAAAAAATATGGCAAATGTATTGACAAATCATCAGTAATTGATAAGAGACTTACAAGAAGGTTATAATGCTGTTGATTTTAACTGTTTATTGATGGCAATAAATTTGGTACATTCTACAAATTAAGGCCAGAGTTTTTCTACACAATCTCAATCTAACTACATTAAACACCATGTAATTTGAATCAAATTTGATCAACTTTTAATATTTATGAACATCATCATGAACTTATAACAAACTTCACTAAAGTTGTTAGGTCACCCTGTTAATAAAACCAAAATCAAATGAATGTTAGTATGTAAGAATAGAAATATAAAACATCAGAATGCAAACCTTTCTTCTCATCTCCAAGGTGTCCTGGTTTTCATAGCCTGGTCCATAGCGACTGTCATAGCCATACTGGAATTACAATTGATTTCAAACAATTAACTTTAACCCAAATGATACCTTTTCTTTATTTTTTTCCAATTTTCTTTTTTCTGAAATACTACTGACTGACTATAGAGAACTATACTAAAAGATATTTGGATTGTCACATCTATGTCGTATGGGCTAAAGATAAAGTATGTGGACCATAAAATCAATCAAAATCATTTAAGAAGTGAAATATGTTGAATATAATTGTAAGTATATAAAAAGTGTTCATCATAAGTGAAGTAATATATCTGTTTGTTATATATATACACATATATGATATATACATAAGGACCCATGCTTATATATATGTCAATAGTAGTAAACTTGCACAAGCTGTGAATAATACACCAAAAAGCAATGCATTAGTTCCAAGGGAAATTCTGTGGTATGTTACATTATTTCAACACTCAAAAACAAAACAGCAAATCTGCTTTGGAAGTCCAACATGTCAGCTCCAATATTCCATGCAATAAAATGTAAAACCTGAAATTTGCAAAGGACAAGAAGTTTCAAGAAACTTACTTTTGTATCTCGAATAGTTGATTGGCCCACAAAAAAGTAAATATATTGAAAAGTAATGAATACTTACTTAACATTAATCTTTCTAAAAATTATATTTGTTATTAATAAAACGCAACAAGAATATAGATACAAAATTCCAACAGGGATTCGAGATAAAAAAGTCCCATCTTTTCTCCTTTCCCACATTCTGCCTAAGCATATTTACATGGAAATTGGGCAAGGAATAGTTAGCTATCAGAGCAGGTGAGGTGAAAGTCCTAGATAATAAACAGATGCATAAATATATAAATATGCATATATACACATAGGGTTAGCATCCCAGCAGAAAGCTGTGAGATGATATGTATTTTATAAGTAAAGACAGTGAATATATATATTTGTGAATATCGTTCAAGAAGTATTCCTTGCCCAACTTAAATTGGATATTCATATATGTCTCCCTAGGAAATATATATATATATACATATGCTTCTAAGTTTTCATATATCAATCACAGATATTCATATAGAATGCAAAAAGGGATGTGCGCTACTATAGGGGGCACTAGTATGATACCACAATTAATAGACAATCAGATAATGCAAAGGCAAGCCCCACCACCTATCTCTACTCTGATAGTAGCGCCACCTTTATCTTTGCATCCTCGTCATCCAGGTCCTCCCCCATTGCTTTGGGAGTGGTCGGAGGGATGGAGTCCCCTCGCTTGTAATATGCAACACCATCCTGACTGAGGTTGACACCCTACAAATTCAAGAACCATGCAGTATGTTAACTCAACAAACCAAGGCATTAAAATAAATTTAAAAAAAGAACACACAACACAACAACAAAACACAATACATATATATGACAAGTCATGATCAGCAAATGTCAAACCCTATATAAAAACCCAGCAGCACCTTCTGAACAGTTCAACTTCTAAACTGCTAAAACAAAACAAACTGATGAAAAACGCATGCCATGCTGAAAAAATGCAAAATACTTTAGTCATCAGGGGTTGAGTGACATTACTTTTGGAAGACCTTCACATGGAGCAAGTCCACGGAAGAAATCTTCCAAAGTCAGTGTAGTAAACACACCACTGTTAAGTCAAAGCCAAAAATAGTTTCATGATACGAGCACAAAGTATAGTTCTAAAGCTGATATCAAGATACATTTTCCAGTGCACTGACAAAACAGTGGTCAATGGGGGCACTCTGATGATTGAAAAATGCGTAAATCACTGCTGCAAGCGTCAAGACGTCATCCATATTGTGCTGCTACACACGGAGCCAGCATGCAATGCTGCACACCTGCGGAGTGGCATCTAAAGAGTCTGATCCAGGGGTTCCTGGGGAGCCGGTGCCAGACCCAGGCGATCGCGGTGGCACGCTGCTTAAACCAGCAGCACGTAGGGGGGTGCTAGTGTAATAGTCTCTAATGGGTGCACCACCTCCACCCCCTTCCCCTTTGCGTGTAAGGGTGGAGGTTTTGGGGCCCTACATGAAGCAATGTAGAAGTATATATCATTATTGCTGCCTACTGTGCATCATTGGCACTATTATAACAGCTAATCCCATTACAAATAAGAGATTCCTCCTCAACAATAAGCACACAATTTTAGGAGAAAGGATCTCTTCTTTGCAATAAGATTGTCTCATGTGGTATTAGTTTCTGCATGCTTTTCTTACGTTTTTGCTGCACATTTTGCCACTGAGAAAAATCTATATTATTTATTTCACAACATTTCTTTTTTTACAGAAAACTGAACATATAAACACTAAACAGACATGTCTTACGCAAAAAGAAAATAAATTATCATGCACATTAATTTTTTTTAGACATGTCTAATATAAATGATAAATTTGTAATCCAACATGCATAATTTAGATACAAGTTTTGAACAAACAAGTACACTTTTACAGAATTCAATTTGCCAGTGGGCTCTAAGTAATTCATACTTCAGATAATCTACACCAAACTGATTGGGTGCAATCAACTGAGTACATGAATATAAACAGCAGCATGCAGAAAACAGTGAAAAGTCACCGTAGTTTTCAGTTCCACATGGTCAGTGTATGCCTGGCCTCCTGGTGGGTGGTAACCTGGTGCCCCCAGCTAGAATAAAATCAAGAGCCAGATACTGGGTTAGTTCTTATATTTGATAAGGAGGAGCCCTCCTTGAACATGGACAGACGTAAGCTACACCATGCATTTGTTGAGGTAGCAGTCACTAAGAATGGGATCATGGCATGCAGTGGTATCTTCAGGTATGTATGACCAGCCATTAAATTTCACTGACTCAGTCTGTGGCAGCAACCCTGAGAATACATAGTGTGATTAGTTTGATGACTCAATACAGTGCAGCCTATGAGATGTTATGTTTTTTTTTTCTGCTGGTCTCCAGGCAGCTCATGTATAGCATTACAACATTCTGAAAGCTATAAACATGTCAGGTTAGTAATACTATATGTTCAGCAGTACATTTATGTAATCATCTAAATACAAACTCTCATCACAGTCAGGCAACAAAGAAGGCAACTGGCAGCATGGTAAGATGCAAATAAATCTGGGATATATCTCTATTAGCATCTATTTGACAGGCTATAAAAAGGCTGGGCAAGTGAAAAAAAAAAGTGGATACAGTGCAATTAAGCCAGGTTTGTGATGGGCAATCTCCCCTAAACCAAAATAAAAATGTATTTTGACTTCAAGGTGATAAATAAAGGAGACATTGAAATTATGATAATAGAAATTGTGCAAGAACAATTAAAGGGTTGCGCATTTGTGTTTGCCCTGTAAGCATATCAAAGCTAACCAACAACCAGCAAGCAGTGAATTATCGTGCAATACACATTAATTTAGAAAAAAAAAAGACAATTGAAAGTTATGCACCTGCATCTGCTAAGCATGCAATTAAAGGAAAAAGGCTTTTAGCAACCATATTGCAATGTACCATTAACCATAACTATAACCATGCGTTAAGAGCTTTTAACAATATGTATGCAGATAAACTATCAAGTAATTTTAGATTGAAGAAAAAAAGTTTTTGAGAGTTTATGGCAAATGAGAGTAAAAAATGCTGCTAATGCTCAGAATAATCACACATTCAAGCACAGTTAGTCATTCACATCAGTCAAATAAATATTCAACACAGTAAAATAACAATTAAACTAAGTAAATATTAGCATGTAAATGGGAACATTTAGTCACAAAACTCAACACACATTAGTTAAAGTAACAAAGACTGAGAATTCACTTCAAAAATAAGTGTTAAATGCACCACAACACCAAAATTGCCTCAGATTAATCATAAAACATTAATATTGTCATTACTTATGTTAATATGCTATAACTTATGCAAGTCAATTAATATGTTACCAGGCAACCACAACTGCTCTGGGACACTGAAGGCATTTGTGCATGAAATTGAGCATGCTAAAAACAAGGGCAGCTTTGAGCTAATCAATTATCTTTAAGAACTCAAAAACAAGTTTTGGTAAGGAAATATTACAAGGCACTATGTCAAAAAGGATTAATTTTTTTATAAGGGAAAAAAAATCACAATTCAGTGGTGTGCAATTCAATTCCAAATGCTCTTCAGGTGGTGCATGTGATTTTGTTTCTCAAAACTTGGGTATGTAAAAATAACTCAAAAGAAAACTCAAATGAAACTGAAAGATAGTATGTAGCAACCTGCTGATGTGCCAGATCTTTTGTTGTCAAGACATAATATTCTTTCTTAGTATCAGCCGAGCCAGGTGGGAGTTTGTATTGGGGAAGGTTAGAGTCTGGTGTCTGCATACGCTCATCTTCCTGTGCAGCAGCACGAGCCTAAGTAAATCAAATATAGGCGGCATACACAACATGCATTAGTCACTTGTTCCAAACAAAACTAAAAAAAAAATAATAATAATAATGATAAACAAATAAAAAATTGAAAAAAAAAATGCAAGTCATACAAAGATTAAAACTGAAAGCCAACTCTATTAACACAAGATGCATATTAATGGAGCCACTCCTAATGCTCAACGCTAGTACAAATGGTCCAAAAAAAAAAAAAAACTTTTAAGATTCAAATTATGAATCTACCACAGATATGGGGACTAACCTGAACACAACACATAATTTCCTTAACAAATGTTAAGAGTAAAGTACTGTATGACACTATTCATACCAAACAACTAGGTAAAAGGCATAATTAGTTTTGGACAGATTTGCTTTTAAGGAGGTCTCTGAATAACTAGTTTAAAAAGAGCCATGCATCTGTAGCCATTCAAAAACTTTTTTAAAACTAGATGTTTTTTACAAAAGAAAAACATAGAGAAAAGACTGTTACAACTCAGATACAACAATGAAACTGAAAGGGACAAAAAAAAAAAAAAAAACTCATGAACTGACCATTTAAGTAAAACAGTGATATACAAACATTTTCTTCGTGATCAAGAATAATTAACAAAATGCCAATACAATAACACCAATACATATCAATGGTAATTACCTCTTCCCCAGGTCTCAGACGTCCTCCCTGTCCAGCTTCATCCTCTGCCAAGGAAGGTGTACGTGCGTTGGCACGATCTGGATGGCCATAGCCAATAGCTGTACAAAAAACAGGGATGTTTGTTTCATGGGATCCATAATTTAATACATTGTGTATCTTATTCATTTAAACCATCTTGAGATTTTAATGATGAAAATACATTAAACAGTACACAGTTGCACTCAATTACACCAATGTGAAGTTAATACTTTTTTTCTACTTCAGTCTTTCAAAGGAAAGCTGTCATCTGCAAAATCAATATCATGTTTTTTTATCATTACACGTTTCTTGCACAACCACAAAAAAGTTCCAAAATTATGTTGATAGTAATTAGTGGTGACAACTTTAACAAAAGCTTCAAAAGAAAGGAGAACAATAAAAATCAAGCAAACAAAAAGAAAACTTTCATTTTTTCACTTTTCATTATTTTTTATAAAATAGGCAGTAAGCAAAGACTGTTTACTGGATGACTGCAAAAAGCTTTAACAAAATCACAAGGGAAATCTTTGAAAGAAAGGAATATGATATCATTTTTTAAATCCAGTTTAAAGTGGAGGTTCAAATTAAATTAAAAACAGATTATCAGATCAATCTGAGGAAATTGTTAGTAATGTCACATCAAAGAAAGAGAAAGAAAAGGAATGTAAACCTAAGCCTTTCACATCAAACATATATTAACACAAGACATAAAACTATGCCAGTTATATGCCTTGAAAAAAATCTCAAAGCCATCTCATAACAGTAAACTAGCTATTTTCTTCATGAACACTGCAAAAGAAAAACCAAATTGCTCTAAATCTGAAAATTGGTTGGAGACAAAATAACACTTCTGGGATGAACAAGGGTACAACATATCATGCACTGTATGATCTCTTCTCACAGTTCTTCAAAAAGAACTCTATAATGACTAATAACAGATGCCAACTGACTGTTTCTTCTAAACAGGGAACCATCCTAATGGGAAAAAAATTATCCATGCACCACCAAAAGACAAATTGTGTGCATTTGGCACAACAGCTGTAGATGTTCCAATAGTCACATATATATATATATATATATATATATATATATATATATATATATATATATATATATATATATATATATATATATATATACAGTACTGCCGTTAACCTCAGCCTAGATGTAATGTGTGATGAACTCATTAACCACTAGCTGAATGAGTCACCCCTGAGGAACCCCTTAGCTGTTGTGCTAGCACTGAGGCTCCATGCACCAGTAAAAGGTCTACCTGACTGATCTGGGTTTTCAGATGTATTATATGGCTCCGACTCTGCAACAGCCAGGAAAACAAGGCATCAATACAAAATTTATACACAAGGAATTCTCCCCGCTGAATAATATATAAATAAATTGGGAATAGTCCGGGTGAAGATGTTAATCACAGCATTTCCGGTTTTGAGAAAACTACCAACAGAAAAGGACGATGATAATTAATGAAAAGTTACCAATACTTTAAAACCAAGGACAGTCATCTCCAAGAGAGATGCCTGCATTATCTAATTAAAGGGAGAAGGGAATACTTGAAACCCATTAAATTAGGACCTACAACAAACAATAAACTGACAGTAAAAAATGGACAAATACTGAAAGACTAGGATACACAAAACAATAGCCTCTTTCTTCTCATTCACAAACATTTTGACCTTGAAATCCAATGCATTCAAATGCAGGTCAATTTCTATTCATGCTCTTTGCCTGAAACCATGCACCTCATGATACCAAATCACTGAGAGAACTTATAAATTGTTCCTAATCCACACAAATATCGACTTCACCATGATAATGAGGGGCAAACTAAGGGTGTTAAATGATTAAATCAATGGCCTTGGATTGATAAAACTGTCCGTTAAATAGTGCATACTGTCAGGGAAGAGAAACTTAAATCAAACTGTGAGGACTCAGATGACATTTTATGAGATATGAAGGAAAGGATAGCAACCTACCTGAATAAAGTACAGTACAAATCATACCAGAGAAAGTTTATCAACGCCATCACCATGATCAATAAGATATTAAAATTGTATACAGTAAAGAGACAGATTTCTGAATACTGAGATCATTAGTTAAAAGGATGTGATTAATAGATCACTAACATCCAAATGTGGATGGATTAGAGAAATCTTAGAGGAGTAAAGAGAGATTAACAGTTGAGAACAAGAGTGTTCATGTGAAATCATCAATATCATCATCAGACTGTGATATTAAATCAGTTTAAGTGGAATTAAATACTGCTGATCCATGATTCTATCTATGTAAGTGTGCCAAGCAATCTTGAACGTGTCCCTTCACCAGGCAAAGCAGCCCAAAACCAAATACCATCAAAAACTGTCTCACCCCCAGGCATGGTTCGTCTCTTGCTGGCAGCACGCTCAAAGCGCGGCTCAGCACGGTCAATAAGGGCAGATGCCTTTTGAGTTTGATGCTGAGTTCGTCCAGAGTATCGGTACCTTGAACCGAAACCTGGGAACATCCTTCTGTGCTGGGGTGCCTCGGCTTCCTTAAGTCTAAAACATAAAAATCAGACACCAGGTGAAAATGCATGCTACATACAACTCACCATCCATACTCCGTGTAGTAAGCCGCTTGCTAGCAGCGCGCTCAAATCGAGGCTCTGGGCGATCGATGAGAGCTGCTGCTTGGCGTGTTTGGTGTTGAGTGCGTCCAGAATATCTGAACCTTGACCCAAAGCCGGGGAAGGTCAACGGCATTCGGGCATTAGGTGGCTCTGGCTCCTTTAGTCTGCAAAAGCAATTTCAATACAACCACCACCACTTCGTTTAACTCTTTAGATTGCAGTACATCTCCACTGAATACAAACCTTTTTTTTTTTACATTCATAACTATCTTGTTTCGAATCTTGCTGGGTAATCTCATCAGCAAAATCTGTTATCAGAAATATTCCAAACCATAGCCCTGGTGGTCATTCCTGACAAATACAGACACAACCCTATGTGTCATCAATACATGAATGTGTGGATTACAAAACAAAGCAATCTTGCAGCATTACAAAATTTTGGTGAACAGCAGGAAAGGGCTTTTTCTACCTACCTAAAGAAAGTATGATGTTCCACACAAGTTTTCCAGAGGCGCTTGGCTAGGCGGTGATTAGCACACTTGAATCCAATGGTGTTTTCAAATTGCTCAAACTGCAAAATATTAAAGATATTATTATTTCAACTTCCCGAGGCAAACTAACAAACAAGAGAATTGTACTCAAAAGCATTTTTACACACACAAAAAAAAAACTGACAAAACCCCAAGGCGAAATGTCTTAATCCCATGGGTTGTCAACACAGAATCAAGGTTCTTTTTTTAAAATACTGGATAGTTTGGTTCTAAAATCAATAAGCACAAAAGAACTACTTACCTCTCCTGGCCTGATTTTCACATAGAAGTTGGATCTTTTGTAGGACAGTTTAAGAATCTTTGGCCAAGCAAAACGGTTTATCCTCAGTTTTTCTCTGTAGACCAACAAGCCACTGGCGCAGACTCCCAGTGTAATGTCCACCAACTCGGAGTCCTGTGTGTTTTAAAAAGAAACAACTTTCATAAACCTGACCAAATATCAAAATATTGTTTAAAATATAAACACATATATTTCAGTTTAATTTTAAAATGGAAATTGCAAGTCCATCATAGAATCCAATAACAGTGAGCCCTTTCAAATTCATGCAACCTTAGTTTTGCCTTTGGAGTTTGTTAAATTGTTGTAAAAATTCTACATTTCTTAAATCATGTTCCAAAGAAGAAACATTTGCCAACTCCCAGCAAGGAAAAGAGCATTTACCCTGGCTTGATGCAGATCTACTCCATACATTGCCAGCTTCTTGCTATTTTCTAGGAAATGCATCTCGGCCTCAGCAGGAGTCTGGCCCCTAGAAATATCAACAAAGTTCCATTAAAAACTAGATATTTACCATCTTTCACTGTTAAAATATCCATCAACACAAATTGTTATACGCAGTTTTGAATACTGTGTGCAACCTCAACCTGATATATGTTAACTTTTAACACAAATTTACTAATTTCAATTAACTAAAATGGCCAGAAATTCTTTATCTATTTTGAATAAAAATTATCTTTAACACACTGTGACAATATGTATTTACAAGTAGTTTCAATCATGTCTGACAAGCACTCTGCTTACTTGTGTGTTTTGTGAAGGTCTGCAATCTTCTCCAGAAGCTCATTGGTCTGATTGGGTGCGAAACGGAAGTCCTGGATATATTTGACACCCTGTTCATCAGGGTCGTAGTCCCCAAGCTCCGACTGAACTGTGTAAGAACCCAGCAAGGCATGAGTCACAAATGAGCATGGCAGTCTGGAAAACAGTTTAAAATATGAGTTAAGTAAAATTACTTTAAAAAAATAAAGACTAAACAATAAATAAACAAAAATGGCATGTAATGCAATAAGCACTTGAATTGCAGAGTATAACAAAACCCCTTTATATAGAAACCTTGAATTTTTTTCAGATTGAAATGTCCTACTCACAAGGGATTTATTCTACAATGCTGCTGCCACCAGCAATATGCAATTTAATGGGCATAACTTCTTTGTTATACTATTTATTAAATTTAAATGCAAATATCATGAAAAAAAAGCAGTGCAAATGAGGCTATCAAGTACCTGTGGCTTGTTCACTTAGCCAATACTGATACAATCTACACTACTAAATTAACTAGAGCATAAAAGATTTATGGTAATGGAAAAACATATAGAGCCAGAAGCATGAATACAGGCCAACAATGATGAGATATATTTATGCAATCAAGACACACCCCTCTGCAGTAATTTTTTCAGGTTTTGCACCACAAGGGTACTCCACATTTTGTTCATTTATTGAGTTAAACAAGTGAATGCATATATTTTTTTGTTAATCTGTATGCATTCTTAATCAGAAATGTTTTGGATTAAAAGACCTTATGACCAGTGTTCTGGAGCCGTCTTAGGCAGAAAACTGACCAGATAGAAAATGGAAAATTTTAAATCAAGTCTAGTTAATGCATTAGACAAGCATTCTGCTGCTAATGTCAGCACAAAACATTTACATTGTTAAATAATCATTAAAACCATATCAGTAACAGTAGATCAGTTAAGACAGATTTCCAATTCTCAGTTATTTCTCACTAATGAACCAATGGTCTTCCCCTTGTGTATTATTCCATCGATCCCTACGTAAAGAACAGAAGCCCCTCAAGCTTCAAATTATGCACAACATGGTTTTCAGCTGAGTTAACTGCAAGAATCATAAGGCCTACAAAATATGCTATATCCCTCTTAAATGATTTGCTGTGCCACTAAATTCATCACACACATCTGTTCACTCAATTTCTATCAAACTTGCTTACTTCTCAATCGAATTAAATTGCTTTAATTAGATCAAATAAAAGCTTTATCAGCATGGCTTTATAAGACCACACCCTAACAAAAATTCTTTGCATGATATCATGATCAATGACTTGGGTTATACATATTCCCATGCAGAACTCTTCTTAGTTCTGGTTGCCATAGCAATGTTTCTGCCTAATAGTGATCAAGCCTTGCTATCCCGCTTCACAGGTCCCATTTACTCAGTGGAAAATGATTCATTTGACACTAATGTGTCATTAATTTTTTCGAGGTTCTCTCTGCCCAGCTTGCTGAAGCCTCTTCCAGCAAATGTTAAGGGCTCTGCAGTGATATGCTGTTCAACATGGTTCTATGCCAGTAATATATGAAATCATATGGCAATTTCACCTACTACAACCCAAATAATAATTATACCCTCCCAGAACTGCACCTGCCAAAGAAATAAAGGTTTTGGAGAAAAAATCTAAATCAAATGATATGTTCTAATTATTTATCTAATTCAAGTCAACAGTTCATATAAAATGTTCAGTCTTCCCAATAAGAAGTTCCCTTTTTTTCTCTTCCTTCTCACTGAACCTCTTCCCAAACTATATGCCACAGTTAATCTAATTATGTTCTTCTTCCAAACACTATGACCTTTAGGTTGAGTTGCACCGATCAGTAAGTCAACCTTAGCTCCTAATGTTTCTCTATACTGAAAGTACCCTCATGTTTATTTCAAGAATAATTGAAGCAAATTAATTGCAAATATTGCACAGCCTTGAAATTGCTTGAAGTCAAAATAATGAAATATTGAAAAAAGCAAGAAAAAAGATGACAGCAAAAGACCTTTACTTCAGTCATTCTCATTATTTGAAAAAAGTTTTCATTTCTCATTCTGTCACACAGTATCCTCCGAAACTAATAACTTAAACCTTGAAAAACTCTCATGACTTTTCATTTCCGTTCTATCAAAGCCTCTCAATCTACAATTTCCAACTTTGAAAACCAGTTATTTCCCGTGAAATTGCATTAGGTTCAGATTTAACTGAAATGTGTCTGTGCTACAATTCCATTAAAGTTGTCTTAAAATACTTACTTGCCACTTAAGATGTCATTTCTGACTTGCAGGCACAAATGATACCTGTAAAAAAGAAAAAGACAAGAATAAAGCAGCTGTAATGCTACATATAATGGTGTAATTTTGCCAGATTCCACCTAGCATTATTTCTAGATCAGTGCTGCATACATGGGATTACAATGATGTGATCTCATACAGAAAGAACGGCTGGATGAAGCTGTGGCCTTTGTGTTATTCTGACCCAACTTGCAATTATGAATACTGACATATCAAAAACAACAGCTGGATTATCATTGTGCAAAAGGTTCTCCGAGTCAGTTATATCATGGTGTTATTATTGGCATACAGATCAATAAAGGAGGAATTACGCATGTCAATTACTCACAAAAAAACCAAGGATAAATGTTGGACTAAACAGGAAAAACCCCTACAGTGAACAAGGTGCCTGAAATTAAGCTGGAATAAAAGTACCATTTTTTTCTTGGACAACTGGATGTATTGTGCATTTGACCAAATCCTTCAATTAGGAAACTGAAAGTTCAAAGTGAATGGGGAATTGCAAACACTGTACACAGAATGAAATTTAAAAGAGCCTTGTTTCCTCAGAACTTCTAAGGATTAATTTGCCAAACAGATCCTCCAGAAAATAAATACATCTTCTTTGACTCTTGACAATTTTGTGAATTGTTTCTAGCCATAATTACCTGGTGAGATCTTCTGTTAGCTGGGAAGGGTCAGGAGGGTAGAACTTCACTTCAAATGCAAACACCCATGGCCCACCTGAAACACAACAGTGCAAACTGTACACTACTTTATATAATAATAATAATATGAAAGGAGTAAAAATGAATTAAGATTTTTGTAATTTTGACGCATGTTGTCTTTGTTAAGCATAAATGATTATACAGTTGGTTATAAATAATGACTACATGAAGGATGTTCAAATAAAATTGTATTTCTGTTATTCTACTATATGTTCTCATTGCAAAGTTGTTTGGTCTCAAACATTTCATTCCTTAAAACATTTAAGTGCTTATCTTCTCAATTCAATATATGAACCTAAATTTCAAAAACTTTAAATAGCCAAGTAAAATATTATGCACTTCTTGAGTCACATCCTTCTAAATGATTAGGAGACAATGACTTTTTCACTGTTATATGCATAACAAGGGAATATGAAACATTATATATTCATACTGTTCTGCGTAGAAACCCTCTACTTGTGGGAATGGCCCTAGCAGTCAGCCACTAGATGTTTTTTCCAATACAAACTGCACATGGTATCGTCATCAAGATGCCAAAGGGGGAACACACACTTGTGTGGAAGAGAAGTAGAAAATAACACAACCTTCCATCAAAGCTTTTTTTTCCTTACACAGGGAAACCTTCATTAAATGTTCCCCTTTTAACATTCAAAACATATTACATGGATACAAGTGGGCATTTCTTGTGCTTGGCAAAGATGGTTATAAAACTTACTCAACTATAACAGTACCATTATAGTTTTTCTCAGCACTACTTTCATGATCAAAAGATGTTTCTTTAATGTGCAGAACTACTTTATGGTGAATACATCTATGCAGGTTGAAGTCCCACCATAAAAACACCTTTACTGCCTACATATGCTGGCATCACATGGTAAGCCTATTTGTTTGCTGCAATAAAATGATTCATCCCAGTTTCAATATATGGGTTCAGTGAGCGCCATAACTGTCATTATGCCCCCTTCTGAGCTGCAGAGCAACCCTGGAACTCTTTTTGATGGGGTTATTTTCAACTACCTCTCGATAAAAGGTTGGCATTTAACTTAAGTTGGCAGGGTCTGAGAGCAAGAACCTGGAGTCTCTAAGCATGTGAGGCACTTGCTGATTATTCTGCCCATCTTAACGACCTATGGGGCCTTCATATCAATATATATAAGGGAAGACAGAGGAAAAATTCTAAAATGATTAAACATCTTTAAAAAGGGGGAGGTTCTCCTTCTAAAATAATTGGGTCTCGGTTGGCAAAGAATTTGACAGCCTTGAGACCTTCAATGTATTTCCAGCCTTGTACGATATTGAATTCATTTCCACCAGAGGAAAGCACTTTGTGTATGAAAGGCAGCTAATGATACAAAATGATGTCATTACTCACAAAGAATAATGGAAATGAAATGATCCATAAAAATGTAATTTAGAAGCCTTGTACATAATGATTAAGTGACTAAAAAGATATCTGCCAAGAAAATGTTTTTCAAAGAGGGTATTTTCAATTTATTTAAAAAGAGAAACAGCCATTCCACGGAAAAGGGTACAATTCTGAATAATACCTGTCGCAGCTTATTTTCGGTAGTAAAAGCATCTGCAATTTTGCTTTTTTACCCTTTTTTAGCAGAACCCGATGTGTTCTACTTAAAAAAACAACAATTAATATAGTACCACTTGCTTTCACGGGAACCCCGGGGGTCTATATGCCGCAAAAAGCACGATTTCGACGTGTCGCTTCGGTATTATGGCCGATTTGCCACAAGAAAAAGTTTACATTTTCCCGTGTTTTAGTGTTTTTAGTCCTCAACTAATTTGAATTCATGTTTCCTTTTATCATACATGGTGTTCTCTGTCGAATTTGTTGGTTAGTTACGTCACTGTCATAGTTTAATCAATGTCGCTCAGTAACCCCTAACCTCCGTAACGCTTTTTTTAAAGTCAATGTAAGAATAAAAGAAAATGCTCTTAAATGGCCTTCCTGTGCATTTTTCAAACTCATAATACATGAAGTTTAATAAAACAGTGCTATTTGTTAATTTTGAATGATGCGTCCCATCATAGAGAATGTCAACTCACAAAAGTCGGGGTGTCGCATTTAAGAGCCTAACCTCAGTAACGGACCAAATTTGAAGAAAATGTTGCTTTAGAAAGTTAAAAATATCATTTTTGTTAAGCAAGGACCAACTTCTTCCTAAAAAATTCATTCAATAGTTATGCAAAGTTATCCCGATGATAAAAACTGAAAAAGAAAGCGTGTCATCTTACGTCCGTTATGCTAACCTCCGTTACGAAATAAGTTAATTGTTATAAAAATGACTGTTAATACTTTAAAACGTTATTTCTGTGGTTTTGTGAGTTAATTCTGATCATGTAAGTAGTTCTACTTCTATGTTCTGATGTAGTATGCATTCATACTGCTTGCTGTTAAAGACATTACCCCGCATTAATATAGATATAGAATATACATATATAGCTGATAATTCTATCAAGAAAGGCTAATGATTTAAGTTTTTACTCCAGTTTGCTATAAAATCGAGTGTAAATCGTGATTTGCTTTATCGAATTGATTTCCATTTGTCACTTGACGATGCCTTTTTTGAACTTATCATTCTGATTTTAAGCGAAATGAGTAGTTTTCAGGACTGTCTTGGCAAGAAAAATGGTACTAGCTGACATCAGTACTAACGTGCATGTAGCAGACATTATTTTCGCGGGAGACATATGGCGAAATATATTAAGCATTGAAGCAACAGTTACATTTATCAGGTAGAACTGCGGGATTATTAGGTCCTATTTTACTATTTCAGTTTAACATAATAGTTTTTATCATCTTCTAGATGCTTCCAGTAACTTTAAATGGACAGTTATTGGCAAACACGTGTCTATTGTCGGCCTACTTGGTTGTATGCATTAACTTTCTCGGGTATTTTGTTGTTGTTGTTGTTTTTTTTTTTGCCTATAACTGCGATCATGTGCATGTAGGTTTAATGTTTTGTTATACAGACACCAATATACCACTTACAAATACAGAGCGACAAAAAAACTACAGAGAAAGAAAAAATCTATTGCTGCGAAGCTTTTCTTGTGAAAGATTTTGAACGGTTAAAATGTATGACATAATTTAGACTAGAGTTTTACCTTACCTCTGTTACTAAGATTATAAATTAAACTCTTACTCTGGTAAAATATGGAATGTGAATTCTACAGATAAATAGATCAACATATTAGCGGTGAAATGTATCCAATAGTGGTAAATGTATTTATGTAGTCCTTGAAAGTAAGCAAAACAACCCGTTGTAACCATTTGCCATTTAATGGTTTGAATAAACATGTTTTATCAATTTTTCTATGTTATTATGTAAATTTGTCGTATCTGTAATACTATAAATTCCAAATTCATCTTCTAAAGTCTACCTTAAGCTAAAAATATCATAACAAATATATGATCGCTGACCTATGTAGAGTGACCTAACCTCCGTTACGAAATTACTCATTTTTCATTTGAACACTGGATATGTGTGTGCTCATTGATCAATGCTCATATCATAATAGATTGAAAGCCCTTTGTTCATAAACAAATAGTATGATAAAAAAGCAAGCCTGTCCCCAACAATTAATAAAATATTTAAATTGGAATATCTCAGCCTTTGTATTTATAGAAAACGAGCCACTTATTACCAATGTGTTTGCACCGCATTTTCTATAATTGAAGAGAAATCTTAAATGGGCAATAACATTTTGAATACATACAAAATCTTAATAATTGAATCAAATATGAAGCCTGTGACCTTTGGCATGATTGAAATATAACCTAATTTAGATGTTACCTAACCTCCGTAACGAAAAAAATACTGTACCATGTTTACACGTGCATATTTCTTTAAATACAGTAATGGTGTGGTTTAAAATTCTTCTACTACTCTCTGAATACCTCTTCATCAAAATAATATAAAAAGTTTTCCAGTTTTGCAAAGTTCATATCGCTGCATTTCTTGTTTTGGAATTGTACCCCTTTTCGTGGAATGGCTGGAAAGCTTAATTTACATGAATATTAGGGATTTTCAGAAAAACTGGATATGCTCTTCCTATTCCCAATAAAGTAATAAATAAGATCACCAACTTAAGCAAAACAGATATACGAAAAAACATTTTGAAAAACTCCTTTAGAGCATCAGTCTCAGTTACTTTCAAAAAACCTTTTGATCTGTGGCTAGACCATTTAGTAATTATTCTATACAGGACCCCTATGGTCAGTTCTTATATCCAGAGTAAGGTTCATCTACAGGGGTCTAATAGGCAACTAGCGAGAGTAAGCTAAGATTAGCTGCTTTTTTGCAATTAACCCTCACATAGGTTGACATTTTCCTTCAAACCAAAAGTTCCAGCAGTGGGTTGATATTGAAATTGTCCTTTGATACATAGGTTTTATATCTCAGTGCTAAAAAATAGACCAGCAGATAGCTAAAAAAAATTGCAACATTTTGACTAATGCAATACGGAAAAATGACTTGAAAAAAGATTAATGCAAGCCTCAAGAACTAGATATTATTTTATCTGAACTAGAGCATCAGAGAGGCGATACCGCCTCCAAATATTGTACCACCAGCTGGAGCAAACGCATTCGTATAGACCCCCACATACACAAAATAAGGGACACAGCCACCAGTTTTGTGCTTGACAAGCTGTAAAAATGCAATCAACAAGAATTTTTTAACTATTGCAAAAAATATATATGGTACAATCAAATTTAAGTTCTTCGTAAGGTAGGTCANAATAATCATTGGGTATGGCCAAACAAGTTATTTTTCAGCATAAAATCAACAAAAAGAAAAAATCAAACAATATAAACCTCAATTTAAATTTCCCTATCTGAACATCAGCCCAAAGATATCAAATTAAAAATATTCAAACAGACAATATATTATGTTCAGTATTTATCAATCTGATTTCAATTCCCAAAGGAGAAAAAAATTAACAGAATTCCTGGATTCTAAAATGCACCAGGTTTACCATTATATGGCATTACACCAGAAGACTGATGATACCACAGAAGACAGAGATGATTGGCTTATATGATGACATTCACAAAGATTTCAATCTATATCTTTCTAGCATGTCTGCATAATACATTATATTTTTTGGAAGATCAAAGAAATATCTGGGGAACTAAACATATTATCCATGCCCATCCATTCAAGACATTTTCCTTTCCCAATGGCTCAAACTATTACACCAAAAAAACAGCTGCAGGGACTGGGTATCATTCTTCTCAACTAACCTTAACCCAACTTTGACCTTTCAAGGGGAAAATAAGATTGTTCGCTTAATACACTTTTTTCTGGCAACATATTTTTTAATGATGCATTTAATGCCCTTGAACTCTTTTCATCACTTTGCAATGTGTGCTAACACAATGTGAACTTTCATAATCCTAAAATATATGTTACTACCTGCTTCCAACAACATCAATGTTAACACAGATGGGAGACATTAAGACAGAAAACCAAATCCAATAGCTTACAACCATTAAGAAAGACAGTATACTTACTACGCATCTGTTTGCTTATTTTCTTATCCAAAGCCAACCAGTACTGAAATAATATAAAAACATGTACTTCAATGGTTGCATATAGAGTAATTTTTTATAAAACAATTAAGTAGGCAAGCAATAGATTTTTTTTCTTTTTGCCAAATAATACAACGCCAAGTGTGTTTTATCTGGAATAATTTCCATATCTAATACACTCTTTTATTTCATAACTAGAGGAAAAAAAAAAGCTTGATCCAGTGCAAGCCAGTTCCTGAAGTGCAAGCCTGTTAGCTGTGCTTGGCAGGTGTAAGTTACATCACAGCAAATTGGCTCTACCAGCATCTTCAGATTAGAAGGCCTTATGTGGGCAAGATTGCACCTTGCTCAAACATTCCAATACATCTCTGCATTTCACAGCTGACAAACAGACACATGTTTCAGGATGTCTGTTTAAAATATGTACATATGGAAAAAATACATATAAATTAACCCAATGCAAATACTAAGTATTCAAAGAGTGCCAGTTTAGCTTTATGTACATAATTATATTAACTAAGTCTCTATTAAAAGGCTAGGATTAATAAAGGTAAGGGGGTGCAAGATCAAACATGGCCACCTTTGAGAGGACACTCAAATTATAGCATGAAATAGAGTCCTTCACTTACCCGTGTGTCTGTGGCATCTCTGTAAGATATTCCAAAGTAATCTTTCTCTATAAGGTTTGCAGCTTCACATACTTTATCAAACAACACTTGCCCCTTTGCTCGTTTCTAAAAATAAAACAAAAAGGAAGCTGACATTAAATATTAAAGAAAACTAAAGGAAATATATATAATCCAAAATTTATATCATCTTGTACAATTCCTTAATAGAAGGTAAAGACAGCTACATAAAATTGGACCAGAATAAATTGCCAGTTTAATGGACTGAGGTGCCCTGCTGTTTTAATTTATCATATAACCCCGGGACCTATCTGTTATCAAGCACCACCTGTGTCTTCAGGGGGAAGAAACCATGAGTCAACTATGTTCTCAATTTTGTCACCTATAGCAACACACAGGTAGATAGTTCTGCCAGGACGAGGTAATAACGTGTTACAAGATTGTTAAGTATAGAAAAATAATCATAAAAACACCTGCAGCAAGCAATTTTGCACCATGCGCCTATTCTTAGCTGTCCAATCTCCAGGGTAATTGACAGTACATCATTTTTGATGAAGAATAATCAGTCTGAAGACCTTACTGCAAGTAAACACAGTTCTAAGATATCTTGCCAATGCTAGTACTTGCTATTTAATGCAAAACTTCTTTGGTTTTCTCAACCTCATGTCCACACAATAAGTGCTACAAATCATCTTTTCCACTAAAATACCCAACAACACTTTCTGTTACTCAAGGCTTTTCTCTTCTACTAATTAAAAAAAATGAAGAAGAGGTGGCTACAAATCTCTTTAAATAAAAGCAATATTAAGACCAACATTTTCAATAAATATAAATAGGCTTGATCAATTTGTTATGCAAGTATCTACTGACTGAAATCTTGTCAGTGCAAAAAAAGTGCTTCCTGCAGTGTAAACACTTCGTTATAGGCCAACAAGAACAGAACTAAAGACAGCCTCAAGGGACAGACTGACCCCTGCATGGACAAAGATTAAGGGCTTCTCCAACCTATGGGTCCATGAACCCATCAAATTACCATTATTCATGACACAGATATAGTGATGTCTCAACACAAATGGCTTTATTGGCTTCCAGTGTGAGATGAAAGAAACAGGTAGCATAAATACTCTACCTCTTTTTTAAAGACCCCGTAGACCACTTTGATGTATGTGAATGACAAATTCTTGATAAAAAAAATGCCTTGATATTACATCATTAAAAAGATCCTGATCTTAAATCTTAAGGCTTCAGGTAAAGCTTGTGCAGACAGAAATTTAAGTCCACATGGGCGTTTAAACAACCTTCCTGATGCAGTTGCTGTAAGTGACCCCAAGCCTCCAGTGTCACCAATCTCTCCCACTCCATTCAGTCTTAATGGGAGGAGCATACTTGAGTTACCCATTACTGAAAGAGAAATAGATGGGGTGCGTGCTGGTGTAACTGGTAGAAATGTGTAGGAGTGTGGGAACAAGAAGGGACCTTTCAACAAAACACATGCAGATTCTCTTTGTGATTCAAAGAAGGACTCCCTTATATGTGAAAAGAATTGGCACAGTGACAACAAAAGGGCTCATTAATCTCTGTCAAAATCAAATTATTTGATTTTATATGTGCAACAAAAATGTAGAACTCTATTGACCGCCAGTGACAATGCAAAAATTGCTATGATCTCACTTTCTGCTTTTCCACTGTTTGTCTATTTTTAGTCGGTTTAAAGTTTTAACATTTACAGAATACACTAAACAGAAACCGGACACAAAAACATTCATTAAAAAAAATCCAAGATTCCAAGTAACAGGTGTGGAGTGGACTGGATATGCAATAAAACCATTTGTTGAGCCAAGGCAGCAATGTCCACAGCTGCACATACTTGGAGTGAAAAGGACACCCACTTCAGTTCCAGTGTGATTAATATTCCTTCTATCTACTGTATTGTTCACTTTGGCCTGTTAATGCTTCTTCATGACCCATATCTTTTTTGAAACTAGAGATGCATTTGGGTAGCTTTATACTAAAATCAACCTAACCACCATACTTTGACTTCAGACAGACATCATTTCCTGTTTGCTGACTAAAAATATATTTAAAAATGCTTATCTCCCTATAGTTATAACAGAGCTCCTGTAAGATAAATCACTAAACTCTCTTTATCAGAAATAGTAAATCAGTGTTGTAAAAAGGCTTACATAAAGTTGATACCTAAATCTAACTTCAATTGTGGACAAAGTTTTAAAAAACTGTTATTCTTTTGAAAAATGGTCCCATTCTAATTCATCTGCCATGTTTTGAACATGTTCAAGGCACTGTCCTGTGTGCATGAGTTACAGTAGTTGGCTAAAGTCCCGCTCTTGTGCCCATCTTTTATCATACCTGTAAATGTGCCAGATGAACTACATATAAGCCCTGAGCTGGGCTATCAGCACCAGAACTCCACAACTCCTCGAGATGACTAAACTCTTAAATGCAAACAAATCACATTATCCTCTGAGAGGATTAAAGTCTGTGTCTGGTGTCATAATGGGCCTGGGATGGCAATTTTTTTTTTTTTTTAGTTTTTTTGTTTAAGAATAAAATAAAATTTTTAAAGCAATGAAATTATTGGTTAATAAAAAACTATAATACTTGCCAATTAATTCATCTTTTAATGTTTGGAACATATAACCATGCTAGAATGATTTCAGCTAGCTATCAATGAGTGGACAGGTGATTTGAACAAACGCAAACTCTAAATAATATAATACTGACAAATCAATATTGATTCCTTCAGCTCTGTCTCAGTAATATGACACCTAATGACCATGTGGCCATGTTATCCCTCGAACATGACTTCACTTCCAAATGGTTGATCAATACCAACTGAACCATGGCCATTCTCTCTTAACATTCTCTATTATGGAAAGTGGTGCTGTTATATATGCCTATTCATACATTACTGGGCTCATTAGATGGCTATTTGAACCTGTCAGTGAATATTACAGACTGGGAGTTTCATACCATCATGATCACTGAGAGACTAAAATACATATATCCATCAGAATCCAGGCAAGCAACACTTACAATAATATATCAGATAATCTCCACTTTAAATATTCTTTAAAATGTGATCATATCACTTGATGTGGTACGCAAAATAATACACACTTCAATGACATATGAAACATTTTAATGTGCATGCTACATAACAATAGTCTGAAGTATGTTGGGAGATACTGGTAAATACAAAAATCAATACAGCTAGAAAATGCAATCGGCCAATATAGACTGACAAAATTCCATATGGATAACTCACACCTTTCAGATTCACCTATTACGTTACGGTTATGCTCGGCTGGAACATTCCAACCATCTCACATTCCCTTACCTCTACTTCAATTTCCTGATCCGTTCCATCTAGCAACAGCACCCTACAGGCCACCATCTTGGAGCTTCGTGTGGTAGGGGCTTTCTTGGGCGACTTTTCCTTTTCTTTCTTGACCTTTTCCTTTTTTGCTTTCTCTTTCTTAGGGCTGGGTTCAGCTGGGGGTGGAGTCTGGTCCTTGGGCTTTTCTTCTTCTTGGTCTACACTCTGCTGTGTGGTATCCAGGTCAGCCGGCTGTAATTAAAGAGGGGGACCCAAAATAAGCGAGCAACAACATTACTCGTGGCTCTATTGGAAGTACTGCGATCCAACTATGTTTGCACTCTTTGCGCAACAACTTGGCATTTAGTGGGATAATTACATGGCAATCTTATAACCTCTCCTGAAATTGTTTTGACAACAGATGCATATTTATGCAGTGCATTTTGGCAAACATGATATCTAAGAATATATAATATTGACTCATTTTTTTTAACGAAAAAGAAAATGGCACCAATATAAAAAGCAGACTACTGTAAACTTGGCTTTTTCTAGTTGGTACAATTAGTTTGATCAATGTCTTTTTGTGGCATCTTTTACCTGTGCTATAAGATTGGAGCCAGAGATAGGCCTGCAGGTCAAGTTACTTATAGCAATAGACTTCACCTGGCAGCATTTCTCACTGGCTTCAAATACAGGTAACACAGCAGTGCCACAATAGACTGAAATATGTTATTCCTACTCTAATACACACAGCATCACCAACTTGTCATCCATATAATTCTTGCTCTCATGTAACTCCCTTACATGACAAACCTTTTAGCTTGTAATATGTCAAGCAATGGCTGCTAGCTGCAAAGCCTGACTAGTTTAGTAATCCATTACATGTATTGATCAGCTGTAAAGTACACATGAGCAGAGAAGGTAAAACTAATTTTACTCATAAACCCAACAAAAGATCAATATACATTAAAATAAACAACTTATCACTAATCCTTCCCTGACCCACCTCATTTACACTGAAAATTATAACTGATAAGACACACGTCATGAATGGATCATTTGAAATTGTGACGGTTTAATGGAGGGCTGTATCTGACCTACCTGTGTACCCGGTTCTATATCTAGGTCACATACAACCTACCTGATATGTCTTCCCAATGTGGGACAGCACATTCCTGTCCTCTTACTCACCTGCTGCATGGAGAGAGAGACCCATAAGTATCAGAGGGCTACATCTATTCAAAGCCTGGACAATACAGATCACATCCCCCTTACCTGTGAACATCACACTATCAGTAATTCAAACATAAGAGATCCAATCAGAGGGCCTGATAAAGCTACAAAGGTGAAGGTTCTGTCAAGTTACATGTTTCTCCACTCTTATCTACCACCATGTTGTGTGACGTGGGGGCTGTGACATTATGTGACCGGACTATGAATGAAGCTGTCTCACTTCCAAAACATGCTCTTTGTTCTATGACAACAGGAAATACTGTACGTTCACAGTTACTGCGTCTTTCTTTAATATTATAAACATGCACTCGTTTGGGCTTTGGTTAGATTAAATGAACTTTTTTTCAAAAAGAAAGAGTGAAAGAAATTCATTTGAAAGTGAAAATAAAAGTATTTTCAGCTTCAGGTTGGCATACAAAGTTATTGTATAAATACCATTTCTCTATAAGGAAGGTTGCATATCACAAGCCTGAATGCACCGAAATGGACTATTTTTATAAACAAACTACAAACAGTAAATAGAAAAGCAGGGTTAATGAATATGGTTCAATAAAAACCTATCAACATACCCTTTAACCCACAACATCCAAATGAACTTCTAAATACCCAAATGGTAGGCAAAATACAGTTTATATTAGAGCCAAATCTATATAAAAAAAATTACTGATGAGCTTTTATTTAATAAATCTAACCAAATTGTCCCACTGGCAGTGTGTAGTATTCCAGAGCAAGAGCTTATCAAACAGGTAAATACGCCATTGAGAAATAATATGCCAAGGCATACTTCCCCTCTGGCCATGAAGGATATATTATTTGGAGTTCCTATCCACTCTATAACTCTATATAACAATATGAAATATACTTAACATAATTTTCCAACATACATAACAATAAAAGCAAACACATGTACATCATGTGGCAAATATTGCATCATTGAACAATGTACCCAGTCCCTGGTAATAGCTGTTAGCAATGCCAAGTGACTTGGGATTACTTCAACTGATATAAAATCAATTAAAATGTCTGTTCCATACCATCTGCTATGTTATCAGTGGTAGTTGAGAAAATGAGAAACTATCACATGAATACATGTACATTTTTTACAGATTTATTTTATGTATGAGGTATGGGTAGGGTATTACTTACTTCAATTGCTGGAAATAATTTTTTTGGATTTGACCATGTTTAAAAAAATTACTCAATTAGGTGTGCAGGTGTAAAGTTGCTTCCAGTTTTATGTTGTTCCATGCTACTTATCAAAACAGAAATATCAGGAGGATAAATCTTTCAGGAGATTTTATTACCATGAATTCTGCTAAAGGTACCTAAAATATCCCAATTATATTCTGAACTCACCTCTATAATTTAAAGCATTCACATTTTGGCAGAGATGGAGGGAGGGTTCATTGGTAGGGTTAGTTTCTTACCTTCTTCATGTAAAGTGTATACATGCCAATTCAATTACATAATCTTAAATCAGTTGAGGCTCACAAATGAGGAGTTTCATCTCAGCATGCCTCCTTCATACCTGAATTACCCCGAATGTAAGACACAGCATAGCACATAATATTATATTCAATTTTCAATTTCAATTTATTTCTGTACTGGTACATAGACTGTCATGACCTTGTACAATATGATATACTAATGACGATACAATACAGTTAGTGCATTACCATCTTTATATAATGGACATACGTATCAGTAAAATTACTCATAAAATATTCTATCTAAGCAATGCGATAAACCTTGGTGTGATTTTAAATTTACCATAAACATACTATAAACATGTTACACAAAAAGAATATGTTTAAACTTAAACCAAGGTTACATAGCTGTTTAAAGCCAGTTTGATGACATGGATAATTACGACTAATGACAATTACATAAGACAGATAAGTAAATAAGTTACACAGATATAAATATTGTGCCATGTTCAGTCCCACTGCCGAGTCACTTCTCACAACAGTGGGACCATACACTGACATTTTAAGGGATATGCTAAGAGTTACCAAGCAGAGCAACTACTTCACTTCTTNAAATGAGGAGTTTCATCTCAGCATGCCTCCTTCATACCTGAATTACCCCGAATGTAAGACACAGCATAGCACATAATATTATATTAGACAGTCTCACCTCTTTGTCTGTACTACACCTAATGTAAGAGATGCAGTATATTATATAAGTCTTACCTCTTTGCCAGGACTGTCTGGGATCTTTTCAGAATCATCTGCCATTGCTTAGGACTGGGGGGAGCTTGCGGGGCCTGCAATAGACAAATTGTTCTTATTTCAAATACAGGATTTCCTTTTTTATGTAATTTATTAGTCACTGTGTGGATACTACCTAGATCAGATAACTGAAACTGGATCATGTTATGAATAATCTGTTCTTATCAGCCATTCATACAAAGTGATATCACGCATTTCAGAGAGCTGGTAATAATGAAGGCTGCATTATTCTACCTTCTTAATTCAGTCACAAAGGGACTGATACTCATAAATAACAGATAAACACACAGCCACAACCAAATATCCTTGCAACAGTGAAGAGTGTCCTTTCCTCATGAATGAAAGCGAGACCAGGGCAGTATTTCATTTTTGAACAAGGTGTACAACACAGCTGCAGCACTTGAAAGCAAGAGGGGCAACAACTTTCCTGTGATAACATATCAGTTCTATTACTATCACTCATGAAATGGCAACACTAAAAGAAACTTTTCATTCATACATGGTCCAAATCAAAGAATGCGGACCCCTTATCACAATGTTAGAAACATTTCACGGATGGGACTGGGAGAAAACAGCACAATTTCACTTCTTATCATGGAAGTTTTAAAATCAAAGGCCAAGGAGCATTAACATACACATTTACCTTGCTCTAATTTGAATAAAGCATTAACATCTCTAAATACTAAGGTGTTGTACATCTGAAGTGGAATTATTAATTGAAAAACAACAATTTGAAAATTAAATTTACTAGTAATAAAAAAAAGAAATGTTTGATACTCAAAGACCATCCAGCTTTTGGTATATAAGCAAAACCATATTACACACAAACCACAGAGAATACTTTTTGCAGTAAAGGCAATATTCAGTTCACCCCTTAAGAATGTGGCATGGTATTTATCCACTTGCAGCAGTATATATATCAAAGCAATGCGAGTTTCATTTTGCTTGTAAATGGGCATTTTCTTTTTATTAATATGCACAATGCATCCCACAGCAATTTGTTGACAAATATGAATTCCATACCGTCTAGACATGAGTATTACCAAGAATCAAGACCATGCAATATATCATACACTAGTCACAGAATGTTACTTATCTATGGAAAGGTTCACAAAGCATCAAAGCTCCATTGTGACACAGTTTCCTAGTGCTCTACAAAAAATCAATACAAAAATCACCACTGCACATGTGTCTTGAGTGAAATATAACGGTTGTGATGCATGCAGCAAGAGACGCTGGTGACTCATGCCTCTCCTTGACGCCCACCTTATTATTTGGTTTGTCAGGTTCATATAACACGCTCACATCTACAGTTATTAGGCTCCCAGGGTTTGAAAATATATAGCACCAGGTTTGAAATTTTAGAAAACTATGATGGCTTCTAAGGCACCAAGACTGAAAATACAATGATCCTTTTCAATAACAAAAACTGAGTGACATAAAGCAGCCTATACTTTACCAGCCCCCTCCAGCAGTTCCTCTCTTCCTAAATTAATGTGCAGATGAGAAAAGCAACTTCACATAAAAGCTTCTCTTCAACTTGAACTACTGATAAAGTTCTACATGATTCAAGATGCTCAAATTGTAAAACAAGCAAAAGACATCAACAGTATTGGTGGCTCAGTGGCTTCTCTTATGCCCCTCCCCCTTTTGCTGCTCGCATCTTTTAACCACAGGAGTGCCCTGAGATTTATGTATCAGTATAATAGCAAATGGCATATCAGTGAGTGGGCAAGAGCAGAGTAAAAGTGACCATCACTTCCTGGACATTCCAAGCATACTGTCTGTCCACTATATAGTTATTCATAGCAGCCAGTAATAACCATGATACTGGTAATAGTCACAACATCAGTACTACAACAAACCACAGATATGACACATCTATAAATGCTTTACCATATGAGGAGACAGTATAACTACAACTAATGTGGAGTCTTTACCTTAATATTATGTACATCTGGTGCAAGGATCTATAAAAGGCATTTATAATTATTTCTTATGATTACTGTATGAATCAGAATTCCACATAATTTTCATAATGTTAAAACAGCAGAACAATACAACCCCACATAATGAGGCATTTTTTGTTGTTGTAATATCATAGAACATATAACAGGAATTTAAAAGGGATTTTCCATGTTGCAATGGGGCAAATACACAATCTTTAAATGTATAGTTATCCACATGATTGAAATAAAATTAAACTTTTACTGAAAGTATTCTCATAGAGTGATTCAAAGGTGATTAACAATCTTCATTTTCTTAAACAAGTCAATGTGCATACTCAACTGATAAGGCAAGGGCTCTATTAACAAGTTAATGCTTCTAATACTATAGCGCATGAATAATTAATCATATATGCCATCATATATTATGAGGCATATGAGGACAATGATAGCAGATCTTAACATCACTATCTGTGACCCAGACTTCACTTTTTTAAATTCACATTCTCTGCTTCACAACTGTTTCCTTTGACATAGAGATAACAGCAATGTCAACATCACTGTTTAGACTGGGATCTTAAATTTGTTTTCTAGACGCTGCTTCGCCCAGCCCATTTGCAACATGAGAATATCTACATTTATAATTTGGAATAAAATATTATTTCGTAGTTAGTTAGCCACACTATTTGCTCTCCTTGTGGGCACAGTACACTGATAAAATATTAAACCCATAAACTCATCTTGAGCCTGAGGCCCAACGTCTTTTATTTTGAATATCATTTATTTGTTTAGTTCGCCGGCTATGGCTGCTCTCCAACGCCGTAAGCAGTGCTTCAAATCGGATACATTTAACTTCAGCACTTCGCCCATGCAACATCTATTAGATAGAGGTAGTTCTACACATCAGATTTCAACAAAGTATAAGGCATAAACATGTGGCATCCTTAGAGTCAAGAACCAGGATACAGTATATGTTAACACTAATCTACCTGATATCTACATTGAATATCATTTCAAATCAAGCTCATAAACAGACAGAAGAATATCATGCACTGAAAGTGCCATACACTTTGTTTGCATTAAAACAATTTACTGTAATCCATCTCAAGTCAAACTCACCTAAAGTGTAGATTAAATCCAGCCCTCCACGTTTGTACACCGGTATTCCCACCAAAGGCGTGCGTAACGATTAGAAAAGGGCAACAAAGCCTTCTTGCATTTGACCCAGAATATTCGATTCGTCCGCAATGACGTCATAAATTATTTTTAAATCTTTTTTTATATCATCACACTTATCTATAAAACACCAATGGGAAATTTTTCTTTATTCATTATCTTTAAAAATACGCACATCTTATTTCTTTTGCTACTGTATTCATTAAAAGAAACATTTGAGAAGGACTACTTCTGCGGATGAATCTGATGATTAATATTTTCAAAATGTATGCAGGCTTAACGTTAATTACTTTCCTCACAAAATCACGGGACATGATAATAAGAAAATATCGTGTAATTCTTTGAAAGTAGTTACTACAGAATTGAAAGAGGAAAAATGAAATATCATATCACGGACGAACGTGATAAGTAAGGCCTGCTCCGACTGCACTACTTCCCGCCTTAATCAGGCAAACCCACAGCTGTCACGTGACTTTGTTTACACTGTAACAATCTACCTGTAAATAACCTTGAGCAAACGACATATAGAGTAGGGTATTTTCACGCATTTTTTTTTTTTTTTTTTTTGGTAATTGTTATTTTTCAAACTCCATTCGCCGAGGCCAAATTATTATTAACCTAAACTCCAAATAAATTTTCTTGAAGAAAAAGGGAAAAGAAAATATATAGAGTCGCACAAAAACTTATACCTGTACCACCGTAGGTACCGCGGTAGATCTACAGGTAACGCCAACAATTTTTCATGCTTTTGAGTGACAAGTTGTGCAGTCAGATGTATTACAACCTCCATTCACCTCAAGTTTTTTAAACTAATTACATGTCTTCACGTTTTACAGTAAATTAGCATGAAAAATGTATATCAAATTGATAAAAAAATTACAGAAATCCATGCTTGGGTAGCTTGGGTATCTTTATGGTACTTACTGGTACACTGTACATGGACCAGATAGCACAAAATAATGCAGTCCTGACCCCCTCCCCTTCGAATTCTGGGGGAAATTTTTCACACCAATATTCCCCTCTTGATATTACAATTTTTAAGATTTGAATCATAGTTCTAAACTACACCAAATGGCACCGTTTGCCCTCCAAAACACTGAACCCCACACCAAGGGGGCAAGGGTGGCTTCACATCCAAGTCCTGTCATTCTAAAAGATAAACTGGTCTCCTCCCTTTCAAAAAAACCTGGAATCGCCCCTGTGAAACCTACATTGGCCACAATTCTCTTCAAAAACAGTTTGTCTCAACTACTGCAACCTCCTGGGGCTGTAGCAATAGTCCAAAGGTTCAATAGTCCGAATGTTCATTGGTCTGAATATTCACTATAGAACCTTCGGACCAATGAACCCTTGATTAAAAAACCGATGAAAATGTTACCACTTTTCGGACCAATGAACCTTCGGACTATCGAGACGCCCCCCAACCTCCCTGACCCTCGCCCAAAAGAAAATCAAAATATGTAGACATTTTAAAAATCACTGAAACGAATTTTTTTTTTGTTGATGAAGCAAGAAAAAGATCAAATTAAATATTCAAGGGCCTTGTTCCCTACTGTACTTATGGTATTAAATTCTAATTTAACAACCTACTATAAAATACTTCAGGAACATATAACATAAAACATAAGGACTTCAAAAATGCAAAATATCAAACAAGTTTTCAATAAAAGATATATAAAACAAATCTTTATCTTACAGATTAATGCCATAAATTGATGTTGCCAAAATAATCCAATTTATCACCTTTGGATAATCTTAACCACCTGTCAACAATCTTGAGTTTTAAGTGGCAAACAAAAAGTTAATGATGGCAGAGTTAAAAAAACTAGCACTCAAGCTTATGGGCTTCATATTCTTCCCCTATCAATAGTGTGAAGGCAAACCTCAGGAAAGGAGGAACAAAGCTTGGTTAGCCAGAGAAAAAAATACCATTTACCCAAGAAAATTTGTCAAGTAGGAATTTTTCACAGGTAAAATTTTTAACTGGGCACCTTTTAAAACTGAGACTGCATGCCGTTTCTTCATTATGCTTCATCTTTTGTAACTTCAACAAGTGCAAAGTTGCCATGTTGCAGGTAAAAAAGTACTGATCGAAAACACCAGTGCCACTAATCAAAATCAGATTTTTTTATTGCACTTTCATCAGACTCAAAAACCTTCATCAGATCACAGTCTTTTAAACTAAGATACAATATCATATAGTAAGAAAAAAGAACTGATATGATCAGTTACTGTTAAAGTAACCAAACTGCAAATGGTCATATACTGTAAAAAATACAGAAAATTAAATTAATCAAAATTAAGTTGCTTATAGAAAATAAGTAAACAGTATATATAACAAATAATTATTTTTCTTGCACAATTAACCAATTTAAATAACACTGAAATTACTTGTTATATTTCAGAAAAGAAATGGCACATCCCCAGCTCAAAGAATTTTGAGTACTTCTTCATCATTTCAAATGTCTAATCTCATAAAAATACCAGGTTGTGATACAATGGAATTCTTCTACCTGAAAATTGTAATATTTCAGACTGCAAAATAATCGATATAGCACGGACTGATTTTCATCACACTTTTAAAATATGCTGTCCACTGTCCATAGAAATACAGGAGTTAAGTAATTAAAGGAGGGTAATGGTGATGAATTATTATTTACTTAACATGTCTCACGTGTGTGTGTGTGTGTGTGTGGTGGGGGGGGGGGGGGGGGGGGGGGGGGCACTTGTACCCCTGCTTTCCCCGTTTTGCCTCATATTCTTTACAACCCTCCTACTATGTTATCTCTCTGTATCATAAAGCACTGGTGAAATATCCCGTTGTGCATTGGACTTTTCTGTACTTTCTCTTTCACTGGCTTCATTGATAGGTTTGTATCCTGGCTTGGAATGTCTGTATAAGCAGTAGTGTTGTGTAATAAAGAGAATATCGAACAGTATGGAGAAAGCACCAAGGCCAAATTTGGTAGGGTCACCAAACAGAGACCCCCAGTCATCTGGAATATAAAAGAAAGCAAGTTTACATTTCAACTGCCAGAGCTCTTCTGTAACTTGAAACAATATCTGAAGTCATATGTAGCATCCTGTTTCACAAATATTTCAGTCATTCTATCATGTCACTAAGGGGTCAAAGAATATTTAAATATAGCAAATGAACATAATTTATGTACATACTGTAATTATAAGCAATGAGGAACATCTGCAGCAGGCTCAAAGTCCCCCCAGTGAAATCTAACAGTACATTGCCTATGCTCCAGCCTTCTGTGCTTTTTCTTCTAAAGTTCATATAGGCCTGGAAATAAAATATGCCAAGTTTTGTATCATATACACATACACAAAATACATATAATATACCTCATCAAAAACAGACAATTTTGGCCAAAACTGGCCAAGGAAGTGACAAGGGACTTTATAAATATTATTCATATACAAGTATTCTATTTTGCTGGTTTTGGGGTATGATCTTCAATTCTACTGTAAGAAAAAAATACCAGCAAATAAAATTACAAGTAAAATAAATATGTGGTTTGGCAATAATGGTGTCAAAGTGTGTCTAATAGCAACAGCAAAGACACAGACATAGGCAATGGGAATACATATTAATACTTATAGTGTCTGCACATGACAAAACTCACCTGAGGTACATACTTGATAAGTGTTATTGCTAATTTGATGTATGAGAAAAAATAGACAAAAGTCAGCCAAGTGATGACTTTGCAAAATCCAAGGATCAGTCCCACAATGGCAACTATCCAGGCAACAGCAAGTAGAACGCGTGCTACATAAGACACTCTCTGACCTCCTCGCTGAAAATATAAGAATCCACATAAGCCTGCTCAAACTAGTTGAAGGAATTTAAAAAACCTCTTTCATATTATAATAAGATTAAAACTTCTATCTTGTCCAAAAATAATGCTAAAATGGGCTTACTTCATTGTACATTTGGTATCTCCTGTACAAGTTTACAACAGCACAATTTTCCCAATAGATCTTTGCCAATCACAACCCCCCCCTTACTCAAGTAAAACTTACATCATATATAAAGCACTGTATAATGGTAATGGTGGTAACAAAGATGGCATGAAGTGTGAACACCACATCATTTAACTGTACTGGGTTCACCCCTCTAGGATGCAGGTCCTTATATTCAGCCTGTAATTTAATATGGTATTCATGAAATCAAACATAAGGGAGACTTGCAAACGTTGTCTCTGACAGACTAGTTCTCCAGAAAACAAGCTATTCTCATAATGGTCAAGATGATAGGCAAAAAATAATTAAATCTTTTTTTTCTTCCTAAGAGATTTTTCTATATCAACTGACATATTTCAACATGTCAGAGTCAGATGCGTCAAAGGCATGCTAACCTCTATGCTTGGTATCCAGAACATCCCCACATTGAAGACTCCATAGGCAACAAATCCAGTGATGTTGTATGACAAGAAATCAAAGTTCAAACCAATCACACTAAAAAGAATGCACTGCATAAATTGTCTTTTTAACAGATTCATTTTATCATCCACAAAGCTAATACAATTTGATATTGAGAAAAACATCCTTCAGTAAAGTAATCAAATTCAAATATTTTAAACTGAAAAAAATGGCATCTGCAATAAAGTGAAAACAAATGGCCAGGAAAGCAAAATAGCTTATCATTAAAACTACATTTCTCTTGAAAATATTATGAACACTGTTGAGAGTAAGGCTTACAAAGCTCACCTTTTTCTCCTCCAGTTTTCATAAACTTGAGGATAAAATGAAACAGACCAAGCAACAAAGTATATCCATCCTATCACTGCATTTACAGTCACCAGTGGAAGGCTATGCACCACTGACACCCTCACAAACACATGGAAAAGGCTGAAACAAAAAGAACAAGTTTCAACAATTGAAATAACAATAACACTGAAAAAAATGAAAACACTTAATATATTTTGTTCACTGAAAGAAAAAAGAGAAAAACTTCACCTTCAATCAAATATTATTAAGATTTATTATTAAGAATACCATAAGAAATATCTAACATTTTTAAACAACAAAACACAAAATCCAGCAGTTTAACATGCATGTGATAAGTTATTTTTGATTTAAAAAATCTCTGCATCCATATTTTGTACAAAAAACATCTTTAAAAATTATACACCACATGGCACAAATGAGTGGGAAACATACTCATCAAATGCTTTTGATTCATTTGTTGAATCATTCAGCCCTAGGATCACATGACCTGGATGCTCTCCTATCAGTGGTATGTGAGCGCTCTCTGTCTTATTTTCCACTAAAACTATGCTAGAGAGTGTCTTGATGATTTCAGTGTCTTGGAAAGGCTGTGGCTTTTTGTCTCCCTCTTGGTAGTTGAAGCTCAGGGTGGTGTTCTCTGTGCTTGGCTCACTGGAATAAAACCACGACAGTATCATCATACCTGTTATACCACCTTTGACAATAATGTCAGTATTTTTATAGCATAGTGCTGATGCTTGTGTAAAATAACTCATAGTTATCATACTGGGCATAAGTGATATCCCTATCCTTAAGATAAATTTTAACAAGCAATAAAAACATATATCAACTAGCTTATTCTTGTAGATGCACCATGCATGTAGTTCATGTTCAAATTATAATAAAGTGCAATAAATGATCATATGGTTTATCACAACAAAAATGAAGAATGAGATATGTTACTCTCTGTAAGGATGGGCATTAGAGAGAGTCTGGTGCCAGTGGGATACGATGGCTAGATTGTTACGCATATGACAAACGAAGCCAATAACATGCTATCTCTTTCACGTCAGGTAAGTGTTTCAGTATTTTATCCTTTCCCACCATATACCATAGGAACCTATGTGTACCTAGAGTAACAACAGGATATGAAGACGATTAAAGTCACAGGAGGACACAACCAATGACATATTAATCTAGCCAACCTATTCCACTGGCAACAGAAACTCGCAATTATTTACAACATGGTGAATATCTCTGGAATATTTGTTTAGAAATATGAAAAATATATGAAACACTTCTGATTGTTTTTCTCTCTCTCTGTGTGTGTGTGTGTGTGTGTGTGTGTGTGTGTGTGTGTGTGTGTGTGTGTGTGTGTGTTATTTTAAATACTATTCAATGTCCTACTCAGTGTGTTGGTATGATAACACAAGCAAGTCTGGTATCAGTTAAAAGCTATTTATACAATATTATTATATACAATATATATTCAAACGTTGCTATCAATATTAAAGGGATAATAACTATATGTTTTGACCAAAAAATTAATTTCTTGGAGTAAACAACAATTTTCCCATACTTACCAATGGTTAATGAGTCCATTTCTACATTCAATGTTAGTACCTGTTTTTTTTTCTAAAAAGTTAGTTTTTTTGATAATAATCTCTTAAGAGATTATTACAGAGTAAAGCCATCTATGAAGGTCACTGATCTGATGGCAAGCTCAGATATAAGAATAACAGCTATAACTGCCTTTTTTGTGGTAAAACAGATATTATATTTCTATGAGTCATTTACAATGTTTTTACTGTGAAATATAGATCTCATACGAAGAGTTATCCCTTTAATATAAATATGGTATTCATGTGGCTTTTCAATCTGCAAAGATAACAGTATCACATATTTTCATACTGTAAAAGTTTTATAATTATGAAATAAAGCATTGCCTTGTGTTTTAGTTTCATAAAAAAAATCAAGATAAACACTAGATTGAAGTACACTTTACAAATCCTGCACTTCGAAAATCTGCATATATAGCGCTGTACATTTGTAACAATTAACTGGTTTAGTGTGGAAGCCAACATAATGCGACCACATATTAACAAAATCCTATTTCTCACCTTAATCTTAATGTAACTGTATGTGTTTCTCCAATTTCTAGGTGCACTGAACCTTCTGAGAATTGTAAGTCTACCTTTGATTCTGAAAACAAACAAACAAACTAAAAATGCTGAGAGAGGGAACATTTCTCAGAGATATCCATCGTGAATCAGCTGCTTTTTCAAAAATATTTGGCTATAACTGAAACATATGAAAACTTAATTTTACAATTCTACAAAAAATGCTAGCTTTCACCCACTGAAACAGCAGTCCTTCGTCTGCTACTCTCACTTGAGGAAAGTAAAGGAGCATGCCCTCTATGTCATCCCCCCACCACCACATCATACCCGTCAGTGTACGTTTTAGTCCGTACAGTTGGTAAGGTTTATCAATTATATAGCTAATACGAAGACAGTGTATGACACATGTACATTACCATCGATAAATTACAAATAAATTACACTTGTCTTATCTAGTAAATGGTCTATCACAAAAGTTTTTGATTTTTCTCTCTTACCACTACCATGATATTGTCCCAATGCTGGCTCAATACAGGAGAAGCACAAAATTAAAAGTAATTTTGCTGTCCACATTTTACCGTCTGCTCTTTAAGGTATGTTTGCTGTCGGAACAACTTATCTCATATGACCTAACAATAACCCTGAGTGTAAAAATAAAGCATCAGGGGCTATGGACTGTGCATCACGAGATTAAAAGTAGGAGGTTTATGTTCCCACAGTTCTTTGCGAGATTGGAGTGTCGCTTTCCACACAATTACCTCGTTTTCGATCAAATGTTTGTGGCAAATCTATTAGTTTGTTTATAGGGTTTGGAGAGTGATGGTGGTGGACATTGCGCGAAATGTGCCATTAAAAAAGCAAGCGTGACGGTTATTTGGAAGGTTAAGTAGATAAAGAATTTCGTCTAAGCCCATTTAAGGCTATTAAATTTTTTCTCACTAGTTTCATGAAAAGGTGCACCGAACGTAACCAGTCGTTAAGGAGAGGGGACGTCCTTGCGGTGCAAATGAGCACTAAAAGATACACATGAAGCCTGAGTTACTTTCCTGTATCAATTTCTGGAAAAATATCACACCAATGCTCCCCTCTTGAAATTAGAATTTTGACTAGCTGAATCATAGTTCTAAACTATATCAAATGGCACCGTTCGCCCTCCAAAACACCGAAACCCACACCAAGGGGGCAACTGTTGGCTTCGCATCCGAGGCCTGTCATTCTTAAAAAATGGACCAGCCCTTCAAATAACCCTGGATCCGCCCCTGTGTTACATATTTGAGTTATTACTACCAGTTTCTTACGCTAGCTAAATAAAATTCATATAAAAGATATATAAAAATATATCTTTCTGGGCAGCAGAAAAAAAGGCTAAAAAATGCACCTTCTTCAAATTCTTGGTCGTAAATTGGAGAGATTCTCTACACATTGTAAATAATCGCCATCCTCGCAATAGTAGGGCCTATAACAAAAGTAAATTTTCTAATAACGTATATAGATTATTAGCACCAGTTTTGCACAACACGTACATACATGTAACTACACACTTGCAATTCCCGCCAAACCATCTGCATTTGAAGCTTCCACGCATGACATGCACAGGCGGTAAATTGTTTTATAATTACTATTTTTCATCAGTCTAATGACGCCTGTTTAAAGTCCACAAAACGAGGAAAATGAAGAATAAAATTGTACGTTGTGAGTAATAGCAATAATAATAATTGTAATAAAAAACGGCGCCAAATTAAATACAGTAAACTGTATTGAAAAACCACTGGGCATGTTTAATTTGGCCACTTTTGCCCCATGAGTGCCAGACAATATTTTTCTATTACTTCAAATTTGCTGAGTGACTTTGTATGTTAATAAGGCAGGCAAATTAAAAAAAATACTCCCCTAGCAAAAAAAGTCACCCCTACCGCAATTATGTACATTGCTACAAGGTTACACATAGCTGTAATTTTTCTATTACATAACAACTAGGCAACTGCTCATCATGTAAATTGGAGATGCATGTGAGTAGTAAGCATTGACCTACCTAAGTTACCATTGAAATATTCCAACGCCAATTCTCTTTTTAAAATGCGGCTCCTAATTTTTACCAAGCGGTTGTCATGTGAGGAAATTTCGACCCGCCGCATTGCCAGAAGGCTGGGTTGTTCCAAGAGAACCATTCAGAGATCTAGACAACATCATAACCAAACAGGCACGTGGGCAAGATTGCCTGGGGAAGGCCGACCGAAGGAAACCAGACCCAGCCTTCCTTGTAGAAAACGTTTCATGACATTTAGAAATTGACTGCAGGACAAACCATGTTTCTGAGTTTATCGTCAGAAGACGTCTGCACAATCGCCGTTTTTTTTCGGTGGGGTTTCTGTTAGGAGACCAGTGATAACTGTCAGGAACCGTTTACGTCAGGAACCGTTTACGTCGAGGCAGATGATGTACCGGGACTCTGGCATGGACCCAAGCCAATAACTTGGTAATGATAAAGTTTTCAAATTAAAGGCAGTTTTAACACCTCCAAAGCGTTGTCAGAATTCATGGACGCGTAAAGGTTTGGAGAACAGCTGGTAAGAAATATCTTTCCAATCTTTTTTTTTGCCTCTGGTCGACAGGACGCATCCCACGTAAGTCATAGTATGGGGTATATTGGCTACTTTGGTGTAAGCTAGGCGAGCTGTCAGTGGTCGACGGGAACCTTATCACAAATCCATGCACCCAAGTACTAGAAAGGAACCGAAGCGATTCTGATTAGAATAATGAAAAAATGATCTAATACTATCTTTACACCATATATAGAACGCCATTACACCGCAAACGTAGGGACTCCACGTACAGACGCATCAGGTGCGTCGTCCAATCTAGAGGATATTGTACAAAATTGTTCTTTGATTTTAGCTTTGGTAAGCTTATTCATTGGTTATACAATCAGTAAATTTTGTGAAAATATTCCTGTTGAAGTTGAATAAAGAACATTGGTTCATAGTATGATTTTATGAACACTTTACGCACTGCGTTAGTGGGTGACTTTTTTTTTTTTTTTTTTTTTTTTTTTTTTTTGCTAGGGGAGTATGTTTATTTATTTATCTGTTTATTCAAAAAATATTTCATGTAGTGTCTGTACATATTGTCATCACTTGTGTCTCTTCGCGTCGCTGGAGCCAGTATCGTGCATTAACCGCATGGGAAGGAATGTTAAGCCTTTCTCTCACAAAGGACACATGTGATATGCCTATAATGCTGGATGAGAATCACTGACACAGCTTTTATAAACGACCACTGAGGTGCATGCTTATGATCAATTCGCCAATCCCCTGGTTTGTCTGTTGCAACACTTCACAACATGGCGGAAGGGTTCGATCGCATTATAAACTATATCGGTAAGTAGTTATTTGCAACCAACGGTTTAAGTTCATACAGCAATGAGATAGGTATCGCATATGATAACAACTCTATGGAAGAAAAAAAACGGGGGGGGGGGGGGCAAAAGTATTGCACCATTTTGCTCTATAATGAACAACAACTGGGTTTGGTATGTTTTTCTATCGTTATTTTATTGAAAACTGGTTAAGTCAAATTAGTATCTTAACTACAGGTTTACAGGTTTTGACGTTACAAAACGCATGTTATTTTGTCTGTATAAATAGGAAGGGTGGTGACCAAATTGATATTGCGTGACTACCCTACTGGGCATAGACTGCTAACGTTCGGTTATCTTCTGGGGGCTATGTTGGCCAAGGCGCATCAGAAAATGTTCTTTTTTCAACTGACTCAACAGATTATTTGAATTCAGACCAGTCCCATAGAATTCTGTTTGGATGTTTCTCGCCCTCCTCCGGTCAAAACTACAACTTCACGTAGGAATCTGAAGGAAATTGACATTGATGTCCTTAAAGCAAAACTTCAGTCTGCCTTTAACACCTTCCCATCTGATACCAATGTAACTGGAAACACTACTTCAGAAGATGTTGACACTCTTCTGCATTCATATCACAACACCATAACCATCATATTAAACGAACTCGCTCCAGTCAAAACACAAGTTATTTGCAGTAAGTCAACAGCGCCATGGTTTTGCAGTGAACTATCTGACATGCGACAGTCAGTTAGAATATGTGAGCGTAAATGGCGCATCACTGGTCTGGAAGTCCATCGTCTAATTCACAAAGAAAAACGCCTAGAGCACTGTCGCCGCGCTGATCAACTGAAATCTGACTACCACAAAAAACGCACAGACAAATCAGATACCAAGAGTCTTTTTGATTGTTGAGGAGTTTTAAAAAATCAGCACCCACCATTAAACCAACACTATGCTCCGATGAGCAACTTTGTTTTTTGTTCCTGGACAACAAAATAGAAAAACTTAGAAAATCCTTTGAGAGCGGAATTAACAACTCCATTCTACAAGAAGTTGATCCTCTTACATCGCCGACCTTTTTCAGAGAATTCATCACTGCTACTCCCGAACTAATAAAAAAGCTGATAAATGCCTCCAAGCCAGAATCATCAGAACTGGACATCCTCCCAACTAACCTCACAAAGGAATGCATAGAAGAATTACTACCTTCCATTACAAAGCTTTTCAACACATCCCTTCCAAGCGGCGTAGTCCCTAGAAAGATATATATAATCAGACCACTCATAAAAAAGGCCACAGGCAATCCAGACTCTAATGACCTGCAGAACTACCGTCCCATCTCAAACCTCTCATTTCTCTCAAAAGTACTGGAGTGCCTGCGCTCTGCACACTCATCTACTTTTGCCTAAGTTCAATCGGCTTATACAGCACATCATAGTTCTGAAACGGCGCATCTTAAGTTGCACAACGATATTGTTCTGGCTCTTAATGATCAGAAACAAGTGATCTTATAACTACTTGATTTGTCTGCAGCCTTTGACACAATAAACCGGAAGATTTAGTTCAATAGACTGAAATACCAGTAGAGATGGTATTGCATTGGCATGGTTCAAGTCATACCTGACTGAGCGTGAACAAACAGCCTCGATAGGCACATACAAGTCACCGTCAACACAACTAGCTTGTGGCGTACCACAAGGCTCTGTAGGGGAGACCGGGGCTAGTTGGACCCCGGGGTAAGTTGGACCCCCATCAAGTCTCTTTAATAAAGTTACTTTAAGATGCTAAATTATTTCATTTGGACTCACTGCCGACGTTTTCTTAGCACTATTGGATACGGTCACTTTACAAAGTGATGCGATCAGTTCTTTTACCCCATAGTTACTTTGTCATAAATTGGGGGTCCAACTTACCCCGGGGTCCAACTAGCCCCGGTCTCCCATACTCGGCCCCATCCTGTCCACTCTTTACACGTCACCAATTGTGGGCATTATCTCTAAGGGGCCGTTCACATGAAAAATCTATTTTCTAAAAATCTATTTGCGGTATCTTGTGATCACGTTCTGTGTCCTGAATACCCCACGGCGTAATTACGCTGTAATTAATTCTCGGCGCTGCCAGTAATTACGCCGCGGGGTATTCAGGGCACAGACCGTGATCACAAGATACCGCTAATAGATTTTTAGATTTTTGGAAAATAGATTTTTCATGTGAACGGAGCCTAAGCACGGTTTTAACCTAATGCTCTATGTAGATCACTCACAAATTTATATTGTTTGCAACAGGCCATCAGATGTATCCAGAAATGTATAAGTCAGGGACTAAAGCCAATTCACTTGTTTTCAACAATGGCAAAACAGAAAAAGTTCACTTTATCTCTCGTTTTTATAAAGATGCAGAAAAATTAGAACTATTAGAAATTGGAAACAGCAAGGTCAGGGTAAAATATGAGGTTAAAAACCTAGGAGTAATTTTTGATAACAGGGACGATATGGCCGCTAACATCAGTAAAAATGCAGAGCCGCTTTCTATGGTCTTAAAAATCTCCAAACTATCCGATATCCTTGTCAAAGGTCAAATGGAAATTTGTTGCACTGTTGAAATTCAAGCGTTCTACTTACTTTGAAAATTTGATCATCCCTGATTTTATTCTTTAATTAAAACTGAAGACGTTGTAATAAATGCAAAAATCTCCTGTATAAAGCGATTAATTTTTTGCGCAATTTTTAGTTTGTTTGTCACTAAATGTAAAAAAGAAAAAGAAAAAATGCAGCATGCTGAAAGTACAGCAAGCATTAAATGAACTATATTTTATTCGTTATGCAAAAATTAAGTCAGAAAGGTCAAACTACACATGCTTAAACAAGAGTAACCTTTTTTCGGACATTTTTTTTCTGGAATACATACGTTGCGTACGTATTAACCATGGCGCAAACCCCCCTGAGGTACTGTTTTAAAAAACTGTATTAAAATATTTTCTGAATCTTGGATTTTGTGTATAATTCTGCACTTCAAAGCCAACTATCCTATATTTCAAGCTTTATATCCATAACATTGTATGTTTGTGAGCAACAAAATGTTTCTTTTGCATGAAAACCTATCAATAGTCCTACAGCATAGATACCATTTAGCTGACCAATGTATTATTTTTCAGGTAAAATAGGGCCTAGACAAATCGCAATAGCGTTGATCATAAGGTCAAGCGAACTAATGAGCGCATGGACAATTCTTATACCTGTTTTCATTGGCGCCAAGCCTTACTGGGTGTGTCCATCCTACGTCAACAGCACGATATATAATGATTCAGAGTTCGGAGTGACATCTTCTTGGTATACAGATAACCGTAGCGTGGAGAATACATGTGCAGAAGATAATGAGATTTGTGCAGGAATAGAATATACATCTGCATTCACTTCTGTAGTGACGGAGGTAAAGTAACTCCTTCAACTCATTCTGGTCATGACGAATATTTTTCTGGTGGAGATACACCTGTTAAGTCTGTTGTTAATGATCACAAGGAGTCTGTTATAACTCCTTGATGATCATAAGTTTTAACTTTTCACTTTCTACGCAAAACTGAAGCTAAACCTCACTAAGTTTTTGTCGCTGCGTGGCCTTCTTCAATGTGTGTTAATATGAGACTGAGCACTATTCACGAATGTCTCCGTAATAGTGCTCTCTCAGTAATAGTGCTCATGACGCAAAATGGATTGAGAAGAGGCAAACTGTGTCCTTTATCTCAATTCGAAACAGCTGTATGAATCGATTAAAAAACAGTATATGAAACTTCGTCGTTCCTTATCTTCCTAGTTTCTTTATAGTATACTTGAAAAACCAAGGAATGCATGTGACCGTTTTTAATTACGCAACTTACAAATGCTGGCTAAATGAAAACATCAAAAACATCGAAAACATCAAAGTTATTTGTATACAGTTCTTTTTTTTTACTTACCCCAAAGGCCCAGGAGATGTCGATGTTTTGTTGTATTTTGAGCGATGGTTTTTGAAAAAATATCATGATGTTAATCTGGGTATATTTTTCAACTCTTATTTTTTCTACATGTACAGGCCTACCCAACTACCAGACTCGGCACCTAAGGATCCTGAATTAACCAGTATATCGGACCACGCTACCCGTTTTCAAGGTGTGTGTCAGATCGCATTCCATGGTCGGCTCATAAGGCTTGTCAGCGTTCTCCGCCATCTTCTCCATCTTCTGCTGCTGTGCCGGCTTCACCCCATGTCTGCCACCCAAATGCTTTTCACTAGTTCATGTTTGCAAACAAATAATTTAGGGTCAATACACGGAGTTGATCCCCTCTTTCACAATTTACAGGTTAGCGCTATTTGGTGCTTATGAGGTTAAAAAAAGACCAGATGCTGCTTATATAATGTGTTATAGTTGTTAGAATTGAAAGAAAAATTTTCTTTGAATGAATGACAGATATTGTTTTGAAAAAAATCGGCATTTCTTTTCTTTTTAGTGGAATCTAATCTGCAATTTGGAAAATGTCAGCACCACAATTACAACCTTACAGATGGCCGGAATCTTCTTCGGAGCACTCTTGTTTGGTCACCTTTCAGATAAATTTGGAAGAAAAAAAGTGTGGTTTACAATGCTGACTTTAAACTCAATAGTTGGTTTTTGTGGCGCGTTTGCACCAGTGTGGGAAGTGTACGCCGCCATTCGTTTCTTGAATGGAATGTTTAGTGGAGGTAAGATTTCAATATCTAAAGGTAAGTAAATTTGTGCAAATAGCTTGCTTTCTTTCAAAATCGCCATAATCTATTTACCTATGTGATATTAGTTTTTGTCCCACAATATGGTTGTCTTTTTCAGGCTTGATGCTCGTCAATTTTGTCTGGCCCATGGAGTTTGTAAACGTCAAGTGGAGATTGTACGTCAAAACTTTCAGCTTTTGGTCCCCCGCCAGCTTACTGCTGTCACTGTTGGCATACTTCATCCGTGACTGGAAAGCACTGCTGATGGTGACAACACCATTTCCAACGGTGTTCTTTTTGTTCTTATGGAAGTAGGTCTGACCTTACCAAAAAGTTACTCAACGTTGCTTCTCGGTAAGCTGAAATGGTGTCCATCAGATAAAGCCTAAAAAGAGGCTGTTGGCACTGTCTGATGTCATACAAGATTGGGAAGGCGTGGGTGTGGTTAACGATAACGATTTTGTGCCGGAAATTTCGTCTTAGAAAGCGGTACAAAAGTAGCTCGCAAAACGTGATGAAATCATACTAATTAAAAGAGTGACCTAAACCGAGCATCGTGCTCGATATGGCCAATCAATTAAATTTTAAGTTAAAATAGCAGAAAGGGAACATGTGGCTAACTTCTGAAAGGGATTTTAATGGCATGTAGCGTAATTCCATGGTAGGGCCTGTCAAAGTGAAATGGCTTTGGTTTTGGTTTTGGTTTTAGCCATTCACCTTATTCATAATTTGAGAAGACACACCACTGGTCAAAAAGGTTCTCCCACAGCCGATTCCATATGCTTGTAATTACAAATGATCACTGCAAAGGTGAAAATTGTTATAAATAGTGTTTTTTAATCCAGATAAATGTACCATATCTAACACGATTAATGGTACAGAATATACAAAATGGCGGTGAAGATATCCATATAATCGAATTTGTCACATGTACCGCATGGAATTAGAGGTGGGCCAACATTTTTGACCAAGAGTGTATGATGCCATTTTATATTTTGCTAAGTTACCGAAAAATAATATTACCTTTTCACAGATTTATGCCAGAGAGTCCTCGCTGGCTGCTCATGCATGACAGAATTGAAGAAGCAGAAACGATTTTGAGATCCATTGCAATCGGGAACAAAAAAACGCCACTGGATTTTGATACACTGATGAACTTTGTTGAGGTATTTGAAAATATGTCAATTAAGATTAACTAATTATAATCACATAACAACAAGGCTTAGTCAAAAATATTTTGAATTAAAACTTACCAGTTGATGGATAATGATAATTTTTACTAGTATTGAGATGATTTTCATCTGCCGTTTTGTGACGTAATGAGTTTTGATTGTGGGTAAATATGAGTTTGTACAACGAAATTCATAGATTTTTTTTTTCATCAAAGCACTTTGATCGTGGATGATGTGGATGGTGAATTTAAATTTAACTTAAAAGTCGTTAAGTATCTTGTTGTAAATTTATTTTTTTCATTTAAAAGCTAAATTATTTTTGTAGGAGGAAAAGACAAAGGCTGCAACGGTAAAACACTACGCCATCTGGGACTTGTTTAGGACACCCCAGCTGACCAAATATACTTTGGTTCTCATGTTCAACTGGTGAGTTGTTGTTGTTTGATAAAAGTTGTTTTATTCGAAAAATATACAGAAATTATTGTCACATATTAATTGGAATTATGTAATCGTTGTGATAGGCCCTAATGAGCTTATATTGTGACAGTAGAAAAATACATGAAACTGCCATAAATTTGCCCTTAAACTCCTTTGTATGACTATAGGTTTGTGTGGTCTTTGACATTCTATGGACTATCGCTCAATGTGAAGCAGTTACCCGGAGATGTGTATGTCAACTTTGCTCTTTTGTCAGCGCTTGAGTTAGTGTCTCACGTGTTTGTCTTATTCACCGGTAACAGGTAAATCTTTTTTCGTCCCCTTTTTATGCTGTAAATTAAACACAACGTTTAGAGACATGCACCGGTGCTTGTTAGTCGTTATAGCCTAATGCACACCGTGGTAAATGGACGTCTCTCTTTTTTTTCCCTTGACATCTGGGATTATTTAAATATTTTGTTTATTTGTTATGGTGTTGAGTGATAGCAAATAATACGTAGACACCAAGTTGTAGAGCAATGTTTGTATCTAGGGCCTAGTTTATTTTTCTGTTTTCTTCAAATAGGCCAAAATATTGAGAATCTCTGTTCATACTAGGGGAGATAGTCGACATTAAATGCTAGTTTATACTAGTCGAGATAGTCGTAATTACATTCTGGTTAAAGAAATGAATAGACAGGAAATTGTGTCACATGGTTTCACGAGGATATAAACATCTATATTAAGAAAAGTCAACGGGTATGGGCTTTAAGCGGGAGTTTGGAAACTCGTCAAACATTTAGACAATGACAACTCAGTTTGATAGCTTAACATGCATGCTTTTCCTCCCGTGGCTTGTGTGACGTCACCCAACCATGTACTGGTAGCTCATTAACTTCCAGACCTTGCAAAAGGACGCATTTGTAAAGCTCGATATTTACAAAATGAACTTTGAATTTGTATATTTTGATAAAGAAATAATTTATTGAGCATGTTTTCTGCAGGATATGCTCCGTTCAAGCCCTTCTGATGGTCTCTCCGAAACCCTTTAGGTTGGGGGGGGGGGGGAGTCAGAGGTTGGAAATTATTAGAGTGGTGGTTTCCAAGGTTGAAGCGCAAAAATGCCGCTAGAGGCCACCAAGTGTTCACTTGAGCTTGTCTGGTGGATTAATACGATGAGGTTATGTTGTTGCAGCACGTCAAATTAAAACGGATTTTAGCGAAACCTTTTTCAACGATTACTCTCGTGTATGCTGTCAGAGAAGAGTAATGCGCTTACTATTTAAAAATTAGAGCAGTTTTTAGCTTTAGTTGATATCAGTGTGCCGCTGTATGTTATCACCACAGCAGTGGTGTTTTTCTACCGTAAATTCTCTTATATTCGGAGACCAATCTGAAGCTTCTATCTCATGTAGTAACTACTTGTATTTCGTTTAGAATTGGCCGCCGGAAGCTAATGGTCGGATCAATGCTGACCTGCGGGCTGGCTTTGTTCTCTGTTCTTTTCATTGGTTTAGCGGGTAGGTAAAAGGGAATGTACAGGTATGAGGGTAGATATTGCTAAATACTTATGATTAACAAAACCACGTCTCCTACAGGCACACAAATATGGATTTATCTACAGACTTGACATTTAATATGGAATATATTTTCCAAATCATAATTCATCAGTTTTTTCCTATTTTGCTGAATTCTACCTACAAACGGTCATGGTCCCTAATTCATCAGAGAAACAGACGACGCTATTTTGCTGTTTGCAATGGCATCCTCAGAGGTCGTCTTCTATCCTAACCTGCTGAAACCAGTCTGGTGTTCGCTAAGAGCCTTGAAAACGCGTTCTGGTGGTCACTTTCCCCTCATTCTGAACGGACTGGGTGGTTTTTGGTTAGTCGCAGCAGCATATCCGGAAGGACAGTGAGTCCTGTACCCTGTTGGTAAGATTTCGATACATAGGGTGTGGCCTCTGTGTAGGTACATTAGTCTGGGCATAACTCCATAAACTGTGCGGACCGTTCCGTGTGACACAATAATCTGTTTGGAAATGTCTGTATTTTTCGCGCCATTCTGGCACAGATTAACAATTTTGTTAAACATTGCTTAACTCAAGAATGAAGTAATTTTTCTTCAGTCAACAGCTAATATTGAGATAGTTTTTACCTCCAATATTTCGATGTCTAACAGAACGTCTTCATCAGGGAATGAGGTTATCCAGTTGAATAGCCTCTATTCAGGAGATCTATTGGAGGTAAAAACTCAATATTAGCTGTTGACTAAAAAAATTACTTCATTCTTATTACATAACACAACTGATTTAATTCTACTCTGACTGCTTAACTCATTTTACGCACTGCAAAACCGGCCGCTTGCATGCAAAATTTCAAATTCTTTTATGCAGTTGTTGCCGACATATGGATACTGTTTTGACAGAACCATGCTTCGCCAAAGCTCAGCTTTGACCAGCCCAAAGGAACATTACCCAATTAAATCACTGCATATTACAAGGTGCAACAGGCATAGTAGTCAGTTCATTGGTAGCGACACAGCTGACTACACACACTTCTCCAGTCAGATATCTAATATGGGATCTGTGTTTTTTAAAAAGTGGACATTTTAACCTATTCATACCTTCGAAACTGAGATATTCCATATTAAATGTCAAGTCTGTATGTCGTTTTAATTTAGCTCAGACTGCCAATTTGTTCTCTAGATCAGATTGCCACTTAAGCGTGTGAAAAAAAAGAGAACTGACGAGGTTCTGCTCTGTTATTGAATTCCCTTTATTCAGGTAAAATCGATGAGCTTGGAACCCTAGTGACTGCCCTGGCTCTGATTGGAAAGCTAGGCGTGACCTCAGCTTGGTCCATTGGGTATCTTTACACCGCGGAACTCTATCCCACTGTTGTCAGGTAATGGTATTGACAGTGATGGCACACTGGACTGAAGAACTATTTTAACACTAGGTTCTTAAGGCAAATATTTATATTGATCAATAGATTCCCCTGCATTTGCTGTTCTTTATTTCAAATATTTTTGTTTTCCCTTCTATGTTGTTTTTTTTTTTTATCATTTCTCTTCAATATTAATATGCAACTACTTAACCCGGCCCATTAGCTTGAAATAAAAAGGTCGATACCAGTTCTTAGATGAGGGAAAGGAATGATTTTGATATTTTCAATCCATTTTTCTTTGTAGGAGTATCGCAGCTGGAACTGTCTCTATGGCCGCCAGAGTAGGAGGGGTAGGACTGCGCCACAATTTGAGCTTTTGGTAGGTTCTATTTTCCCATTGTTCTATGATGTGGCGTTTGGTTTGCTTGAACACAATAGAGGTAAATTATTGGCACAGATATCCGTAAAATGGATATTGGTCAAGTTGACCATATGTTTTACCCATCAATTTCAATATAAACCAATCCATTTTGTATTTGATATACCCAATCATCCAAACAACTGTCTCTCAACGTTTTGTCCAGTTCAGTAGTTTTTATATATTCATATTCATCTATATTTTTATAAGCCTCCTTGCAAAAGCAGTGTTAAGATGCTGTATTGAGTTATATAAATTTGATGTTTTAAATATCTAAATTTGTTCAGATTCCTTAGGCCATTGTTGATTGGCTTTTTTTACACCAGGGCACTATATCCGGACAACTACCCTTCACAATTTTTGGAAGTTTCGCCTTGGCTGCTGCCTTTCTAAGTCTGCTTTTGCCTGAAACCAAAAAGCGACCTCTGCCGGATGCTCTACCAAAATGTGCATTTCCTTGCGTCCGCCCATCGACGGATGAACTGTCAGTCGAGGAAGAGGGGAAAATGGGGGACCAAGAAGTAGAAAATAAAGAAAATTTTAAAAACGATAGTAATTTGTGAAACATCGTAGAGTATTGTAGATGAAGCAATTGTTCAACAACAATGAGCTATTCTTGACACTTCATTGTTGTTTTTGACGTGACAAATTAATGATAGAATCGTTTTTGATCTTGCGTCAAGGATGTCAACAAAAAGTATGCGCTGTGGCCATTAGTAAACCAGTATTCAGAAAGATATGAGTAAAGTTTGTTTAAGCCCATTAAGGGCTATTACATTTATTTTCTAACTACTTGTAAATTCAGAAAAAGGTGCACCGGAGAGGGGTTTTCTTTGCGGCGTCAATGCGCACTTAAAAATACATAAGAAGCAAAGTTCAGTGGCCTGTAACGTATATAAATTCTCTGTGGCAGTTTTTATGCAAGCCAGACAAAATCAAAATTCCAAAAATCCCCAACTGAAATTGATCTCTTGGACAGCAGTATAATGCTTTAAAATTGTGTTTTTTTTTTTCGTGAAATAGACCTTTTCTTCCTCCATTTCATATAGAGGGTAAGCAGAAAATTTCGGAGAAAATGTCATTTTTCGGGAAATAATGTATGGCAAATCTGTTGTTTTTCTTTAAGTTATACTATTTAAAACACTAGGGTGGCATTTGTTCGGATTTAGTGACAGTGCCATCAAATATGAAGAAATGTTATGCCTTTAATTGTGTTATTATTTGAGAATCACACTACGTTTCAAATACAGTCTTCAAATGCATGTCTATAAATCCTAGGACTGAAAAGTAGTATTTATTTTAAGTTGTGCATCATAACAACATGCCTGCAATTTGCGCCAAATCTTTGAAGCTTCCTCGACATGACGTGCAAAGGCAGTGAACTGTTTAATCATTATTTATCCTCGTTGGTATGGTGATCCCGTTTCCCCAAACTTACAAAACGAGGGGAATGAAGACTGCGACTAATTGCAGTAATAATTGTAATGAATAAAACTGTGCTGAATTATATACATGCAATAAAATGTACTGAAAAACCAGTTATAAAAAATTAATAAGAAAAATAAAAAAAATTATTAAAAATTAATAAGATCAAGTTGGATTATTTTGTTGGCTTTTTTTTTAAACATGTAGGTCAACCGTAAACTATTTCATTCCATGTTAATTCATTAATCTAAATCTAAATTCACCTATTTGCAAAATACATTAAATAGTCTATTTATTTGTTTTCACAGTGTCTTTACATGGCTACCGAATAGAACATATTTCAGTTGGAACACAACAACACAGCAACGTTGAAGTTTTCACTAGGTTTACTTCTCACACAAAGGCTACACTAAAAGGCACGCAAGCAGAAACGGTCTTTTCGGAGTCCCTCTTAACAACGGAAAGGGTCCTGCGAACCACATATCTAGCAGGCTGAGTAGCAGCTGTGACTAACGATTGCACTTCCCCCTGTAATTTATCAGAACTACCATATGTATGCGATTTTACTCGGTTACGGGCTTAAAGGTTATATCTGTGTCCTCCTTGTACGCAAAAGATGATGTTCAAAACCTAATATTAGGGACCTGCTTTTACTGATGCGACTGCGTTAGTTGTGGATCACTAGATTGCGTCTAGCGCGACAGAGTTCGAGACACAAAAAAGCATTTTTATTACTATTTTTTAAATAACAGGATTTCTGTCCCTACCTGTGAACACACAGGCCTATAGTCCCGAGGAATACATGTGACCGTTTAAATAGCAAGAAACTGGATACATCGATGGTGGCGTTGATAAGAGAAAGAATAAACGTCATACACGCCATGAAAATTGTAAGTTACTATCTTTACTTAAGCGAAAAAGATAAAAACCTCAATAAAGCTTTTAGAATAAATTGTCCCCAAAAGGGACACATTAATACCACGCCACTCAGTACCATCTCTTGCCTCAACATGAAATTCATCTCACATAAGGCGCCTTGAGATAGAATGTAAGGCGCCATATAAGAATCTTATTATTATTATTATTATTATTATTATTATTATTATTATAAGACCCGTCTTGCTTGACTGGTATCTAGGCCGGCGTCTCACCTAAAGGTATCTGACTTATTTAACAGTTGCTGTTCTGCGCCAGGTTCTTATTTCTTAATTCTCATTTCCTTCTAATCGAAGTTGTCTTTTATCTAAGGAAAACATTTGGGTCCCCTCACATTGCTTTCTCAATACATGGTCTAGCCACCTTTATCTCCTAACCTTTATTACAGATGATTGATACCAATTTAAGTCTCCAAACAACTTACCATAAAGAGTGAAAAAAATTTTTTTTAAATATTTTTGCTTTGTCAGGGTATCGGATATAGTTTGCCTTGGTGATAAAGGAAAAAGATTTCAAATATCCAGAAAAACAATGTAAAGGTCAAATGTGGCTTGTAACCCTGTTTTGCCTGGTGCATCCACTGTGTATTACCACACGAGTAGCATACTAAGCGTCACCTTCATGCAGGATTTCATGCAATAAACTTATCTAGACAAGCTTAGGGTCGACCTCAAGGTTCCTCAAGGTACAATAATTTGTATCTATTATGAATCTATTATGTTAGGTTATTTCCTTATCTCCTTTGAATCTATTCTGTTAGGTTATTTCACTATAGTAGGTCTACCGTTACAGCTTGATGATTGTGGTGTAAGATAGTTTGGTGGTAGGTTATCACTGCCTGATCTATACAGACCGTATCAACATGTCGCAGGGGTTTGAGGAGATATTGAAGGGTGTTGGTGAGTTTTAATATACAAGCATTTACAACTTACATGGCAAACATTCTGGTTCATATTTCCAAAAGTGAAAAAAGAAGAAGAATTATAAAAAGAAGTTGTCAAATCTTCTATATGTACGAGTAAATAATGAATCTGAAATAAAATGCACATTCATGAAATATGTTGGATGGGAAGGGGTTATGAATTTGCCTCTTTATGTATTGTGTGTACATGCTGCTATCATCTGAGTCTAGATAATGAATTCTTGGCTAAACTGAAGTTGATTTATCAAAATGAGTTTCTTTCGTTTTTAACAGGCGTTATTGGCCGTAAACAAATCGAGGTATTTTTTCTTGTGAGTCTGGCTGATGTCATGACGTCATGGACCATTTTAATACCAATTTTCATTGGTGCACAGCCCGAATGGATATGCCCATCTGATTCAAATGGCACATCGTCATGGAGCAATGGAAGTCACCGTGAGGATGCACACGACGACGTTTCGAAAATTTTAGCGGGGAATCTTTCAACAACAAATAGCACCAAAAACATGTGTTCAGCAGATAACAATATTTGTTCTGGTATAACGTATACCTCCCCTTTTACATCAATGGTTACAGAGGTAAATTGTTTCCAGAGAATCAGAGATGCTGCTTGCTTTAGAATGGAATTGATATCAATATTTAGTTATTTCAAAGCGCAAGCGAACACAACCGACAGAAATTTCATATTTGGTTTTTCTTTGTGTCTGATCTTCTGTGCGTACCATTTCTTCATCTTCTTAAAGTAGTTTTCTGTCATACAGCCATTTTTAAATTGGTTAGTCCAAAGATACTAAAATATGTTATACATATTTCATACATTGTCTTATACCCAGGTATACGATATATATATTTCTTGACGAAAGTACCCTACCAAGTTTCGTTTATAAATCTTTCCAGTGGAACCTTGTCTGTGATTTGGAATATGTCAGCGACATCATCACAACAATCCAAATGGCTGGGTTATTTTTTGGGGCCCTTGCTATCAGCCAGTTGTCGGACATGTTCGGCAGGAAGCCTGTTTGGTACGCAGCCCTTACTGTCAATTCAATCGTTGGCTTCGCTAGCGCATTTGCACCTAGATGGGAAGTGATGGCGGCCATGCGCTTTATTAATGGAATGTGCGCTGGAGGTAATGAAAGTGAAGGTGCAATGTAAAAGGATAAATGCAGTTGTGAGGCAGTTACATTTTTTGCTCCGAGTCGTAGATGCCGCTGCTGCTGTGAGCATCATGTCAGCTGTACTGTGTGGCAGCACATTCAAGTAATTTTGTTGGTTAAAAAGATAATGAAAAATAAATTTTAATACTCGATCTTACGTTGAAGCTGAGACAATTTTGAAAATGAATGATGAGAAAGCGCTGCCGACCTTCCTTGTAATAGTTTAACCTATGAACGCTTGTCACGCGATTTCCCCTCCTACATTACACAATGTCTATTTCTGCTGTATGCAAGGAAAATGTGATATGCATATGTTGAGAAAGTGTCAATGAAAAGTATGTTGGCTACTGATAGACCTTATATTTATTCTAGCTGCCAGTACAGTATAAATATGTTACGGGGCATTAAAAACTCAAGTAAAAAATAATTTGCAATAGGGCACAACAATATTCCGAGTAGGAGTCTTCGAAGGAGACCCAATTATGGAAATAACTGCTATTAGGTCTTTTTTATTCCAGGTTTATTGCTCGTTAGCTTTGCCTGGCCCCTGGAATTTGTTGGTATCAAATGGAGAATCTATTTAAATGTTTTAAACTTGTGGACACCTGGCAGCATGCTTCTGCCGCTTTTGGCATACTACATTCGGGACTGGAAGACGTTACTGATGGTGACCACGCCATTTCCAACAGTGTTTGTGTGGTTTTTGTGGAAGTGAGTAACATATATAGATAAGGTCAATACGTTGTAAATTGATATAGTCCAAAGCTCATATGGAATTACAGTATGGCTTTTTCTTAAATGCATTTAAGTTATATAATTTTCCGAGGATGGGTGGCGATGGGCTAGGGGAAAACTGACTGATCCAATGGTCGCTAATATTGGGCATTTTATGTATAATTTAGATTTATGCTGGAGAGTCCTCGTTGGCTTGCTATGCAAGAAAGACTAGAGGAAGCTGAAGAAGTTCTATCCATTATCGCAAAAGCAAATGGAAAATCACCTCCGAGCGTGGAAACACTCAAACAATTCATTGAGGTAAAGGTTGACAGCCAAGCACAGCATTAAGAATCTATATTAAGTGCCATGCAATAAATCAAAAGTAAAAACAAACGCTGTGTAAAGCTGATTCTGTGTTCATAAATGATTTGTATGTGTCCTTTTGATTCAAGGAGGAGAAAAAGAATGCGGCAAAAGCGAAAAAATTCAGCTTCTGGGACTTGTTCAGAACCCCACAGCTGGCAAAACATACCCTAGTCCTCATGTTCCTCTGGTAAGAACTTGACTGCCAAAATTTCTTACAATTATCTTCAAAATGAATGGTTGTATCTTTTAGGGCAATTGACTTCATTTCAAACTTTAGTCAACTTGTCTGAAACAATGTACCTGTCAGACTTGTAGACTATGTTTCTTTACCAAAACTTAAGCTGGAAGATTGACCAAAATCCTACAAAAAAGTAAATTAATTTATACCACCTGTTAACTTCTGCCTCCTAATAGAATATTTAATGCAAGTATTTTTTGTAATCTGTATGATTTTCAACTTTCTCCACAAAGCATTCTTTGTTTCCTTATCTGTAGGTTTGTATATGGTGCAGCCTTTTATGGGATATCTCTTAATGTGAAAAATCTTCCTGGTGACAAGTACTTAAATTCGTTTCTCTTGGCAGCTGTTGAAATACCTGCTCTAGCGGTTGCTCTTGTCTGTGGTATTTGGTATGTTTATTGCGTGGTTCCAGTGTATTGCAAAGCATCTGTAACAAAACTGGTAATGCGGAAAAAATGTGTAGTATGCTATATATTGAGGGTTGTAGCAGGACAAATGATGCATTTAAAAATCTTTTAAGATTATTAGAAAATAATCAGTCCAAGAACCTCCATACCATGCAGTATATGCAATTAAGAATATTACACTTGTAATACCAAGAGCGTAATTGCAGGCTTGGTCGTCGTGTCACCATGTTCGGTACCTTGCTTATTGGTGGACTTGCTATATTTTCTGTACTTTTTATAGGTTTAGCAGGTAAGAACACTGGTCTATTTAAATCTTCCATTTATAAGATAACGAATTTCATTGTAGAATAGCGTTTGGTAAAAGGCATAAATGACAGTTTTTATCGTACACTACTTACATGCTTTTGTATTTAACGTTATTAACAACCAAATGATTTTTAAAGATTATCCTGACTTGTCACTATTCTCAACGCGAAAGTATTTATCTATGAAAATATGCAATACGTTTTAAAAACCCACTTGCTTTAATATAGGAAAATTGGAAGAACTAAGTGTTTTGGTGACTTGTCTTTCTTTGTTGGGGAAGTGTGGCGTTATGGCAGCCTGGAATCTGGGGTACCTTGTTACCGGGGAATTGTTTCCCACTGTCGTCAGGTGAATGCAATTAAAAAAACAAAAGTGTTTGTAATTGCGTGAAACATTCTGTGAAAAGTTTTCCTTAAATTGTCAATTTTAACACTAAGACAAAAGTAATAGTTACATAAAATGAAATCTTATAGCTTACAATATAAATGTAATTTATTATAAGGAGTATTGGCGGAGGCGCTGCTTCCATTGCGGGTAGGGCAGGTGGAGTTACGGCACCACAGTTTGCTTCATTGGTAAGTTTGTAATACACTAATTTGACATTTTACATCAATTGTAGTATTAGGATAAAGACGTTAACCGTTTATCTCAAATTTTAAACAAATCTTGTGAAACAATTTTTTCTTCGATATAAACTGAAACTTATGGGCTTTGCGTTATTCATATATTTTCCTTTAAGTAAAAACTGGAACAAAATTTCCACTTTAAATTGTGCAGAATAGACTGGTCTTCATATAAAGTGACGTTTCTGTGGGGCATTTCCGATGTTCTGTTACAGACATGATTATGTGCATGTCTCATTGTTCATTTACATTCCCCTAGGGACGGGTGTCCCGAGAACTGCCATTCATCGTATTTGGTAGCCTGGCGGTGGTAGCTGCATTCTTTGGCCTCCTATTACCCGAAACAAAAATGCGCCGCCTTCCTGATTCTCTCCCTGAATGGTCATGGTGCTCCAGAAAACCATACATTGAGGATGAGGTAACTTCCAGCGATAAGGAAAACGACGATATGCATGGAAAAAGCAAAGAAACGATATCGACAGATCTTTAAAAAATAATTGGATCTGCATTGCGCACTATATTGCTGGATTTGATAGAAGCTTGTTGTTAAGTAATGAATTCTTAATATATATTTTATAAAAGATTGCAAAGTTCGTAGAAACCCAACAACAAGACCCAGAAGGTCGTAAAGGTGCTTGGTGCTTGAAAGACTTTTCCCTAATCTTAAAAGCGCTTTTGTTTTAAGCCTGAAATTCTACATATTTCATACATGTTTATGTTTCTATTATATCGATATTTTAAAGCCTTACTAATATACATGTATGCGTGTGTGTGTAGAGGGGGGGGGTGTATAGCAAATTATTTCATATGTCTTTATGGTCTCAAACCTCTCGAAATACTTTTAAATTGTATTTTATCTAATGTATAAGCCTATGATTTCGCTTGAGGGACGCCTGGTATAAGCTGAGGATGAGGTTGGAGAATTGGAGAGCACCGAACGTTGTGATTTTGATAACGTTAAAAGCTATCTAATTTCAACATTATTTTAATTAATTCGTAACAAGCCTCCATTGTTCTGATATGAATTGATCTGTCTAGTGATGTTAGTCAACTTGAAGAAATGTTTAACTGTTCAATTTCTACACTACTGAAAATGTACCTGTAAAAGCTTTCGCCCCAACACTTAGGACTTCATAAGGCACACTAAAGCCAGGAGTGTATAGTAAGCATTCTAGTGAGCAGTTCTTGTAATACTGCCCAGATGCGAGACAAGTGTTGCCTCCCCCGTCCTTGCTCAGTAAGGGTCTCTTGGCCCTAGTGTAAATAAACTCCTTCACCCCCCCCCCATTGAACCCCAGGGCGTATTCATTATATACTGTCTCATAAATTTAGTGCGACTTTTATTTCCTCAATATTGACTATTCATAATAATATTCTTTTAAAACTACATTCATCCAGTATACAGAATGTAGAATATTTTAATTTTTACAGTTCACAATATTTTTATAGGGTTTATAGTTTATAGACACCAACTTCGTCTTTTGAATTATTATTGTGATATTACTCATGTATCAATTTGACATTGTACACAGCATGTAAACTGCGTTTTGAGGGAATAAATGCAATAATAATAATAATAATAGTATTGTTAAATTACATTGATCCTGTGCAAGGTAACTAGTACTTTATTTTGAAACAACTGTTTTTTATTATGTAAACAATTAAAAAAAATGAAAGAAACGACCGTGCAGGTTAAAATATTTATTTTTTTTAATTCAAAGTAGGAAATTTCAGAACTGTTTGAAAAAATTTTTGACATACCTCATTATTAAAAAGTGTTGACAATGACCCGTAAAGTATATTCTAGATTTTTCAAATTCTGATAATATAAATGCAATGAACAAGTAGTTTCATTGTTTCTGATACGCTTTCTGATGCCACACACTAAGAAAAAAAAAACACGCTTGATTATAAAATCATATCACGTGTATGAAATCATTTGTATTCACAGAGAGATTTTACTTCAGATTGATGAATTGATGATTGTCTGAGGAAAAACGATGCAATCATGCATTAAAACGAGCATGTTGCGCATTTTGTATGCCTGAACACGCAAATCGGGTTCGTCCCCTTCTCGAGGACAACTGATATGCCAAGAATTCTGGATCACGATCACTGACGAAGTTTTTATCACTGACCACTGACGTGCTCATGATCATTTCGCCATTCTCCTAGTTTGCTTCTTGCCACACATCACAACATGGCTGAAGGATTCGATCGCATCCTAAGCGATATTGGTAAGTAGTTATTTGTAACCAACGGTTAACATTCGTACAGCAACTGTAGTTATCAGGCATCGCTAGTAATGAAAAATGTACATATGTAGGCAATGTATTCTCTGCTATGACTGTAAAAAAAAAAAAAAAA